GTTTGGTGGGCATTGACCTTGACTTTTGGAGTTGTAGTTCACCTTCAATTCAAAAATGATGGATCTGGACCAGACTTGGTACAAATGCTCAATATGCCCAAATGTGAACACTGGTGGAGTTTGGGGGAAATAGACCTTGGCATTTGGGAGGTTCAGTTGCTGGGATTTATAGTTCACCTACAATCAAAGAGCATTCTGGAATCCACCACTGATAAAATTGGGCCAAAATTCCCACACAGAACCCACATGAACAACAGAAAGTACTGTGTTTTCTGATGGTCTTTGGCGACTGCATAATCAAAGGTTACCTATATTCTAGTTATCTTCAGACAGAAGAGAAATTTAGAAATGTAAAAGATTGTTGTAAAAAAATCCAGGCAACTAAAATATGCACATAAAATTAAGGCACAGATGTGTATTACTGACTCTTTTAAAAGAACAATGCTCTCTCCAGTGTTTTTAGGAATTCAAATTTTTATTCATAATTCTATGTACACAGCTTTGTCCGCTTCAGAGACATTATCTCTGCCACCCCCAAAGATTATTCTGGCGGAATTTCTTTCAGCACAAACTGTGAGCAGAAGATCTTTTAACCCTACAAATAAACCCTCATAGCCCAATAATTGTTGTATCTTAGCAATTTATTCGTGTAATGGGCACATTAGCCTTCATCTTTTTATTGATTCTCGGCCGCTCTCTTGTGAGCAGGTTGTTCCACAGGAGAGCAGAGATTATTAGTCTAAAATTGGGCCGTTGTGCAATGATGTGATGAACTAACTCCTACTTTTCCAACGGCTCCTCCTCGCTTAATGTCAGCTAAGTTAATCTGCCACTGTCTCAGATGTTATCAGCTCCATGCACAGCGTATTTAATTAGCCTCTTGCTTTAAAAGCCAGCCCTGGGTGTCACTTAAAAGATGCATCTATTACATACTGGAGTGACAGAATGAATTATGAGCTCTCATTATGAAGCCAGTATGGAGAAATTGGATTACTGAACTCTTAGCAATCAGTACCCTTTTGCCCTTTTCACTCTTGTTTTCAAGGAAAAGCCCAAAGCGCCATCTTCTGCTCACTAACTGGAACCAAAAATAAGGCAAGCACTCAACTTGGTCCAAGGGGAATTGCTATAAAGGAGGCCGTACAAATTTAGATCTCGCTTACTGCCTATCCGTTACCTCTTCTGCTTGTGCATGCATGCCACAAGCCAACCAGAGATGCCCAAGCTTTCACAGAAACTGCTCATGAGCCAGGAAGGATGATGGAATGATACAGCTAGGCTGGCATGCTAATAATACGGGTGACGGTGGTACCCACAGGGATGCAGAATAACTGCAAATTGAATATGCCATCTCAAACCTCCATGGTTAGGCCAGTGAAGAGATAAGAGTTCTGTGATCCATCCGAAGGTACCAAGGCCATAGAACCTCTTATGATTTGGGCATATTGGCCGTAAGACACAACAGCATAAAGGAATATTCACCTGAACCCTTATACATAGCCATGCAGAAAGCCATATATAATTTTCACAGGCATCTTGGCACAATAACACATACATAGATCTTTCACAAAGACATAGACCTCATCTCAGGCCCGTAGCCAGGATTTCGATTCGGGGGGGGGGGGGGGGGGGGGGGCTGAGTCTGAGTGAAAGAGGGTCTAGCCTAGCAAACCTTTTGTATCGTTACCCCAATACCCCCATGCATATGGGATACATTGAGTATGGTGATCAGATCATGATATGAATAAACATAACAGTTTAAATAATGCACCAGTAAGGCCTTTTCGCAAAGCACCATGAGAATTTCGGGGGGGGGGGGGGCTGATATTTATCTTTTTAGCACAAAGATGACAAGCACTATAGAGTATTGAGTCTGGATGTGCATAGTTAATAACTGGGAAGTAATTTTAAGACCCAAATTCACCACAAGATTGTTGGGAGCATAAAGTGGGATGACCTCTTGGATTAATTAACGTATTTGTACTCTCTTTTTCAGCCAAATATCTCATGGCAGCATGTATAGATTTTCAATCTCCCAACAGCCCTGTGAAGTATATTGATATAAGAAGAATGTTAGGCCCCTTCTACCCAGCTGTATAAAATCCACTTTATCTGCTTGAACTGGATTATATGGCAGTGTAGACTAAGATAATCCAATTCAAATCAGATAATGTGAATTTTCTGCTGTGGTAACCTGGATTATCTGGCTGTGTGGAAGGGGCCTTTTTTGCTGCAGAATACCACCTGCTGGAAATTATGGCAGGAATTAAATTTCTCCTTTCCAGGTTCAAAACTCTATTATAATATATTGTCCAAAGTCCACAAAAGAAAGAAAAAGTACAAATGTGACCAATAAATTTCCCTTCAACAGACAGGAACAGAATGAAGAATTGAAAACTAGTTCTCTATGTAGATAAAAACAGTATGGGAGGTAAAGACGTGTGTGTTTATCTCTCCTCTGCATGCTTAATTGCCCAACTCATGAAATGGGCTTTTGTGCTATAAATAGACCCAGTAGTTACCTCTGGCAGCCGACTGGTTCTTTGGCATCCCCTTCTGTAGTAGTTCCTCATAACACACACAAAAGTGCAGGGTCTCAACCACAAATCCAAACACACACAAGACCAACACATAAACAAAACAAATATATAACAAATACCAGAAACCAATACACATGATGTTTATAGTAAATATGAGCAATGGAGACTTGAAAATACAGAAAGAGCTAAATAGAATATCATACTGAGCATACAACATGGCCCAAAGTCACGTTGCATACATGACAAGACCATACAAGAAATATATAACAATGTACATATGCACAACAGAAAGACCAAGACTTATACAAGTAAACAACCCCCAGCTGTAAGATCAAGTAGTTGTAAGAATGAAGAACAAATTATAAAAAAAACTTTATCAAAAGTCCAGCAAACAGTTACTGTTGATTGATAGCTCAAATCATACGCAACCAGAAATGGGATGGAAATGAACACTAAGCTGTGTGTGGCTTGCAAGATTCAAGCTACATATTAGCCAACCTGAAATTCATGTCCTGAGTATTATTAAGTCTGCATTAGGTGGTTGGTTCTTGAGGATGCAAGGTCCAAGGCACTCTCAGCACTTTCCTCCAGCACCACAGTTCAAAAACATCTATCTTCATTCGCTCAGTCTTCCCTATGGTCCAGCTCTCACATCCATAGGTGAATACGTTTTCTGGGGAATACCATTGCTTTAACTGTGCGGATCTTCATTGCCAGTGTGATGTCTCTACTTTTTACTCTTTTATCGAGATTGGTCATTGCTCTCCTCCCAAGAAATAAATGCCTTCTAATTTCCTGGCTGCAGTCTGCATCTGCAGTAATCTACACGCCTAGAAATACAAAGTCTGTCACTGCCTCCATGTTCTCTCCCTCTATTTGTCAGTCTTGTTGCCATAATCTTGGTTTTTTTTAATGTTTAACTGCAACCCAGCTTTTGTACTTTCTCCTTTCACCTTGGTTAGAAGGCTCCTCAGCTTCTCCTCGCTTTCAGTCATCAAAGTGGTATCATCTGCATATCTAAGGTTAGGTTTCTTCCAGCCATTTTTACCCCAGCCTTGCATTCATCAACCCCTCATATCACATGATGTGTTCTGCATACAAATTGAATAGGTCAGGGGAGAGTATACAGCCCTGCCATATGCCTTTCCCAATCTTGAACCAGTCTGTTGTTCTGTGGTCAGTTCTTACTGTTGCTACTTAGTCCTTATACAGATTCCTCGGGAGACAGACAAGGTGCCTTGGTATACTCATTCCACAATTTATTATGATCCTCACAGGCTTTAGAATAGTCAACAAAACAGAAATAGATGTTTCTTTCTGAAATTCCCAACCTTCCGTCATAGCCAACAGGACAACAGGTCTGGGTAAACTTCGGCCCTCCCAGTGTTTTGGATTTCAATGCTCACAATTCCTTACAGCCTTTTAGGAATTGTGGGAATTGGAAGTCCAAAACACCGGAGGTTCAAAGTTTGCCCACACCATAGCTCCATCCCTTAGTACAGTGGTTCTCAACCTTCCTAATGCGACCCCTTAGTACAGGTCCTCATGTTGTGGTGACCCCCAACCATAATGTTATTTTTGTTGCTACTTCACAGCTGTAATTTTGCTACTGTTATGATTCGTAATCTAAATATCTGATATGCAGGATGTATTTTCAGTCACTGGAACAAATTTGGCACAAATACCCAATACGCCCAAATTTGAATACTGGTGAGGGTGATTGATTTTGTCATTTGGTAATGCTGGAGTTGCTGGGATTTATAGTTCACCTAAAATCAAAGAACCTTCTGAACTCCACCAATGATGGAATTGAATCAAACTGGCACACAGAATTCCCATGACCAAGAGAAAATACTGGGAAGGTCTGGTGGACATTGACCTTGAGTTTTTTGGAGTTGTAGTTCACCTACTTCCAGAGAACACTGTGGACTCAAGCAATGATGGATCTGGATCAAACTTGGCACAAATACTCAATATGCCCAAATGTGAACACTGGTAGAGTTTGGAGAAAATAGACCTTGCCATTTGGGAGTTGTAGTTGTTGGGATTTATAGTTCACCCAATGAAATAGCATTCTGAACCCCACCAATAGAATTGGACCAAACTTTCCACACAGAACCCCCATGACCAACAGAAAATACTATGTTTTCTGATGGTCTTTGGCGACCCCTCTGACACCCCCTCGCGACCCCCACAGGGGTCCCGACCCCCAGGTTGCGAAACACTGCCTGAGTAGGTGTGCAGGAGGACCACAATGTCATTTGTCCACTGGCCCCGCCCCTCCACCTCGACACTCTCACCTCTCGACCAATCCCCGTCCACGAGCTTGTGCTTCTCCCGTTTTCATTAGTCAAGGAACGGGACAGGGCGACAGAGACATTGTCCAATAGGGTCTTCGTTTTCTGGTTGCGCGCGCTTCCAGGAGCCCAAACCAAGGTCCTGATTGGTCGAAACGGCCCACTCTGAAAAGATGGCGGCGGCGAGCGTGTCGGCGGCGGCAACGGCGGTGGTTGGGGCCGGCTTGGCGAGTGTGGACTTCTCCGACCTGCGGACGATCAAGAAGCAGCTGCTGGACGTGGCGGAGCGGAGCCGGGAGCGCGGCCTGCAGCACAGCGGGAAATGGTGAGAGCCCCGGCGGATCTCGGTCCTAGTTCAGGGGCTCCTTGTGCACCAGTAGGTTATGGACTTCAACTCCCAGAATTCCTTGCTATCAGTCCAACTGGCTGGGGCTTCTGGGAGTTGAAGTCAAAAACATGTGGAGGGACAAGAGCTTGGGATCCATTGATCTGTATGCCATGGCTTTGCAGGATGGAGAGGGTGCTGGTTAAGACTTAGTATGAGGATGATTGGTGGTGGCCTATGATAGTTTGAGACACATGTCTCTTGCAAGAGGGACTAATTGTGACCTACAGAAGGGAGAGATGTGTGGCCCCTTACACTTGACTGAGGTGCTGTGGATGATGAGAAGTGGAGTTCCCCCAGGCCTTGATCCTAATTCCAATGTGGATTTGGTGCAGAGCTGATCCTGGAGCGAAGAGTTGAGTGAATGTGGCATTTTAAGTTGCTTCAAGCTACAGATTGAGTATCCCTTAACCCAAGCATGGGCAAACTTTGGTCCTTCCTCCAGGTGTTTTGGACTTCAACTCCCACAATTCCTAACAACCTACTGTTAAGAATTGTGGGAGTTAAAATCCAAAACACCTGGAGGGAGGGCCGAAGTTTGTCCATCTCTGCCTTAACCAGAAGTCCAAATTACACCAAAACCATTATTATTATTATTTGAAACACAACAAGGTGAGTCCACAGCAGACACTCTCCTGGCTGTTGTATTGGGTCACACGTCGGACACTTCCCAAGTGTCTAGGACTTAATAATGATGATAATAATAATGTATATACTGCTTTTTCTCTTAACAAGACTCAAAGTGGTGAACAGTGCTCAAAACCATACAGTATATATTTTCAAATCTAAAGACTATAAACAGTAAAACAAAATTCTCCACACAGGTCGCTGAGGGTGCATCTACACTGTGGAATTAATGCAATTTGACATCCCTTTCACTGCCAGGGATCAATGCTATGAAATCAGAGGAGTTGTAACTTTTTACTAGGCCTTTAGCTTTCTCTGCCAAAGAGTGTTAATGCCTCACCAAACTGCAAATCCCATGATTCCATAGCATTGAGCCATAGCAGTTACAGTGGTTTCAAACTGCATTAATTCTAGCTGCTTGTGCTATTGGATCTCACAGCAGCATTTGACACAGTCGACCACAATCTCTTGACCCACCGCCTTGCTGTTGCTGGAATCAGGGGGACAGCTCTAAACTGGCTGTCCTCCTTTCTTCACAACCGTGGACAGTGAGTGGAGAGGGGAGGCCTGGTCTCTGAGAGGTCCCCTCTATCTTGTGGGGTTCCTCAGGGGGCCATTCTCTCCCCTCTGTTGTTTAACATCTATATGCAACCACTTGCTCAGCTGGTTCGAGGTTTTGGGCTTGAGTGTTATCAGTATGCCGATGACACTCAGCTGGTGCTGAAGATGGAAGGCCGACCGGACTCTGTACCCGATTGTTTCCATCAGTGCCTCGAGGCCGTTACTGGATGGCTGCGTGCCAGCAGGTTGAGGGTGAATCCAGCAAAGACGGAGATCCTATGGCTGGGTCGACCGGGCAGTGGGGACATCCAGCTGCCTACCCTGGATGGCGAGGCGCTACGCCCGTCATCATTGGTAAAGAGTCTGGGAGTCCTTTTGGACCCTCTGCTGACGATGGAGGCCCAGGTCTCCGCCGTGAGCAGAACCGCCTTCTTTCACCTGCGGCAGGCTAGACGGCTGGCCCCCTACCTGTCCAGGGACGACCTAGCTACGGTGATCCAGGCCACGTCATCTCAAGACTGGACTACTGTAATGCCCTCTACATTGGCCTCCCTCTGTCGGTGATTCGGAAGCTCAAGTTGGTACAAAACGCAGCTGCTCGGCTTCTTGCGGGAATTCCGATGAGATGCCACATAACACCAATCTTACTACAGCTGCATTGGTTACCAATTGAGCACCGGATCACTTTCAGAGTGATGGTACTCACCTTTAAGGCCTTGCATGGTCTGGGGCCAATGTATCTGAGGGATTGTCTCACCCCCTACCAACCCCAGAGATCCCTCCGTTCTGAGGACCAAGATCTATTGGACCTATTGGATCTTGCGTCTAACGGCAACCAGACGCAGAGCCTTCACAGCAGTGGCGCCATCAGTCTGGAATGCTCTGCCACCTGAAGTTCGTGCCCTGCGGGACTTACCAGCTTTCCGCAGGGCATGTAAGACATACCTGTTCCGACAGGCTTTTAATGTTTGATACTGTTGTTTTTAAATTGTTTTAAATTGTTTTTAAACTTTGTTAGATTTTAGCTATTCTTGTAAGCCGCTCCGAGCCCCAGGGGAGTGGCGGCATATAAGTTTAAATAATAAATAAATAAATAAATAAATAATAAATGCACTCTGGGGTAGTGAAAGCTTTGCTTTCAGGTGGCTCGGGGTACACAAACTTTGTTTCATGCATACTATTATTAAAATATTGTGTATAAAATTACCTTCAAGTTACAGTATATGTATGAGACAAATAAATTATTCCTGTGTTTTGATTTGGGTCACACAGCCAAGGTGTGTGTGTGTGTGTGTGTGTGTGTGCAAATATTCTGAAATACAAAACACTTCTAGGCATTTCAGAGAAGAAATACCTAGACTGTACTTTGTTTGAGCTGGGATGGATTTCCTACCTGGCAGAAATGGGATTGGACTGGATGGCCCTTGTGGCTTCTTCCAACTCTATGATTCTCTGATTTGTGAACAATATGGATTTATAAACTTCCAATTAATTTAAAGGACACACTGGCTGCAATATGAAAACATAAATGGCATTGGAAATCTTGATGCATGTGTATCTGAAAAGAGTTGGTGTGAGCTAGACGTGTTGCCTGCCTGTGTGTTCAGTAGACTGTTTTGTTGCAGGGCCTCGGAGCTGGCTTTTGCCCTGGACCCTCTGCCCTTGAATGAGCTGCCGCCTGCTCCTGCGCTCACAGAGGTATGGACAAGGGGTGGTTCTCCTTTCCTTTAATTTATGTATAGTTATTTTAATGTTTCTTTTTTTCTAGGTGAGTTGTGGGAAAGTCTTAGGGTGCAATCCAGATATTGAAAGACCCCTTAACTCTTAGACCCCTTCCACACTGCTGCTATATCCCAGGATCTGATCCCAGATTATCTGTTTATCCCAGGTTATCTGGCAATGGGGACACATATAATCCAGTTTAAAGCAGATAATCCAGGATCAGATCCTGGGATATAGGACAGCGTGGAAGGAGCCATGGATTCCTTGTAGCAGTGCTGAGATTGTGAGTCATCAGGCAAGCAACAGTAGGGAGTTTTTTTTTGCAAACAATTTTGTTTTCAGTCCCCTTTTCTTGGTTTCTCCTTTCCTTTAATTTTTTTTTATCCATGAAGCCTAAAAGTAAGAAATTCTGAGAGAAGATCCATTTTAATTAGGCAATGGCACAGTTCTCAACCATAGTGCCTTCTCTGTCAGTTTGTGAATGTTTGGTACATTGAAAACTTAAAGGTCAAGAAAAATGATAATTTTCTTTCCTTGGAACTTTTCCTGTCGAAAGGGAATTCATTATGTTGGAATTCAAGTTGTTTTCTTCTTTCTTAGGAAGATGCTCGTGACTTAGACGCTTACACACTTGCTAAATCTTACTTTGATCTCAAAGAATATGACAGGGCTGCTTACTTTCTCCGAGGCTGCAAGAGCCAGAAGGCCTACTTCTTATATATGTATTCTAGATACCTGGTAAGCTAATAAAACAATTCAGTCTCTTTTCTTTGATTTTTATTTCTTTTTGTTTGTTTGTTTGTTTTCATGAACAACCCATCTAGAAAGGAAAAACTACGTTGCCGCTTTTCTTTCTGCTGAGGCGGGTAGCTGAACCATTGTCATGAATATGTGAATATGGTATGATATGAGATGTTTATAGCAGTTGTCTTTTTTTATTTTGCAGTCAGGTGAAAAGAAGAAGGATGATGAGACAGTGGATAGTCTGGGTAAGAAATTACAAACAAATCCTTTCATGTTTTTTGTTTTTAATGCTTAATTTGGTACTCTGGCAAATTATTTTTCAAATAAATAAAATATGAAATACAAAACAAGAGCAAATATGATTCAATCCTTTACATTCCTTTCCTTGCCATACGTATTTATGAGGTTAAACTGAGTATCAGATTCTATCATTGAATTGTGCTTAATGTGTGCACATTTCTCTATATATACTAGGGTTTATAATGTTGCTTTGATAATTATCCAGATTCAAGGCATAGTAAGCAATACATCATTGCTGAATGTGACATTTTATAGTACTACTTTGATGCATCACAGAACTGTGTAAGCTTGAAACAATATCATTACATTTGGCACAGTGGGTTAATCCGCTGAGCTGCTCAGCTTGTTGACTGAACGGTTGCAGGTGAGCTTCTGCTGTCAGCCCCAGCTTCTGCCAACCTAGATCAATAGGTACTGCTCTGGCGGGAAGGTAACAGCGCTCCATGCAGTCATGGCAGCCACATGACCTTGGAGGTGTCTACTGACAATGCCTGCTCTTCGGCTTGTAAATGGAGATGAGCACCACCCACCAGAGTCAAATACGACTGGATTTAATGTCAGGGGAAAACCTTTACCTTTTACCTTAATCTTACTGGTTTTAAGTGACGAGAGACCAAAGAGGATTGATGGAAATCTTGCATGTCTAATTCTTAAATCTGCTTCTCTGGAATATTTTGAATGTGGGAAGTCTTCAAATAAAAGCAATCCAATTTGTTATTTGTAAAACACTTGGGATGCTGTAACCTCAAGGACGTTTCACCTCAAGTCATAGTCCTCTTTCTTCACTGTCTGGAGGCAGAAATTATTGAAGGAAAGTCCATAATTGAGTTTACTGATCATTGTTTTGTGTTGCTGTAAAATGTCTATTCCCATCTACTCTATTGACTATAAGCCAGTATACGTTACACATTCATCAGTTTTGCGTTGGTTGGGGAGAGATGACAGACATACTAATAGCCAATTACTCTTTTGTACAGGTCCCTTAGAGAAGGGACAGGTGAAAAATGAAGTTTTGAGGGAGTTACGGGTAGAGCTTAGCAAGAAGCATAAAGCCCGAGAGCTGGATGGATTCGGCCTTTATCTGTAAGTATCTAAGAATGACATGAATAAATTATGCAGGGACAGAGGTGGAAAAATGCATAGGGTGTGCTTTTCTGTATCTCAATACAGATTGAGTGTCCCTTATCCAACATTCCTGCAACCAGAAGTTTTGAGATTTTTTCAATCTTTTCATATATGTCAATGATGGCATATCTTGGAGATGGAACACAAGTCTAAAAATGAAATTGTTTATGTTTTATGCATTCCAGGTACATATAGTCTGAAGGTTATTTTATATATTTAAATTTAAATAATTATGTGCAGGAAACAAAGTTTGCATACATTGAATAATCAGAAAGCAGTCTCTCAAGTCGCTTCTGACATGGAAAAAAAAATCAGAAAGCAAAGGTTTATCAGCTGTCCATGTGGACATTTTCAGATTTTGAAGTATTTAGGATATCAGAATTCTGGTTAAAGGTTGCTCAACCCACTTTAATCTTACACCTCTTTTGTTTGGTACTTTGATGAAATGCACCAATACTTCCTCAAGTGCATTGTATGCAAATTCAAGAATATCAATGAAAGACTGCATACACACATACTGCAGCCTATAGCTAAGATAGATACATTGGAAAAATGAAAACAATATTTTAAAATTTTAAAATTTTGAATGTAACAGTAAGTCAGAATTGCTCTGCAGTCTGGCTTATTGGTAAAAAGTGGCATGTTGGAGCATATTGCTGGATTGTTTCCTTTTGTTTTGTCATTAGGAATGGCTGAATAAACCAAGAAACCTTCATCAGAATTAACTTCCAAACCGGGATTGGGGCTTCTTGTTCTTCTGCTAAGCCAGACTGGGTTCATAACTTCTGGCTCTTGGCTTTTTGGCGGCAAAAAGCCCAGAGCAAAAAAACAGAAATCTTGGTTCCAATATAACATTAAGCAAATTAGTACTGAAGGTTTCCTGCCTTGTCTGCCTTCTCCCTCTAGCAGGAGGAAGCAAGTGGCAGCAATCAAGCATGCTGTTCACAAAGCAAGGAACAAGATTCCTTAGTAGTTCTTGCTTACACTTACAAAGTCAGCTTGAGTGTCAGGAGTGGACATAGTGATGGCATAGACCCTTGCCTTTGTAGTATTGCTTTTTCCCCTATGTATCCCATCAGGTACGGGGTTGTATTACGAAAGCTAGACCTAGTGAAGGAGGCCATTGATGTCTTTGTGGAAGCTACCCATGTTTTGCCCTTGCATTGGGGGGCCTGGCTGGAGCTTTGCAACTTGATTACAGACAAAGAAATGGTAAGTTTGCAGATTCCCAAGGGATGTATACATTTTTAGATTCAGTCTTTGCTTCCTTGTATAATTTAAATAACAACAACAACAACAACAACTTTATTTATAGACTGCCCTCTTTCCCCAAGGGGACTCGAGGTGGTTTACATACAAAAAAGGCAAATATTTGATTGCGTTGTCAACATATACACACAGATCAAAACAATACAGAATAACATCAGTAAACTCAAATCGAAAAACAATATTTAAATAAGGCATAATTACATATAAAGACACGTAATTTAACCATGAAACACTGATATTCTGGATGGTTTTCCTTAAGGAAAAGCAGCTTAATTTAGCTGGAAAGCTGTAAATCACAGATGTCTATGTTAATCAATTCCAACCATCTAGGCAAGTGAATACTGTTCTTGGGGGGCCCACTGTAGACTCCTCTAAGTGTATCCTTCTTCTGTTGGTTGATGCCAGCTGAAGTTCCTGTCCTTGCCAGATACCTGGATGAAGGAGTTCTTCTTGGCACACATCTACACCGAACTGCAGCTGATAGAGGAAGCCTTGCAGAAGTATCAGAGTCTTATTGATGCAGGATTCTCCAAAAGCACCTACATTATCTCCCAGATTGCAGTGGCCTATCACAATATCCGAGGTCAGTAACATTTCTCAGGCGTGGTCTGCTTCCTGTTTGGCTCCTTGCAGTACTTAACTTTTGTGTTTGGCTTTCTCTTCAGATATTGATAAAGCATTGTCCATCTTCAATGAACTACGAAAGCAAGATCCTTATAGGATAGAAAATATGGACACCTTTTCTAATCTGCTATATGTTAGGGTGAGTGTTTTTTCCCCTCAGCCACTAATCCCACATTACCCACATAACTACAGAGTGTTATAAACATGTATATATGTGTATATATAGGTATGTGTATGTTATGAATAACTTTCCCACATTGGAAAAGAATGTCCCATTTCTGACACCAATTTGTCATGAATTACTTTTCCATAACCTTAAAGCATGGGTTCTTTTTATTGCAATTTCCAGTTTGAGAGGGTACATCAGATTACAGAAAAACATTTAGGCATACAGACATATAGATTCTATGCAACTATATTGGGTGTACAACAACTTACAGTTACATTGGACTAACAGACAAGGGGGAATTACATTTTCACTCAGCATTCACACCACATGTACATGCATTCATCCTCAGGCATTCAATATTACCATATCATTTTCTCCTTCCTTGGAGAAGCACCTGTTAGTCCAGTCCCTGCTTTCCTGCAGCCTGTCAACGTATAGTTCCAAAACTTCCATAACGCCATAACTTTAAAATGCAAAAACTTCATTCCCGAAGAACAATGCCAAGGATCAGATCTTTGTTTTCTATACAGCAGAACCTGACTCCCTGCACAAAATCAAAGACTCCAAAAGCATATTTCTTCCTCTTCCATTGAGAAAGAAGCCCCAAAGTGACCAGACTGCTCCCTTGCAAATCTGTCACTCCATAGTACACTATCTCTCTCCTTCCCATCGATCAGAGCATAGCAGGTGGAACAGACACCTCAGGTCTGCCACATTTTGAGCATTATTAGACTGAGTCTTTTATAGGAATATTCTGCTGATGTAGTCCCAAAGTTGTAAATTAATGATAGACGTCTTCCATCCTGGATCCATCTCAGTTTCCTGGCCAGATGTTGATCTTCTTGTTTGGGGTTGATCTTATGTTGACTTCCTTCTTAACATTGTAAACATTTCCGTTATCACTGTCTCAATTCTTGTCAAAGTTTACTTTGCAGTTCTCATTAGCAACTTTTACTTATAGTCCAGCAAGTAGGTAGTTAGTCATTGCAGGCCTGGGTCTTTTACTGGTGTTTCCTAAATTATTAGCTCCATACATCCTTCCATTCTTCCATTCATTCCCACACATCATATTAAATCCACATTTATCAGATAGGCACATTGAATTTCTTGTGACATGCAGGCAGTAAAAGTATAGTTTATCCATGTCTTCCAAGAAATGTGTTCCACTAGTTTGACTGGGACTTATTTCTTAGTGTTAGTGCTGTAACTATTTATATCCATCACTACCCTCAATTTAGCATCAAAAATACTTTTTAAAGGGTTTCTAACTTAGTCCTAAACAGGAAAAAAAGAACTCTAATAGTGGTTTACACTGTAACTTCTGACTGTTTTTGTGCCTTTGTGACTTGATCCTCTTAACAAGATGAAGACCGCAAATATGTGTTACTTGATTTCATTGCCATGGTGTTCTTACATTTTTGAAGGGTTTATGGGATGCACCCACAATATTACTTAGCAAAATTCAGATCTGTATTTCTTACTAGAATATCCTGTTTATTCGATCCAGTAATTCAGTTTGAGGACTGAAAGTTTTGAAGAGCATATTCTAATTCCTGAATTTACATCTTCTTCTCATGTTGTTTTACCTTCACATTGATTATATGGTAGCCTCTGACGCTCTGTGCTTATCTACCTTTACCTCCTTAGGGAATGAAGCCTGAGTTGAGCTATTTGGCTCACAACCTGTGTGAGATTGACAAGTACCGTGTTGAGACCTGCTGTGTGATTGGTGAGAGACTGTCTTCCTTCCTTGCTGGAAGGGGGTTGTGTTGAATCCCTTGCCCCCTTTATAAACGAGATGTTGTTTCCCAGTTCCAGGTTAACTTTGGTTCACTGATCATTGTCCTTTCTCCCAGGAAATTACTATAGTTTACGTTCCCAACATGAAAAGGCAGCACTTTATTTCCAGAGGGCATTAAAACTGAATCCACGGTATTTGGGAGCATGGACTCTCATGGGGCACGAATACATGGAGATGAAAAACACGTCAGCAGCTATTCAGGCCTACAGGTTTGTTTGAATTGGTGCTTTCCAAAATGAAAGCTTCACTTTGGATTCTGCATCCAGTGCTCTAACAAGAGTCTTCTTCCACTCTGGTTAAGCCTCCACCTCCTTGTCCTTTTTTCTCTCTCTCTGACAGACATGCCATAGAAGTTAATAAAAGAGACTACAGAGCATGGTATGGACTGGGACAGACATATGAAATACTTAAGATGCCTTTTTATTGCCTCTATTACTATCGACGAGCCCATCAACTCAGGTAAAGAAACCATCATAGCTCTCTTTTGTGTGGCTGAAATAGTTTTAGTGATGTCTTTATCAGTGTGTGACATCATATTCTTATAAAGGTTGGGAGTCATGTGACTCTTCAGCTATTTGAAGCCCCCGGTGGCACAGTGGGTTAAGCCCTTGTGCAGGCAGGACTGCAGACCGACAGGTCGCAGGTTTGAATCCGGGAAGATCGTGGATGAGCTCCCTCTATCAGCTCCAGCTCCTCATGCGGTGTTATGAGAGAAGCATCCCACAAGGATGGTCAAAACATCTGGGCGTCCTCTGGGTAACGCCCTTGCAGATGGCCAATTCTCTCACACTAGAAGCAACTTGCAGTTTCTCAAGAAAGCTATTGTAGCAGCAATGGTAGGGCTACATGATACCCACAAACTCTGTACATTAATTACTCTATTTATTTGGAAGCATCCACTTAAACATTGGCATAGCTTTATAGCAAACAACAAAACCATATGGTGTTGTGCAGACTATAGTAGATTTACTAGAGACAGAGGATTATTTTTCCTCTTTTTAATAACTACATGTCACCATATGGGAAGAGCATAGTTAAATACAATTATTGTACAGATGTTAGATAGTATTGTACTGGTCCATGTATATATACATGTACATAGATTTGCTTTATTTTTTATGAATGCGTAAATCGTAAAGTAATAAAAAGTATATGTACCTCAAAAAAATAAAAATGAAAAAGTTGTTACTGTTACAAATAGTAATGTGACTTTGACACTATATAGAGCTTCCTGCATCTTCTCATTGGCTCTTCTTTCATTTCAAGCTGAGTTAAAATCCAGATTTAAAATAAAATATTCTGATTTTAGATCCCAGTGCCAAATTCTAGATTCCTACTTGGGCATACTGTTGGATTAGTGGGAAGACTGAGTGTTCAGCATGTTTAGGATGGCTTTTGAATTCTGAGCACATTGGGTCCCTTTGTCAGCTTGCTGGCTTTTTTGTGTTTTTCGCAGACCCAATGATTCACGAATGCTGGTTGCTCTTGGAGAATGTTATGAGAAATTAAATCAGCTGGTAGAAGCTAAAAAGGTATGGGGGACTGAAATTTCCATTTCAGTATTATTTGGGTTAACACCCCAAAATTAATAAAGGCTTTGTGTTTCAGATGGACTGTTATATTGTAATATTTTGAGTTCTCTCTGTTTGTGCTGAGCCATATGTATTGTATAGACTTTTTTTGTTCTGTTTATGAATTTTGGGCAGGGTTAAATACATCAATAAGGATCACTTCTTCAAATAGTTTTCTCATTGCTTTCAGTTCTCTGTTCCAAAAAGTAGGTGCATGTGAGTGTCGCCTGGACCTTTCCTTTTTTGGGGAGGGTTACAGTTTCTAAATGTATTGCCATCTCTAGGCATTTTTGACTCATTCTCCCCTGCCAAAGGGCATTGAGGTAGGCATTTTGCTTCTAATCTGCATTAGACGGTTCATGCTCATTTCATTCTTTTTCCTTGACAGTGTTACTGGAGAGCATATGCTGTTGGAGATGTGGAAAAAATGGCACTGGTGAAACTAGCGAAGTGAGTAATGAATAGCATCTGTACTGCTTTGGATTATTATGGGCTTTCTCGGCTGGTTGGCAGTATATACACATGGGATATGTCCCTATTGTTATTGGTGTGGCCATTGCGAATGCCTGAATGAAATTCAGATGTTGTGTTATTACTCTTTTGGTCTATAAATATGTGCAAATATTTCTGCCTGATAACGAATTAGATAGTTTGGGTAGTACTATCAATTCTGTATGAAGGCTTACAGGGAATAATAATCATGTCTTCTTGGTGGATACCAAGAACGTAAAGGTTTCCCCTGACATTAAGTCTAGTTGTGTCCGACTCTGGGGGATGGTGCTCATCTCCATTTTTAAGCCAAAGAGCCGGCATTGTCCGTAGAAACCTCCAAGGTCGTGTGGCCAGCATGACTGCATGGAGTGCTGTTACCTTCCCACAGAAGCAGTACCTATTGACGTCCTCACATTGGCATGTTTTCAAACTTCTAGATTGGCAGAAGCTGGGCCTAACAGCAGGAGCTCACCCTGCTTCCCGGATTCCAATAGCCAACCTTTCAGTCAGCAAGTTCAGCAGCTCAGCGGTTTAACCTGCTGCACCACCAGGGGAACCTCTTGGTGGATACTTACGCCCAAATCACCTTTTTAGTCCTGCCTAGAATTTGTTATTGTGTGCCTTCAAGGCATTTTTCAACTTAGGGTGGCTCTAAAACAACAAGATTTTCTCGGCTCAGCGTGTGTGACTCACCCGAGGTCACCCAGTGGGTTTCCATGACTGAGGAGGGGACTGAACCCTGATCTTGAGAGTTGTAGTGCATTTCTCAAATTTTACTCTCCCTAACTAGAGTAGACCCACTGAATTCACTCAGTCATCACTGAACAATTAATTCAAGAAGTCTGCTCTGGTTAGGATTAGCCTTGTGTGGCTTTATATATATATACATACATACATACATACATACTGTAACTGTAGCTAAGTAGCAGAGATGCTAAGAATCCCTTTTAGTGACTTGTAAAGATATTCATTGGGACAGTGGCAAAAATGCCTGATGCTTATCAGGCGCTTTGCTTCTTTTGCTGTACAGTAACATAACAACAGCCCTCTAGTGGATAAGGATCGTACAAAACTAGCGAGTTCTAATTCCCGCATATTTTAGTCTGTTTACATAGATGCTGTTCTTTTTAAAAAAATGTTTTACTTAAAAAGCAAAAACCAAAACTGCACAACAAAAAACAAATACAAACCCCAAAACAAAGACTTTATTTATTGATTTACAATATTTCTATCCTGCTTTTCTCAAACCTGAAGGTGACTCAAGGCGGCTTATAACCAGGCAGTCATTTGATGCCATAACAATATACAATTAAAACAAATTTGTAAAATCCATACAATAAAACCATTAAAAACATAAAATCCATGCCTTCACTGTTAACTTCCTTGTCCAATTAATGTACCCCAACTGATATGCACCAACATCCAACCACCATTTTCCCAATTTAAAAGATAATAAACTAAATTAAAACAATAAAAATGTAAAAATATAGACACAAAGATAAAATTAAAAAACACACATATTAAGAAACTTTTCCTCTCCTCAAGCAAAGGCAACTACATATACTTCTTGTTCTACATAATGGTGTTCTGATGTGGGATTCCAAGTCATTGGCTTTACTGTCCTTTGACATAGGGCTTCTTTATCCATTTTGTTTTTTTCCAGGCTTCATGAACAGTTGAATGAGTCGGAGCAAGCTGCGCAGTGCTATATCAAATACATCCAAGATATACATTCCTGTGGGGTGAGTGAGTTCCCTTTTACTTAGGAAGGGAAAGCAGAGATACACAGCCAAACAGCTTAAATATTTTTATCTTGTTCTAGGAGATTGTGGAGCATCTGGAAGTGAGCACTGCCTTCCGCTACCTGGCTCAGTATTATTTCAAGTGCAAACTCTGGGATGAAGCCTCAGCATGTGCCCAGAAATGCTGCGCATTTAATGATGTGAGTAGACTGTTGGTAGACTGTTTTACTATAACAACAGGCTGTTGGTAGACTGTTTTACTATAATTCTATCGCTGAGAGCTGGATTTAAATGTGGTCCACTCACTATGCTTCCTTAATACAATAAAACAAATCAATGCCATTTTGAGATATCCTAGGTCAGATTGCTATTTTTGACAAGGTCAGTCAGGTTAAAAGCTGTGATAAGACTTTAAAAGAGAAGTCCAAACATCTGGAGGGCTGCAGTTGGCCCATGCCTGCCTTATCCAGAAGTTCAAATTAACCAGAAGTTCTGTGCCCTGTTGTAGGTATCCATGTCTATGAATTCCCACCACAAACCTTTCATGGAGCATGGCTGGATTTTTTCTGAGGAACTTTGGTGCATGGTGTTTCTCACCCAATTTTTGCTCTTTGCTAATGGTGTCCCTTCTTTTCCAGACCAGAGAAGAAGGGAAGGCCCTCCTGCGACAAATCCTGCAGCTAAGAAATCAAGGGGAGACATCCTCTACAGAAATTGCCACACCCTTCTTACTTCCTTCCTCACTGTCTGCCAATAACACTCCAACGCGCCGTGTGTCACCATTGAACCTGTCAAATATTACACCTTAGACCATTCCTACCTTTCTAAACTGTCTTGAGCCAAAATAATAATCCAGCTGGAATCTGGATGTCTCCTAACGCTGGCTCTCTGGGATGGGGTTTATAGCCCGCACTGAATGCTGGTAGCTCCTTATTGGGAAAGTTGTTGTACACAGATGTGTCCAGAATGAGCTGAATACTCCAGTTTTCATCAACCCTTTCTTCTTGGAATGAGATGTCATACTAGTTAAGAAGACCATTTCCCTACATCAAAACATGTTGGAATTGTTTTTCTGCCTTTCCTAGGTAATCATCACAACATGATCATTGCCAATGTGTTGAATATATATAACTCTTGAGGAGAAATAGTGCCTTGCTCTTATTTCAAGATGCAAGACTAGGTTCTTGAGCTGCTGGTCCCTCTTCACCTTTCAACAGACCAATCTGCCTTGGGTTAGTAGCCTAGGAGCCATGTAAATAGCACAACATAATGAAGAAAGGCCTGGTTTAAAAGCTGGTCACTAATCATTGTGAGAATGCTCAAGTCTGTTGTGCAGCCTAATAACATGAAACTATTATTTTTGTTCAGATAATTGGTTCTTGATAGATGAGACAAACCACCCGAGTTTGGTTTTTCATGGATATAAACAGAGCTTTTCCTTCAAAGTGGCTCTACCCAGTCCTTTGGAGAGGAGCTGATACCCATTAAACTGATGCTCTTTTTGGGATGCACAGCTGAAAGACTGAATATGCGCTTGTAACTTAATGGCTGTGACCAGCCCTGAGTGTCCCTCAACTTACTCAAGTCAACCGTGGAGTGCAGAGAAAGCCCAAAAAGGACTGTTATGCAGATAGTAATATTAAAATAACCTTGCATTCTACTTCTGTCATTAAATTGTTATCAATACATCTCCTTGTCGCTTATTTGATAAAACAGACCCGTGGTTTCCTTTTTGCATATCTTTTCCCAAGAGATGTTTTGTTTTCATCCCAATTATCATAGGCTATATGCAGTGGTTTCAAACTGTGGCCCTCCAGGTATTTTGGACTTTGGCTACCAGTTCCTGGCCATTTGGACAAGCAGGCTAGGCCTTTGGGGTGTTGGAGTTCCAAACATCTGAAGGACCACAAGTTTGACACCTTTTGAGTTATAGTGAGAGACAGACTCATGATCTCAGTTCTTGTGGGTTTTTTCGGGCTATATGGCCATGTTCTAGAGGCATTTCTCCTGACGTTTCGCCTGCATCTATGGCAAGCTTCCTCAGAGGTGAGGTCATGAGAGACAGACTCATGATCATTGAACAAGGATATAAGGCCAGGCCTTGCTGCTTTTTAATCCAGCACTATAGCCACCTACTACAATGCAGGCTAAGCCCTGCCACACAGCAACACCAGAGGCACTCTCAAGTGGCCAGCTTCTGGTCAAAGGACATTTAGTATCATGCCAAGTTTTTAACTTTGTGTTTTTAAATACATAACTGTATCCTCAATTAGCTTCTGACATGATAAATACTCAACATATATTGTATTTCTCCTAGATGCTCTGGATTTATTTTTAACTACACTTCTATTTCAGCAGTTTTAAAGCCAGCATCTATTGACACATAATGTATCTGTAATTCTTTGGTATATTCAAGGAAGAGACAAAATGAACATATACAAGATCAAGTTCTGAAAAGCATCTAATGAAGTATATACCAAAAGAGTAAACAGAATTGAGAAAGCACCTGCTGTATTTGCCCATCCTACAGAACTTTAAAACACAGGTTGTTGTTCACTCAGTTAATTAGCTTAATAGTATGCCTTTGAGAAAAGGCAAACAAAATCATTTTTACAGATAAGAGAATTTATGAAATAGAAATAATACACAAAGACAGACTGCTGTGAGAAGTATTTTCTTTTTCATCATTAAAATAACTGTAAATAGAAGACATAAGATATATTTATACACTGCATTAAACACAGATTATGAATACATATAGAATGCAGAAACACATATATAGGTCAGGAAAACAAAAGATTATAAATCCAGGTTCCATATATCCTGGAATAGCAGCTGGCCTGAACCAGTGAAAAGCCGTGCATAGTATCTTTGGGAAGGCAAAAATTTACCGTATATTCAGGCCTCAACACTAAATATCTTATATCAGGATACACATTGTGCTTCCCTCCAGATGTTAGAAATATAGCCAGTGGTATGTAATGCTGGAATTTACATTCTAGCATCTGGAGGCCTGATTCCCATCTAAATCAGTTTAAGTTCCAATTGGAGCAGACTCACTAAATCAGCAAGTGTGATAAATCATTAATAGTTCCAGTGACTGAAGGGGGTCTACTCTAATTGGAACTAATACTTCAATTTAGACCATAATACTTTTTGATACCTTGGGTTAAAGCCACACATTCATATTCATAATAAGCCCACTGAAATCAATGGTACTTAAATGCCAACAGGTCCTATAGAAGTACGGCTATATCTGGACTGCTGCTGTGGTGGCAGCAGTCTAAAAGGCTTTCAGTACTTTTTCCCAAAAGCCATGGTTTTGAATGGCGGAGATTTTCGGGCACGTAATATGCGATTGTAGGGGCTCTCTGATGTTACTGAAGGGCAGGCGACTGAGCGAGTCAAGAAGCTGCGCAAGAAAGGCTTCTTGGCAGGAGTTTGGCTTCTAGGTTGCATATTTTCACTGTTCGCACAGAAGCGTTTTTTGGCCGAGGGGGGCAGGGGTGCAGGTGCTGCCACTGCTGCTTGGAGTTTCTGTACAGTTTGGTACTGCTCTGCAATACAGGTTGCTTTCTTCCTCAAATCTATCTTCACCAGCATCATGTTGTTATGAAGTTCAGCCAGAGTCTGGTCCTAGAAAGAAGAGACAACAGAGAGAGGACTTCTGTAAAAGGTCTCACATGACAGACACAGTACGATGTTAATGAAATGCCCCAAAGTTTCAAGGGACACAATTATGGTATGAAGCTTCAGAGACTAGAGCCATTTCAGCAGACATAGCCAGGCAAGATACATGATTAGCAAATTCACATAAATGAAAACAATTGCATTCCAGTCACTTAGAAACAAAATTGGTTCGTTTTAGCAATAAAACCCGTGATTGTCCTGCATCTTAACCTATACAGCAGTGGTTCCCAACACGTGGTCCATGGACCAATGGGCCACAAGAACTAAAATATGGTCCATGGCCTCACCATTACTACACAGTTGCAATGAGAGTGACTGGTTTCATGAAACCCTCTTATAGTGCCAAGACTTATTAAATATGGTTTTTTATGGGTGAGCAGATGGCAACTACTGGATGGCATCTGTTCTCTATCAGAAACTAGAGCTGATGTGGTCTATCCAATGCAATTTTCGGAATCAGCACCCCAAATAACCAAACCGAATCTAAAGTTGACCAAAAACCAATTTGCAACCCTTTTGATACTGATGTTGGAGAGTGGTCCCTGGTCAAAAAAAAGGTTGGAAACCACTGTTATACAGGGGAAATGATATGAAGATTTCCCCATTAGAAGCACTGAAATTGGCCCATCAATAAGGATGGGCTTGAGGAAATCCATAGTATCTGGACAAAGAGTATATAGTTTGTGTGCAAGATTGATGATCTTTCTGCTTTGTGTAGTATTACCCTGTTCAGATTTAACTGGATCAGAATCCACTTTTTTAAAGACAGAGCAAACAGAAGGAGAAATAATAATGAAGGTGCAGGGAAAACAATGAAATAAACCAAAGAGAAAGCAGAGAACTGTCAAATTCTCGGTCAGTGGAGAAAGCCTTTCAAGCAAGGGCTAATTCCAATCACATGTTAGGCAAGATTTCCTGTGTATCTTCTGAAGTGTATTTACTATGGGATCCCTAGCTCTTCTCAATTCTTTTTCCCTGCCTTGTCCAGGAAAGCTAGTTTCTCTGTGCTCAGGCTCACACAAAGAAAGGGGAATGGCAGTGGAGGAGGGGATTCCAGTGAACAAAGGCTGACTGCTCTTCACTTGTCTTAAGAGGGCAAAGGAAAGGCAATTGGCATGGAGGGAAGACCTCTCACCAGCTGCTGGGACCAAGGCATGATGATTTTTTAAATGCAATCAGGTATAGGCCAAGAACCTCTATCAGAATAGCTTTCCCATGCCTTTCCTTGCCTTTCTCCCATGCCTGCAGATGTCAACGCCCAGGAGAGGAAGGCTGAATCTGAACATGAAGCAGGGAAACAAGGGTGTGCTTGCAAATGAAAGGAGGTTCTGGGATGGATCGTAAGGGCAAGAGGATAGACCCCAACTATAGTCATACATATGTCCCATGTAAGATGCCACTCTTTATAGCTCTCCAGATATTGTCTGGTTTAGGAACTATATATGATTTTATTGGACTGCTGTGTGAAGTTGTTTTAATTGTTGCGATCTGAGGCTGCAGTATTAGTAGTTGCATTTCTTGTGGCCCTAAATCTTTTTGTTCTGCAGGGTGAGATAAAAACTGATCTTAATGAACTAACATTGTGCCATAACATTTTGGCACGATTCCTTCCCTTACCTGCTTGATCAAGATCCTGTCACAATTAGCAAGGGTCTCACGGAGCTTCCCGGCCCCTGTGCTGTGACAACAGGCTCTTTCAGCTGACTGGAGCGACTCTTCCAGCTTCAACAACTCAGAACGCAGCAGCCTCACATTCTGAAGGAAGAAAGAGAGTCAGCACCAGACATCCAGCTCCAGAACAGAGAGAATCAATTACACCAGAAAGCCCACAGCAAGAAGGGCAAAAAAGACAGGATGCAGCTAATACATGGAAACACTGTGTTTTTGGGAGGACATTCCCAGAAGTCTGCAACCACTATGGCCAAAAATAATTTCCAAGCTCTAAGTACACCCACTGCAGGAAGATAAAGATCTGTGCTAAAGGGTTGAACCATACTGTTCCTCCCAATGAAAGCAGATCCATTGAATCGATTTGCTTTTCAACTATGAATTCGGTGACTTTACTCTAGTTGGGGCTAACCAGTATGAATGTGAACATGGTAAAATTGATCAGTGGCATTTGCTAGGGAAAATGACCTTCCTCTCTCTCTCTTCTACATCAATGCAGTTACCTTTTGACCTTCTTCTAGTTTCCGATCTACATCGGCAGTTATGGGCTTTGCAGAAGGTGGAGGTTCCATCATCCTCTGGAATTTACGTAACTCTGAAGGGAAGCAGAGCAAAACACTGCAGTTGTTACCTCAACAATTGAGGATTTAACTCTGAAATTAAAACTCTACTGAGTTTTAATTTCAGAGTTAAATCCTGAAACATGTAATGCTGTCTCTTAACAAATATAAGGTACCCTTACAGTTGTGGCAGTTCTGAACACCAACCATTCTGGTTTTCAAAAACCTGAATACCTTGGCACATTCCCTTCTAAACAAAGTCAGGCGGCATGACTGTAACAAGGTTTTAGAGTTTGGTCTTGGTCCAAAACCCTGACCCTACAATGATAAACAATGAGGAACCTGAGAAAGTTTGTGCTGGATATTAAATAAACTCAGGAAGAGACCCTGTTTTTCATGATCTGCTCTGCAATACACTACTGAGGTTTGATGACCCCAATTTCTGTTTTGATTATTTCTAGGCCTCAGGGTAGAAGCTCTTGAAGACAGGTATGCAATTAGTGTAAAAATGTTAAGCTGATGAAACACCCAACTGGCATTTCTCTGCCTCCAAGATACAGAAGAGCAGCAACTATTTGCTGGACTTAATCTCCTCCACTGCTTTCTCCTGCCCAGGATCTTTTTGATCGAAGGGTGGGATAGACGTGCTAGTAAACAGATTTCATTTTGCTCTGGCTTTCCCACTCTCTTTGCCTGCTACAATAAATCAAGCATAAGGTAGGGACCTGTAGCTTTTCCACATGTTTTTGGTCTATGATTCTCACTAGCCCTGACTAGTTGGGCATGGTGTTAAGGGAACTTTAAAAACACCTAGAGATATTTCCATGTTCATTGGAATGCAAGGTGTGCTCTCGAATGGTGATTCTCAAACTCTAATCCTCCAAGTGATTTGGACTTTTAACCTGCAGAAGCCTCAACTGCCTTGTTCAATGATCAAGTATTAGGGAGCTGAAGTCCAAAACACCTAGAAGACCACAGTTTGGAAAACACTGCTCTAGATTTTTGTATTGTTTTATTTTTCCCCCACTCCCACCCTCCCCTCCTTGTATATGCTATTTATACATCAAACTACAGAAGTTACATTTGAAATGTCAGTCTCAGTCTTATTTTTTCTACTCCACATATTAGCACATTTTCTAAATATTTCCTAACTGGTTCCCACATCCTTAGTTATTGTGACCTTTTCAATTTTATCTATATTATTCCATTTACAATTTGTTATTTCCACATTTAACATATTAACTATATAGTTATACCAATTGAAAACACTGCTCTACATTAGCAGCTTCACTGTTTGGCAAAAGAAATATTGGCAGGAGGCCTAGATTGTAAGCCACCTTGAGTCCCTGCTGGGGTAGAGAAAGGCAAGGTAGAAAGGTCGTAAATAAATAAATATAGGTGGTAGTTTTGGAACAATTCACTGCTAGAAACCCAATTTCTAAGTTCTTCAAGCAGAACATTTCCCACCATTCACTATGTGGCCTGATCTCTTCTCAAAAATCTCCTTGGAGTTTGAGCAGCCACAAAAGGAGATCCTCACCTTTATTGGCTGTGCTCAACTCTGCCTGGCATTGCTCCAACTTGGCCTGCATCTGCTGCTGCAAATTCTGCTGCTCGTTACATGCCACTCGTTTGGACCTGCGGAATGATTCCTCCATTTCTTGAGACTTTAGGTCTTGGGATTGTTGCTGTTGTTTGGCTTCTTGCAAAGCAACTTCTAAATCTTTGATTTTTTCATCTCTTTCCTGAAGAGGAAATACAGAGGAAACACAGGACTGGAATTAAAGGAAACGAGAAATTGGACTTACCATGAATATTCAACCTGGGAAGACAGGAGAAGCAATCCACTATGATTGGGTTTAACTTCCACATGCCAACTGAACTGGACTGGCCGGAGACTACATTCTTTTTCAGCTGAGCCACTAAGACCCTTTCTCCTTCTCTGACAGTTTTATTATGAAGCCTTGACTTACCTAAATTTATTTGTTTTTGTTACTGGTCCCAGGATGTCAGGATTGTGTCTCCTGACATCCCAGAATAAACCTTCATGGTAAGTTCAATTTCCCATTCTTGGGATTGCAAGGAAGACCAATCCACTATGATTGGAACTCATCCAAGCCCTTCTGGGTGAGAGAATCACTTTGATGTTACAGACTGCAGCATAGTGCTTCCAAAAGCTGCTTCTGCTGACTTACATCAGTCCAGCTTATAGCATCTCACAAACACTGAAGTCCTGGCCCATCCTGCAGCATCACAAATATTCTGCAAGCACACTTCAACAGACAAATTTGTTGATAATGTCCATGATCCTGTCGAATGTAGCCAAACATATTTTGGTTGTGGCTTATAGTTATGGTATTGCAATATGTATGCCTTAATTAATCTTCCAATAACCACTCTAGATACTCTTTGCCCCAAGCTCCTAGAACTGTATGATATAAACAAACCCCCTGATTTAGGCACAAAAAATGAAAATAAGTGACTTCCAAGACACTCTTTTTCGCTTAGCACTTAAGGCAGATCTATTATTAATTTTAATTTTTCCTACTCAACTGACAGAAATTAGGTCTCGCTAATAAAGCTGCCTGCTTTGACAACCTTCTTGATGATGTTATGGGAACCAAGAATGCCATTTTAAACAAAAGCATTCTTCCCAAAGCCTCCCTAATAGGTTCACGTGAAGTTGTTGTCAACCTATTCAGCACTAAATTCTAATTTCTCTAAATAAACCCAAGTCAGTATAGAATAACGGGACTTGAGAGAAACCTCCCACAGGATGGTGAAACATCTGTGTGTCCCTGGGTAATGTCCTGGCAGATGGCCAATGATTTCACAAACCTCCAGAGAAGGAGACTCCACCACCCCTCAAGGCTGCATATTCTACCACCAAACAGCTCTTCTGTTCTGTTTGTGGAACTGTAGCTTACTGACTGTGAAACTGCAATAGGATCAGTTACACTTTTGAAGAATAGCTCCCACAAACTCAGCAGTAAGTCATTTTTCCAAGCTCTGATGAAAAGCAGCTGTAGAACACAAGTGTAAATATCAACTCCAAAATCTGGAACCTTATGGTGCCTCCAACCATTCACAGCTAGCAGACCTATTTACCACATCTCTTGTGGAAGATGGGATTTGCAGACCTATCCTTTGGAAGGATGCTGAGCTTTAGTATTTTTATTTATTTTTGTGTTGGCAACATGATCATTTTAGCCTGCTTACATACATCCAGGACTCTCTGATCATATTACTCTCTCACCCAAAAGGAACCCTACCACAGACCTACATCTCCTTGTTCCTTGTTTGCGAGGATTTAGCATGCGTTGATTTCATAGTAAGGGTGTGTGAAGCAGAAGAAATCTGTTCTGTTTTTGTTTCAAATCCCCCCCCCCCCCCGGTCCTATTTTTGGGGAAATGATTCCTGAAATGGAAGTCTGGAACCTGAACTACGAATCCAAACACACACACAATCTCCTAGTTTCCTGGAATCTTCCTGAAACAAAACAGGGGGACCCACAAATTGCAATGAAAATAAAATTGATTTCTGCTGTTTCGCACACTCCTATTTCAGAATATTGGTGGCAGGAATTTAACAGATTCATATTAAATGTCAACAGTCCCTTAAAGACAAGATGGCTTTTGAACACTCTCAATGTCACAGTTTTTGTGCTTCCAATCTATGACCCAGACAAATTGAACTAGCTAACTCTGTAGATTAGGCTTGTTCCATACACACATTCATTCCACAGGAAACATTTTCATTGCCAACTTCAGCCAGTGAAAATTCTGCTGGGTTGCCCAAGGCACTGATATCTCCCTAAAATGCCTTCTATATCGTGTCACTCCTGTGCTTCAGGGCCACATGAGGTGGGGCTGCTTTATGAATGATCTCAGCTGCAAGTACTTGTCTTCAGGATGCTTTGCATAGTCTTCTCTTCTAGTTCAAACATACCTCAATTTCCTCCAGATAATAGTCTGTCAGCAACTCCTTCTGATTGTTCAGGTTGCTTTCATGCAGCTTCTCCAGTGCCTCCTTTTCGGCTTCCAAATAATCACTGCAGGAAAGGAAGATTAAATGAGAGGGGGAATGAGAAGAAAGAGCCACATTACACAGTGAACCAATGGAAGAGTTATTTTGCTGCCTGAGGTGAAATATAAAATAATACTCCTCCTCTAATACCAAAGTAGATCCAAGTTAAATCTTAATTTAAGACAGGGACAGGCAAGGGGGTGGTATCCCACACTCAGGAATAGTACCCTTAGCACAGCGTTCACAGGTTTGCCTAGTACTAGTATCTCTCTGCTGTTTTGTAGCATCCTCTGCTGGAGGCAGAATATCAAGAAAATGTCCCTGCTAAGGATTAATCAGCACCTTTCATAGATAGGACATAACTGTAAAGCAACGGTACCTCCACCACCGTTCCTTCTCTTGGAGCTTCTCCATCATCACATTGCAGATCTCCTCACGGACCTGCATTTCCATCTGAAACTTCTCCCGGCGCTCCTTCAGTATCAGTTCTTGTACAGCCTCAAGAGCCTGGGTAAAAAACATAGTACGGGGGAAATGATGAGCCAAGAAAGAACACAGCAAGGGCAGCTTAACCGGAAGAGTCAAAAGTATTACAGAGATCCCACAATTTGATTTGTTTGGGTTCTAATCAACCATATGGTTAGAATCCTGTGGGTGACATACATATCTGGTCTGGTATACATATCTTTATGCATGAAGATCTACGGCCCTGGGAAGGGAATATTCAGTAGCACGAATTTATGCTACACCGGCATTACTCAAAATGAGTGAGTTTCCAGGAAATAATCAGTTGTACACAATGGATACATTGGCAAAATATTCTGGGAATCCCATACACCAAATGCCTTAACTATGCTACAAAACTGCTGAGCAAGATCTCACCTTCTCAAGCTCCTGCAAGTCCTAGAGATGCTAGGTGACTGCTATTAACCATGTTGAATGCTTTTCTAATAAAGTCCAGATCTTATGAAAATTATTTTAATGCCTTAAATCTGGCTTGATTTTGCCAGGTTTTCAGCATGTAAGAGTTCACATCTCTGCCTCTTCTTGGCTGAGACCTAGACATAAATCTGTCTATCTATCTAGATCAGGCATGGGCAAACTTGGGCCCTCCAGGTGTTTTAGTCTTCAACTCCCACAATTCCTAACAGCCTCAGGCCCTTTCCTTTTCCTCCTCAGCTCCTTTTCCTCCTCAGCTTAAGCAGCTGAGGAGGAAAAAGAAAGGGCCTGAGGCTGTTAGGAATTGTGGGAGTTGAAGTCTAAAACACCTGGACGGCCCAAGTTTGCTGACGCCTGATTTAGGCCCAAAGACAGCAAGCTCTTTGCTACAACCTTGTGTCTTCTACTCATGCCATTTGGCAACATTAGGCTTGGCCAATGATAAAGGAATGGACTTGCCTCTTTGCCAAATACAGTCACATCTGCTTCATCCTCACTTCCTTCATTGGATGCTGTTTCTTCATCCAAAACATCCATGGAGACCTTGGGGCTTCGAATGCCATGTTCCTTGACAAGAGACTGGATGGTCAAGAGTCCCACCTTTGAAGGAGCCTGGATGAGCTAGGAAGGAACACAGTGTGGCAAGTAAATTCAAAGGCCTTTCTGCAAGAATGTATTTTCTTCCAGTTTTTGGCCACAGCAAGGATTGCCATTTTCCCTAACACCAACTTCCGAGAGTCTTCTGACCAAGTTTTTTCCCTGTTATGGCTTCTAAAAAGGTCTTGAGCCAAAGTGGCCTTCAATATATATGCAAAGTGCTTTTTCTTTTAATAGGAAACAGATGGTGGCATTATTATTTTTACTATTTTAAGGTTGAACTTTATTTGTGTTATGGAAACCTTGTTCTTGTAAATAGTAAAACCGTATTACTTTGCTATAAAGAAAACCCTCCTACGAAAGAGATAACATTGCTCTGTGTGTTTTTGTTCTTTTTACCACTTTTGGCTACTGGTGCTGGGTCACACTGCTGCTAAGTTGCCTTGCTGTACATTTATGAGGAGGGCCTTTTGTTAATAAGCCCACTTGCTCAACATTTTCTACATTTTTCTTTTTACTATAATACCTTCCCACATTATTCAGGGGGCATGGAAGTAATTTTGCTATTTTAGGTCCAAGAGATCCCTTTTTAAAAAGCAGGAGAAAGCTGAAGTTGATAGCCCAGGAAGAGCCAAAGGCATGGCAAATTTGCAGCTCCTAAACTGTGGGATATCTAGGGATTTTATATATATCTATTTTAAAATGTGTGGGCATGGCAAGGAAAGAATGTTCTCATGAGGTTTTACGAGGGACTGAGGGAGGCCCCCAGTCCCTGTCAGTTGCTGCCCCCGCCTTATACCCTTGCAATGGGATAGAGAGAAAATAGCAAGGAAACATCTGATGCCGGCCCTCATCCACAGAGACCTGAGGCTCACAGTGGCCACTGGTGCCTGCTGCCTTACCTGGCTGGCAATGGCAGAGAATTTAGTCACATGGAGAGTTTCATCATATGACGATGCGCATGGGTTGATGTTAACAATCATACAGGACTGCCCACGCCCGGTGAAGAAGCCTTGGAAGACACGAGTTAGCTTGCTGTCGCGAAAGGGCACAACATTCTGCTTCAGCCTATTTGGGAATTTTTTTAAGAAAGAGGGGGAGGGGAAGAGTTGACAAGAAGCATCTGATAAATGCAATTCTATGAGCTGCAGAACACTTATACATAATCAGCAATTTAAAAAATTGGACTGGACTTAATACAGGAAGTACTTCTTTTGAGTTTCCAACCAACTGGGTGATGCACAGCATATTTTTTTAAAGGTCAATTGAGGGTCATTTCAAACTCACTTAGATTGCTGGTTCTGTCGCAGAGTCCTGAGGCAACGCCCCAAAGTATGCAAAGACGTGTTGATGTTATTTGCCTCTTTCATGCGGTCCCCAGTTCTCTGCTCTTTGCAGCGCTCTGAACCAGCCAGGTCACACAGTGACAGCCTGGGGAGAAGAGAGGATGCTGTCAGCATTAGGATTCCAGGTGGTCCCAGTCCCTCTCATGGAGGTTTGTTTTTTCTCCATGCTTCAGGGGTGCATCTAAGCTGTTGATTAAATGACCCCTATCTAGTTGTCATGGCTCAATCCCGGGTGTTGTAGTTTGGTGTGGCACCAGCACTCTTTGACAGGTAAAGCTAAAGACTTTGCAAGACTACAGTCCCCAGGATTGGCAGTTAAAGTAATGTCAAAATGCATTAATTCTACAGTGTGGATGCACCACAGGTTAAAAATCAGATCTGTGTACGTATGGGGACCTCTTTAACCAAAGATTGAAATCGGCTTCAGAAAGGGTATTGAGGGCTTCATTGCTTTGTGTGTGTGTGTGTGCAAATAAAAATAAATAATGAATATGCTCCTTGAGCTTCAAGCTGTTACTTCCAGTAATAAAACTGTAATGTCCATGCAGTCGACTGCCCCCTTTGGACGAAGAAAAAAATCCTAAAAACACTGGGAGAGAGGGCAGACTCAGACCTTAGAAAAGTCAATTTTGGGCCAGGGCATGAAGTTCCCACTCCTATTGAACTTTCAATCAGTAACAGCTGTTTAAGCAAGGAACAGACGGATTTGAAGAACAATAGATTACATATTTTTGAAGGTTGGACAGCTAATTTTGGGAGCGCCTATTTATTGTTCTTCCAGTACAGAACCCAGCAATATGCAACAAATTAAAAGTCTAAAAATACAAAAAAGAGAATTCTATTAAAACAGTAAGTTAAAAAAGTTTAAAACACATGTGAAAGATAAGAAAGAACAGCATGCTCAATTAAAAAGCCCTTCTACCATATGAATTAAGAGTCAAAGGCCCTTTTTAGCTTGTGGGCTGAAGCAGAACAGAGCAGCCTCCAAGAAGGCCCCCTTCTCCTGTGCGGTGGGGACTAGGTGGCCCTTGCGGACTCTTTTAAATATGAGTCCATGTTCATGCAGAGCACTACAGCCCAATAAAAATTCTGTTTCAGAATTTAGGTTGGTCATGTTCAGCAGAAGACAAAAGAGGGTCAATTATATCCCATGTTGATTTCAATTGTCACCCAGAGCAAAGGGAAGGAAGTGGCTGAAATATTTCAGATACAAAGTTGCCATTGTGAGCAAATTCTTGTAGTTGGTATGGATGGTGCTTCTCTCGAATACTACACAAACCCCTGAGGCAAGACAAAAACAAAGATCGCCCTTCCCTGTTCCCACTTTCAAAAAATTCAGCCACTTGACAGCCCTGAAAGTCTCCATATGTAAATTTTTTTACTTACTCACTGATTGTGGGGACCATTTCATTGTTGCTTCCTTGAAGGTGTAGAATTCGAATAGAGAATATGCTGTGACTGCAGAGAGCAAGAAAGTACAGCAGTTTGTTTCAAACTCTTCACTCTTTTTACATTCCTGCGTATACCCCAGCCACTGTGGAAATTCGAACGCAAAAAGCCCTGCCTCCATCAGCACTACCGAATACAACAATAATATTGCAAACCTGCGGCTAGAATTTTGGTTCATGTGAGTGCTCGCAAAACTTTGGTTTCTCCGACCGAGTTTCAAGAGTCTCCAGGCCTCGTTAGCATCTTTAATGTTGATCCAGTTAAGATCTGAGAAGAGGGAAGAGGTCATGGAGTTCAATATATCAAGCTTTCTATCACCATTTGTATCACATGTTGATGACATTTTATTTACAGGAGTGATCAGCTGGATCCTGCAGAAACAGAGCAGCTGAACTGAGGTGACAATCCTCAGAGAGGAGGTGGATCTTTACCTTTGACATAGGGATTGCCTGTTTGGTCCTCACACAGCCGCAGAGTGGGCCTCTTGGGGTTCGGGCCATGCGGACTCATCTCCAGCAAGTCATAAATCAGCTCATTGTAGATCTCAAAGAAGGAAATCCAGATGGAAAACTGTACATCCTCTTGATCCAGTAATGATACTTGATCCGAGTCATAACAGGGCAGATGCGTCTCTACCAAGGAAAGCCAAGGATGGATCTTGTCAGTTATCATATCACAGCCTGGCCCAGTTAACACAGATTTCCTCAAATCCCTTCAAATAGAAAGTTGCTCCTTCATCAAAGCCTGCACCCAACCTATAAACTTCAATAGCTCTCCTTATTGTTAAAGCGCATGTCTTGCCCTATTAAGGAGGAATCTGCAAAGTTTCTCACATGCCTCTGAATCACAAACACTTTCTGAGGCGTACACAGTTGGTGACAAGAGGATTAGCTTTATTGAGACCATTACAAATCCAGCTTCCCAGAAAGTGTTCAATGTCGCTCCCCAAAAGGTCAATTAATTCAGATGAAAATAAATTATGATTATAAATCAAAACCCCTGGAAGACAGTAACCAATCTCATGCTGAAAGCATTGTATGGGGAGGTATGAAATGTAGCCTTAAATGACAAACTATCAATGGAAATCAGGGAATTCAGGGGGAAATTAAAAGATCAGAATTAGATTCTTATTGGTTGGTTTTCATTAAACATATTTTAGAGAGTGATAAGGAAAAACAATACAACATTGTTGGTCAGGAATTTTGGATATGGCATTTGTTTACTGATTGACTTCTGAACTTACGGCAAAGGAAATTATACTTGTTCAGGCCTTGGTGGTGAGGATATGTGTTTGTAAAATGTTCCTTGTTTTGTGTTCTGTTCAGGTAACCTGATTTTACTGTTACTTAGAGCAGCATCTTACAAACAAGCTGGAATGTGTCCAAAGGTAGGTGACTAAAATGATCAAGGATATGGAGAACAAGCCCTGTGAGGAGCAGCTTAAAGAGCTGAGCATGTTTAGCCTGCAGAAGAGAAGGCTGAGAGGAGACATGATGAGAGCCATGTATAAATATGTGAGGGGAAGTCATAGGGAGGAGGGAGGAAGCTTGTTTTCTGCTGCCCTGGAGACCAGGACATGGAACAATAGCTTCAAACTACAGGAAAGTGGTTTCCTCCTGAACATAAGAAAGAACTTCCTCACTGTGAGAGCTGTTCAGAAGTGGAACTCTCTGCCCCGGAGTGTGGTGGAGACTCCTTCTTTGGAGGCTTTTAAACAGAGGCTGGATGGCCATCTGTTGGGGCTGCTTTGAATGCAATTTTCCTGCACCTTGGCAGGGGGTTGGACTGGATGGCCCATGAGATCTCTTCCAACTCTGTGGTTCTATGATTCTATGAAACAACTCAAATAAACACCCAAAGGAAATGGGTATGTGGACGCTTTTGCTGAATTCCAAACATGCCAGATGTTCTTGATTACTTTCTTATTTATGAAGTTTTCCTTATTTTGAGTTTTGATATTTTTCATTTCTTGAAGTCTCTCAACTTTGATTACAAAAAGCAGGGAAAAAACAGTCCCAGAAGCTGAATGTGAGGGCTGTAGGTACCTTCCAGCTGACTGGCACTGGTCTGGCTGGCAGACTGGGAAGTGGAAGAGATGCCACCAAAGCCGCTGTCAATGCTTGTGGTTGTTTCTTGGGATGCTTGACATTTGTTCAGAGAAGTATAGAGGAGCTCCTCCTACAAAGCAAGAAGAAAGGAAGACTACCACATTATTGACCGAGTAAAACTTAAGTTACCTCCACAGAATCAAAGGACTTGGAAGCACTCACCTCTTTCATCCTGCCACACATCAAAGCCTGTTTTTTCATTTCCTCCTGTCGAACCTGCTTGCTGTCCAGCCAGATTACCTCACTCGAGAGGATGGGCTTCAGGTCTGTGGCTTGGTACAGCTGAGTCCCAATACTGTTGAATATAACAGCCAAGGAACGGGGCAGGATTCCCCCATCAGCCCCATTTCCTGTATGCCAAAGAAAAAAATGTGAGAAACTCCTCAAAGCCAGACTCTGTCTCTAGGGCAGAACTTATACCAGCAGATACAAAATGTGTATTACCTTGGATAGTATAGGTTTTCCCTGAATTAGTGACACCATAGGTATAAACAAGCCAATTCTTTCCATTGAGCACATCCTTTACCACATCCTTCATTGCTGCATCAAAGAAAGACTTCTGGCTCACCTCTGGTCCAAAGATCTGTATTCCAAACACAAGTTAATTCTTTGCAAGTTACTAAAAGCTGGGTGAAAGAACTTAGAAAAGTTACAATTCTTAGTATCCATCACAACTGAGAGACTAGATCTGAGTGCTTACCTGAGTGAAGGTGCATTTATGTATGGCATGACCGATGCCTCGTTCTGAGTTTTTATTTGTGAAAGAATCCTTGGGCGCTTTGAGAAGAAGAGTTTCGGGATTCTCGATACAGACACAGCCCTGGGAAGGGAATGTTCAGTAGTCAACACAATATACTGTGACAGCACAACCACCTTACTGAAAACAGGCTTACAGATTTATTTATTTATTTATTTCAAAGTTTTCTATACCGAGCTTCTCACCTCTTAGAGGGACTCAGCCCGGTTTACAACCATAAAAACATACAATCAGTAAAATATCATAGTTCATAATTACAATTAACACATTTAAAATAACAACTATATTTAAAACTATGGTGGTCAGTCATCATATTAAAAACAAGTATACCTCATCTTCCATCCACAATCCTAGGGTGCTGTCTCATTCATCGAAAGCCTGTCTCCACAACCACGTCTTCACCCGTTTCCTGAATGTCAGGATAGACGGGGCGGTTCTGACCTCCAGTGGGAGAGAGTTCCAGAGTCGCGGGGAAGGCCCTGTCTCTCATCCCCACCAGGTGCGCTTGTGAGGCCGGTGGGACCGAAAGCAGGGCCTCTCCAGACGATCTTAGTAATCTTGATGGTACGTAGGGGAGAATACGTTCGGAGAGGTAAACAGGGCCGGAGTCGTTTAGGGCTTTATAGATTAACACCAGCACTTTGAATGATACCTTGCCTCACAGTCAAATGACTTCCAAGATGCCATAATAAAATCAGCCATAACAGACAAGTCCTTAGACCTCTCTCTGGTGATATTGGCCAAAATGATTTGTTATTGAAAAGCTAAATTATTCTATTTTAAAATGTTTTTATTGTGTGTCTCCCACACTAAAATTGCATATTTTGCTTCTAAAAACAGGCTAAACCAGGAGATAAGACCACACTTCGGATCAAAAAAAGGGATAAGTAGTTGCTAATGAGGACATTCAGAATTAGTCCCTGGCATGCAAAGAATACAGGCTGTAGGACTCGTGAGGTCCTTTGAATTGCTAAATCAGGAGATATACATTGTTTTCTAATTCAAAACCCTGACAGAAGAAACACCACATCCACAAACTGCCATCACCCAGAACTAGCCCTTTATATGTCATTGGCCTGCAACTCCTATGAGTCCCAGTCAGCACAGTCAACAGTGAGGAGTAATGGGCCTTCCAGTTCAACATTCGAAGGGCCAGTCATTCCACCCTGAAGCAAGTTTATGATTGCCCATCTTAAACCCTATTTCTATATTGACAGGCAGAACCCTATGCACCAATGGCAAAACAGCCAAATGCCACATGTTCCCTCTGATAAAAGCTGTCCTAGGCCACCTTGCTGTTGACCCCCCCCTTCTCTTTGTCCTAGACACTCACTTGATCTTCTTGCTTCTCCACTTCAGATGGCTTCAAAGGGCGCACCCTTGCATACACCTTCACTTTCCCATCGGCATCAGAAGCAGCCTAGAGAGAGGACAGTTATTTTATTATCTAGAGCAGGAAACACTGCCAGCCCGAGACTGCAGCCCTTTACACACTGATCTGAAAGTCAATTTCTTGCCATTTATTAGACTTCTGAGTATTATTTATTTATATCCTGCTTTCCCCCCACGGCTGGGATTCAAAGCGGCATACAGTGTTAAAAACAAAAATTACTGACACAAAATTCGACAAAAAGCATCATAACTAAACAAACAGATTGCACAGTCCATAACCCATATAAAACAACCAACAATTCATAAACTACTACATATACTATTTAAAAAATCCCTGAATCTCAGACAACTGAGGATATCTATGCAAGTAAACATGTTTAGCATCATTCTACAACTGTTTAACAACTCAATCATTGAATATATGCCTAAGGTCTGACTCCAGAAGCCCTGTCTTGACAAAACGGCTGGTGTTTAGAAAGCGTGACTGTGATGTTTATTGTCTACTCTTGATAATCAATTCTACTAAAGATCCAGATTTGGCACAGCCAGTTCCCAATCTTCTTTCCACATTTTATGTCAGTGCCATTAGATCCGTGGTTCTTAACCTTTGGATCCCCAGATGTTTTGGCCTTCAACTACCAGAAATCCTAACAGCTGGTAAACTGGCTGGGATTTCTGGGAGTTGTAGGCCAAAATACCTGGGGATAACCACAAGTTGAGATCCACTGCATTAGACTCAGTGAATTCAGAGAAACTCTATTATCTCGTTGGTTCTCAGCTCACAGCCACCGGCATTCAATTCTTAGGTACAGAGCCCACATTCGTCATTTACTCACTGGCCAATACATATTTTGGCGCCTCAAATGTTAGCCGTTTCTGAATATATTTGACTTGCTTATTTTTTTTAAATGGCACGAATTCCCCCTCCCAGCTCTAGTTTTTGTGCTACAGAACATATCCATCTACCAGTCGCTATCTGCTCACTCACAGAAAATCATAACTACATCTAAGAAACTAGGGCAGTCTATCCAATGCAATTTTCTGAATGACCAAAATGCCAGGAAGAGGCCTAAAAATTAAGAATTTTTGTTGGGCTTTGTTGTTCTTTGCCTCTGAAGTATAAGGATTACAGAGAATCTCCAGCTGCTTCCCTGGTTTGTAGAAGCCAAAAAAAAAAAAAAAAAATCTAAGGGGCAAGGGTTTTTGCTCCTCACTTATTTATTTATTTATGGCATTTATATTCTGCCCTTCTCACCCCGAAGGGAACTCAGAGCAGCTTACAAGATATATATACATACAAAATATTATATTACTAGCATAGCACAATACCAGCATTATATATTACCGTATTGTACTATACTATTATATTGTAATGTTATTAGTAATATTACATGTAATACAAAATATATAATTACAATATTGTATTATTATTAGTAGTATTATATTGTATTACATTATAATATTATAAATATTATATGAATATACAACAGTGGTTCTCAACCTTGGGTCCCCAGATGTTTTTGGCCTACAATTCCCAGAAATCCTAACAGCTGGTAAACTGGCTGGGATTTCTGGGAGTTGTAGGCCAAAAACATCTGGGGACCTAAGGTTGAGAACCACTGATATACAATATATTATATTATTAGCATAGCACAGGAGACAAGATGGAACTGTTCTCTTAGTCCCCTTGCTCTTCACTTTGGCCCAGAGCAGCAGTTGGTGTTGGGAGAGGGGCTCTCAACCGCTGACACACCTAATCACTCTTACCTGCTCATGGGATGTAGAGATGGCAGATAGATCTGGCAAGAGACTTCTGCACAAGCCAGGCCCACAATCTGCCACCGTGGATTCCAGTACAGGGGAGGCAACTCCTTCTTCATCTGAAAATAGGCTCGCTGGAGACTCAAGTCTATGTGCCATAGTGACTGACAAAAAAAAAGTCCAGAGGAAGAAGAGTTTAGAAAGAGACTTCACTCCAGGGTTCCCCACTGCTGTCCCTTTCTGCGTGAGGACAGTGTATGGCAAGAATGGGAATTGTGAAGCTTTCCAGACATAGTTCATTTCCCATTTTCAGCAGTCTTTATATTATTATTAATAGTATTTATTTACCATATTAATATCCCACCTTTCTCACCCCGGAGGGGACTCAAGGCGGCCTTACAACAGGCAACAATTTGATGCCATACAAACAAGTATCAAATAAACACAATCAAAACCAAACAATTAAAACATTAATTATCAGTCTTTACCAGTTTAGGTAACAATAAGGAATATTGGGAGTTGCAGTACAACATCTGGAGGGCATCTCCCCTCAGCCATGTGGCACATGTGCTTGAATGACAAGGCGAACTGTGCTCGGGGAAAACCATGTCTAATAATGAAAGCTCCATGCAGCTTAAAAGTAAAGCAAATTAGCAACCGCTCCAGTCTATCCAGGGTGTGCTGACAGCACTCTTAAAGCTTACCTATAAAGCTCTAAACGGTTCAGGACCTGCCTATCTTCATGACTGCATACGCCCCTATGAGCCCACACAGTCCTTAAGATTTTCCGGGGATGCTCTTCTCTCGCTCCCACCCCCGTCTCAGGCACGGCTGGTGGGGACGAGAGAAAGGGCATTCTCGGTGGTGGCCCCTCATCTCTGGAACTCCCTCCCCAGGGAGATTAGGCTGGCACCCTCCCTACTCACATTCCGTAAGGAATTAAATACGTGGATGTTTCATTGTGCATTTGACTGACGACTCCAGTCCTAATTTTGAATTCTTATATTTCATTACTACATTTTTAAGTTAAGCTGAATTGATCCTGTTTAATTGCTCTGTGTCCGCGCTATTTCCTATGCTACTATAAGTTTCTATCCACCCTATTGACCACCCTATCCTTTAACCAGTTTTGCATAGTAATCCCCTTCCCCCCTTCAAAAATGAGTCTGTTGTTGCTTTCGATGCTTGTTTATTATTGTTTATGCTCTTTTATGCTTTTTTAAAATGCTATTTTTTATTTACAGTATTTATATCCCACCCTTCTCACCCCGCAGGGGACTCAGGGTGGATTACAATGTACTTAAACATGGCAAACATTCAATGCCATAGACACACAACATATATAGACACTCAGAGGCTATTAACTTTCCAGCTTCTGGCCACCAGGGGAGCTGTCACTTCCTCATTCTTTGCATACTTGCATACTTCCTGGAGATTTTTTATGGTCTCGTAAATCAGTTAACCTAATTTTCCTACTTGACAGAGACAACTGTCTTTCGGGTTGCAAAGGTCGACAACAAGCTACACAATTTTGGTTGGGAGCTCACTTCAACCCGGGCTGGCTTCGAACTCATGAACTTTCGGTCAGTAGTGATCTTAATGCAGCTGACTCCCAGCCAGCTGCGCCACAGTCCCTATTGCTCTGTTTTTAATTATATGTTGCCTTGGGCTTGGCCACATGTAAGCATCGCAGAGTCCCTTCAGCGAGATGGAGTCGGTGTAGAAAAATAAGGTTCTTTTTCTTTTTTGGTACCACTGCCCCATGATTCAGCAGTTGGCCTACCTTAGGATGAGTCCTTCTTGAGATGCAATTAAAACCTAATAAATGTAAGGAGAAATAACACACCTGATTGGCTATCCCAGGTATGGGCAAACATTGGCCTTTCAGGGGTTTTGGACTTCAATTCCCAGCATTCCTAACAATCTCAGGCCCTTTTGCTTAAGCTTAAAATTAGGATGTTGTTGTCCTTACTACTACTAGAGGGCGCCATTTTGTCTCTCCAGCTGAGAAGGAGCTCAGCAGGCTCAGCCTTTCCTCCTAGGAAACTATTATTGAAAGCTAATTTGCTTTACTCTTCACCTGCTTTGCTGTTTACACAGGCTGTGCAAGTAGGAAGTAGGTTTTGTTTACTTTATATCAGCCATATGCGGCTGAGGGGGAAAAGGAAAGGGCCTGAGGCTGTTAGGAATGGTGGGAGTTGGAGCCCAAAACACCCAGAGGGCCCAAGTTGGCCCATGCCTGGTATAGACACACACAATGCCGTTGAACTGCATGATATGGCAGTGCAGATGGGCCTGCGTGCTCCTTTTCTGGCCGTTACTGCTCGGCCCCCGGTGAACCCAAGCAGCAGCCACAAGGGCCAAAGTAACAAGGGCCAAAGGCAACCAAAAGAGTGTTATCCGCTGAACGGCTCACCCGGCTTCTCTCTCCCTCGCTTGCTCTCCACCTTCCCGATTCCTCGCTCACCTCCTTCTGGCTTTTCCCCTTGTTTCAAACCTCGCGGCCGATCCGATCAGCCAATCAGGGAGCGAAAAGCGCAGCATCCAATCACCGACCTCTGCGTCGCCGTAGTCTGACCAATAGTGAGTTTGCTTTTTACTGCCCTTACCTTGTGGGCGGGGCTTGCTTTGTTTCTTTACAGTTGGTCCCTCCCTCCCGGCAGAGTCCTCCCACTTGAGGCCTAAGGGTGCGTGCACGCTGCAGATTTAATGCAGTTTGGCACCGCTATAAGTGGAGACCCCGGTGGCACAAGGGTTTAAGCCAGGCATGGGCAAACTTCGACCCTCCAGGTATTTTGGACTTTAACTCCCACCGACTGTTAGGAATTTGGGGAATTGAAGTCCAAAACAGGTTAGTAGGAGGTGACTATAGGCCAAAATGCCAAGGGGTTTCAACAGTTTACTTTTTGCTTATGACTTGCAATACCATAGCATCATATTATTCATTATACATATAGAAAAGACTACATGACATGTAAAAAAAATCAAATTTTGTAAATAATGTCCAATACTACAGTATATACAGGAAATACATTTTAGGAAATGATCTAGGAACCCCCAGTGGCGCAGTGGGTTAAATCTTTGTGCCAGCAGGACTGCAGACCAAAAGGTCGGCGGTTCGAATCCGGGCAGAGGGGTGAGCTTCCATCTGTCAGCTCCAGCTTCCCATGCAGGGACATGAGAGAAGCCTCCCACAAGGGTAGTAAAATATCCGGGTGTCCGCTGGGCAAAGTCCTTGCAGACAGCCAATTCTCTCACACCAGAAGCGACTTGCAGTTTTTCAAGTTGCTCTTGACACAAAAAAACCCACTTTAAGTGCCATGAGTCAATGCTGTGGAATCGTGGGTGAGGTGACCATCACTCATTGGTGGAAAAGACTCAGGAGCTTACAACAGGACAACTCGCATGATTATGTAACATTGAGTTATGCATGGCAGGTAAAAGTATTAAGTCTACAGTGTAGATGCGCCCAAATACTTGTCACGCAAATGTAACAAGAAACCTCTATGTGAAATAAGCAGTAAATCATATATTTAAAATATGAATGAAAGGTTTTCATGAGTTATGATGTGTCCCTATAAAAAGTAAAGGTTTTCTCTTGACATTAAGTCTAGCTGTGTCTGACTTTGGGAGGTGGTGCTCATCTCCATTTCTAAGCCGAAGAGCAGAAGTTGTCCGTAGACACCTCCAAGGTCATGACTGCATGGAGCGCCATTACCTTCTTGCCAGAGCAGTACATACTGATCTCACATTTGCAATTTTTTCGAACTGCTAGGTTGCCAGAAGCTTGTTTGTAGATGCCTCCAAGGCCATGACTGCATGGAGCACTGTTACCTTCCCACCAGAGTAGTTCTTATTTATCTATTCACATTTGCATGTTTTCGAACTGGGGCTAACAGTGCAAGCACACCCTGCTCTCTGAATTCAAACCACTGACCTTTCTGTCAGGAAGTTCAGCAGCTCAGCAGTTTAATCTGCTGCGCCACCGGAGACTCCTTGTGTCCCTACAGATTTCATTTTTACAATGTATGTCTCTCTTATGAGGGGTTGGTTTAACCTTCAATTTGCGAACAAAATTGAATTACTGTGTCGCAAAATGATGCATGTCTAAAAATGGTGTGTCAGCAACACAAAATGCTTGGAAAGCTCTGTTTTAGGCACTTATCATTATCATTGTTGTTAAACTGGGTTCACTTAGAGGGATGGGGCAACTCCTTGGAGGGCCACATCCATCACTGTACATTCTCCCTCAAAAAAAGCATTCCTCCCCAATGCCTTTAGAGCAGGGCTTCTTAAACTGTGGTTCCACCCAGATGGGTCCCTATTAGTGGTTCTCAACCTGTGGGTCCCCAGGTATTTTGGCCCACAACTCCCAGAAATCCCAGCCAGTTTACCAGCTGTTAGGATTTCTGGGAGTTGAATGCCAAAATACCTGGTGACCCACAGGTTGAGAACCACAAAGTTTAGCTCAATGGTGTGGACAAGGAAAATTTTGAAAACACTAAAAGGTTTCTGAGCAGCACCTAGTGGCTGTTTTAGACATTTATATGAATCTGCAGCATACAGTGTTTACAGTGGACTTTGCAAAAGATACTTCAGCTGTACTTCATAAAAAGGAAAATTGGCCCTTTTAGCAAGCCTTGCAAATGCTGGTTTGTTATCAAAAATGTTTTGATTTTTATATCTATTTTATATGCCTAGATTTCTCAGGTAGAAAGGGGTCCCAAGTGAAAAATTTCCACTACCTCATCACATTTGAGCATGGATCCACTTAAAATACGGTTGATGCCTCCTGCAGCATTCTGGGGTTGGTTTGGTGAGGCCCAGGACCTGCCTGGCTGAGCATTACAAGCCCCAGAATTTGACTCCTCAGAGGCCTGTGGTCTGCACTTTGCCCACTCCAATTTATGCCAGTGTTGAAAATCCTAAAAGGTGAATCATATATTGGGTTGTAGGTTTTTTCAGGCTATATGGCCATGTTCTAGAGGCATTCTTTCCTGACGTTAGCCTGCATCTATGGCAAGCATCCTCAGAGGTAATGAGGTCTGTTGGAACTAGCAAAATTGGGTTTATATATCTGTGGAATGACTAGGGTGGGACAAAGTACTCTTGTCTGCTGGAATGTTGTCTGCTGTGAATGTTTCAACTGATCACCTTGATTAGCATTTGATGGCCTGGCATCATATATAATATATGAATCATATATTGTTGGGGACACCTGTATAATCTTCCTATTATACTGCCCATATAGCAAGCTAACAAAAAAAATTCAAAACAGACATAGGTTCTACATTCTGCAGCAATCTAGAACAGAACAGGTCTGGGAGCGTTAAAAGTCAACACAACATTTATTATGGGAAAACAAAAATACTTTAACCTCTTGTGGGCACCAACTATCCAAAAGGGCTCCAAGCCTTTGGTTATGATGACAATAGACATTCTTTGGTTTAATGCTCTGAGCTTCTCTTTCCCTTCATTTCTTCTTCACTAAGGTTCAGTTAAGAAGAGAATGAATTTCCAGGAATCAGCACTGACCAGACTATAATTAATTTTCAAGCTATAACAAAGCCTGCTAAAAACAAATGGGGGAAATATGAGATCACAAAGGATCTTAGGGAAGGGACTGGTAAACTTTATTGAACTATCAAGTAATGCTTCAGGTGGATGGTCTGAGCTCTGGCACCTAAACTTCGGATGGGTTTTAGTAGTCCGGGTCCTCAACACCTAGAAGGAAAGAAAGACAGTAAATCTCCCTACACCAGGATGACTAATGTGAATGTTCCCACGACATGCAAGCTCCTTACCTCTCAGGAAGCCTTGCATTTCTTCTGAGCACAGCAGGACCTCACCCAGCATCTGGAGTTGTTCCAGGACCTCTCGCTGCATCTCCACAGCAATGCGGTGTATGTGGTGGTTGGAACTATTGTACATGATTGCATTCTGGAACATCAGCATGAGATCCCGCTGCAACTCAATCATGTTTTGAATCTGGCCTTTGGACAGGTTCCTCTTTATGGAGGAAAGATCCATAGGCCTATAGGAAGCAGGAAGATACGAATGTTAATGGTTTATAGCTGCTTTCCCAACCTGCTGAAATCCCCATTTACTATGATTTCCATTATTCGGTTATTCATGATGTCTGAGGATGGTGGGAGTTGCAAAAGTCACTTTGGAGTAGATTACAATTTACATTGGACAAAACCGGTTGGGAGATTAGATGTCTTTTTTAAAAAGCATTTTTTGCAAACTCTGGTAACAGTAATCAGCTGCAGAGCCAGAAAAAAGGAAAAATTCACTTAGGATTACAAAATAAGTTTCAGATAAGAACTCTACCCTGGTTCCCAAACGTTGAGAAAATGGCACTACATAGAACTGTATACAACATTACATCTGGGTGTCCCCTGGACAATGTTCTTGCAGATGGCCAATTTTCTTACACCAGAAGCAACCTGCAGTTTCTCAAGCCACTCCTGACACACACACACACACACACACACACACACACATTGTATAGAACAGTTCTGATATTATTTTTTGTTCCAACGTATCAGGAAGCACTACCATATTTGTGGGTGATGGGTCCAATTGTTTCTTTCTTTCCCAGAAACTTGCCAGTGGCAGCCAATGGCACCAGTCCAAGGAATATCACTGGTGTAGGACATAGATGAGATAAAAATGCAATCTCACTAAAATTGTGATCCACACCAGCTCTCCCGTTTACTCCCCAACTGACCTCTTCACGACTTCATTGTAACCAGGAGCCTGCCTCTCCGAAACAGCCTTCAAGAAAGGTCCACTGAATCTAGGAGGAGAAAGCCAGACAGGATAAAGAAAGCTAGCTAGGCTTTTCTATGTACTTTGTCCAATGACTGAATGCATCATAGGACTTAATTCCATATGTTGATTGTGCATTCCTGCATGGCGGGGGTTGGACTGGATGGTGCTTGTGGTCTCTGTCAACCCGTTTGATGATTCTATTGTAATCTTTCTTACCCCCCCCCCCCCTGGAAACTAATACTAATACCAATCAGATGGGAGGAAACAATGCTAACAAACAATGAATTAGGTGCTCAATATAAACCATGGATGTTGTAGTGAATAATTCCAGAAGCTACACAGGGTTGAACCAAGAGGATCAGACTAGTATGCTATTGGCCCAGTGCACTGGACTGACTCTAGCCCTAATTCCTGAAGTTCCAGTCATGCATCGTCTGCATCTTCACTCACAGTACTTCTCACTCTCTTCACATCTCTTCAGCACAGCATGCTCTGCTACACTTTGCCCTCCCCCATCACCATTTTCAACTCTGATCTTTACAAGTAAAGTGCACTTGGCTGCATTTAACTTGTCTTTTACAATTCCCAATTATTCCAGGACTATCAGGGGCAAGTTTCCTGAACACATATGCTCCCTCTTATATTTGAAAGATGAGTCCTCCTGTCCTCTCTCTCTGCACCTTAATGAATACTGGATTTATACAACTGGACGCGTCCAATCAATTAGATGCGGTTTGCCAAAAAGGTGAGAGATAATCTAAGAAGGCATTGTGAAGAAACAGGGCATCAAGGTCATGAAGTAACCTAGAAATGATTTTTGAAAAAATAAATTAGCAGATGTCATAACTAAGCTGTCTGCCAAACCAGTGTATTTATTTAGTTATTATTTATTTACTTACTATATTTATATACTGCCCCTCTCAGCCCGGAGGCAACTTGAGGTGGTTTACAGTTGGCAATCAATGTCTTGACAAAATAAAGTCAAAACATTACATACAATATAAACCACATAAAAACCAATAAAACAAAACTATAAAGTACAAGTCCTCAGCGTCTCATCAGTAAAATAATTTTCCGTTGCATCATCCAAGCGTTCCATGACTCTCAATTAATCAGTTATACTGCGTCTGCAAATGCCTGCTCACACAGCCAGATTTTAACTCTCTTTCAGAATGTTAGGAGGGAGGGAGCCAATCTAATGTCTCCAGGGAGGGTGTTCCATAGCCAGGGGCTACCGCTGAGAAGGCCCTGTCTCTCATTCCCGGCAATCGGATCTGCGAAGAAGGCGGAATCGAGAGCAGGGCCTCTCTGGATGATCTTAAGCACCTTAGGGAGAGATGTGTTGGGACAGGTAAACTGGGCCAGAACTGTTTAGGGCTTTAAAGGCTAAAGCCAGCATTTGAATTGTGCCCCGTAGCAAACTGGCAGCCAGTGGAGCTGGCACAACAGAGGAGTTGTATGCTCCCTGAGCGCCGCTCCTGTTAACAACCTGGCTGCTGTCCGTTGGACCAACTGAAGCTTCCGAACAGTCTTCAAAGGCAGCCCCACGTAGAGAGCGTTGCAGTAGTGTACAGTTCACGTTCACCATTAAAAGCACTAAGAATAAGATTCTGAGAGTAAAGGAGAAAGCTGAAGCATCAAGCTTTTCTCCAGGCCAGAGCTGTACAAGGATGCACCCCTTTAATTAGATATGGGGGATGGGGGGAGAGGGGGAAGGGTTGCACACTTTGGTTCTCTTCCCTTCCCCAAACCACAGTAACACACCTGTGTCCAGTCACCATCTTCCAGATGGACAGCAGAGTTCTTCTGAAGACCAAACGCTGTTGGAGCAAATCCTCTTGACTTGGTTGCATCCTAGACAGTAAAAGATGCAACATGAGCCATAATATACTTAAGGAGAAGTGGTAAGAGTGGAATGGGAGTAAAATGGTACAAGTGGTTAATTTATACAATTCCAAGTGTGAACTTTTGACAGCAAGCCTCAAGTCATTTACTGGGAATGAGTCCCATTAACCCCAAATGTGCTTACATTTGAGAGGGAACAGGACATACTGCTTTCTTATCACAAGAGACTTGAGATATAAATGTGCCAGCAATACTCACAAAGGCAAGGAGGATGTACTTGTAGAAGGAGAGCTCATCTGGGGGGTTCCACAGGGACTGGTGTCATCGTTTCCGTAAATCATGTGGAAGTCACTGTCCTCAACTTGCTCTTCAATGTTTTCCACAGCCACCTCCTCCTAGTAATCAGAGAACATGCATGGGCTCACTTGGTAAAGCAGCAATGAGAACCCCAAATTCAACCCCAGATCTTGCTTTTTAAATATCTGGAAGGTACTTTCTTCTTTTACTTCTTCCTGTATGTGGGCTAGAAATTCCTTTGTGTCTTCTTTGTGAGTCAGGCCTCCTTTCCCATTCTTCTCACCAGCGGTATCAAGAGCATGAGGCCTTTGTGTCAGATTTGTGCCACCAATGCACAGTGGTTCCATCAAATGTGCCACCTAGAACAGAAAATGGCAGGTTCTGGACTGTTCTAGAACCAGTGACTGGTCTGAGATCAGAGCACGCGGGTTTTTCATCCATATTCTGTCCTCCCAATAGGTGTACTTTGCAAAACAGACAGAGTGGTAATGTAGGAATGCATTCCAATAGTATGAGATCTATATCAGAATTAGGACTGGATAAAATCTATATCAGAATTAGAAACTACCCATTTAAACAAAATAATGCATTAAAAGGAATGCTGGCTCAGCCCAAAGGTCCCTTCAGCTGAGTTTCCCATTTCTACAATAGTTGACTAAATGCTTATGGGTAAACACAGGAGGACTTCAGTTTGATATAGGACTCTCCTTCTTGTGTTTCCAACAACTACTTTCATATTACCTCTGATGTTGAATACTCCTGCTCTAACTAGTACCTATTTTTAGCTTTATCCTTCTTCCCTTCACCTTCACCTCCATCTAGATTTCTCTACTAAATAAAAAAAGAAATGGCCTATTTGGGAGGCTGTTGCACCAAAGGCATTCCTTGTAGCTGAGTAGATTCTTTTTCAGCTGATTTTTCTAGCTGATTAGTTGATCTAGCTGTTGCCATATCATCTCATGATCACTTTCTCCTGCTATTAGACATACCTCTGATATGAATTGCAAGACAACTTCCTCCTTGCACTTTTCAGCTTCTTCTTGGTCCTTCATGCTGACTTTTTCACATGCTGCAATGTCACCAATTTCTGACCTGCCATTCTCTTCTTGGCTCCTGCTTTCCTCTAAGTCCTCCTCATCCGTTTCTTCCACTTCTCTCCAACTTCGCCATTGCAATTCAAGATCTAAGCTAGAATCCGGAGAACTGCAAAAGGACTGGCAACTGCTGCTTTTCTCAGATTCGGTAAAGAATTCCTCTTTGGACTCTAGCCAGGTCCACACATGACCCATCTACAAAGGTACACACAAGATGGAAACAGCATTTGTCAAAGCAATCTTTTCTAACTTAAACTTAGAAAATGCACTCTGGGAGGGTCAGAGCTTCAAATCTAGATGTACAGGGAGTGAGATGAAACAAAGGACCTTTGTTAACTAATCAGAATTATAACCCGAAAAAGGCTATATTTTCATAAAACTTTTAAAAATTACCATATTATCCCAACCAAACATACTTATCACAGAACTTTATGATCTTTGTCCTGGGTTCAAGGAGGGATGGGTAAAGATACAGGATCGGAACACAGCTGAAAAGATTTTCCTAAAGTATCAACATGCTGGGCTCACCTGAGTAAACTTTTAATGTATGTATTGTTGAAGGCTTTCGTGGCTGGAATCACTGGGTTGTTGTAGGTTTTTCGGGCTATATGGCCATGTTCTAAAATCATTCTCTCCTGAGTCTTAATTAAGTATCATTTAAGGATACTTCCAAGCTACTCGGCTCCAGAAAGTTCTGAATAGGGTCTTGGTGCAGAGACCACAAAGAAGAATCTATTTCCATACAAAAGACTAAAAAACCTATGATAAGGCAAGTAACTATTCTGCATGCATGAGAATTGCATTTCCTCAACAGATGCAATGTGAGATATACAAAGTGCTCCCTCCAAAAATATTTACACAGTTTAATTGCTACTAGTAACTATGATTATTATTTTAAGTTTAAATAAATACATATACATTGAAGAATACATGTTATAAAAATAATTTAATCATTATTGTAATTTTATGACACTTCTCTATTATTGGAATCTTTAATGCTGGTGAAGGTGTATACAATTTGGGAAAACAGTCTCTATTGAACTTATGTATGACAAATGAGTAAGTTTGCATTCCTTACTAATGAGATGTACTACAAGTCTCATATGCTTTATAAATATATAAAATGTTATGTGTGTGTGTGTGTGTTAATACAAATTATATTATAGGTCTAGCTAATTATGAAAGATGTTTCTGATTAGATTAAATGGCTACAGAAGCAACATATCTAGATTATGAAATGTCTATGAATATGAGAATGTTTTTAGACTAGAAATGTCTTTATGATATGATCTTCTACCGTAGGTATACTATTACACATATCCACGGTGTGTATATTTGTAACAGTATAAGCAAATTATTTCTCTTAATATACAAAAAAGTTAAAGGTTCCTCGCTTCCTCTCCTGTTTGGGATGAAACTAAGGCAATATACTGCAAGCCAAGTGCACTTGGCTACTCACTCAAAAAAGCAGCCACATGAAAAGGAACATAGTAGCACCAATATGTACAACAGGTATGTGAAGCAAGTATAGGAAATAGGTAGGGTAGAGACACTTCAGTCTCACCTCAGTATCTAAGTAACTCCCAGTTCATTAAACCAGTACTAGTCAGAAGAGACAGTACTGGACAAGGTGTGTCAGCAGTTTGGCTTTAAAAAAATGTGAGGATGTATTATGTATTGAGTCCCAGCTGCAAAACATATGAGTTACTGCATACATATCAGATACATGCAGTTTGCAAACATACAAAGAGACCATACCTTTGGTCTCTGTGCCACTAACAATCTGAGGAATCTCGGGATTAATTCAAATGTGTTGAAATAAATAATAGGGGTGGGCAAAGCTTTGGAGCTCTGTTTCGTAATTTGGAGATTCAGATGATATTTCACATACAAATCTCCGAATTACTAATCAGAAAGGACCCCCCCTCCCCCAAAGGATTTATGAATCAAATCGCAAGTCTCCGAAACTTTTGGAGAGATTTGTAAAGAGCTGTTGTTTTGTAGTTTTTCCCTCCCAATGTAACATACTCTGTTGCCAGGTCGCCCATACTTGTCTGGGATGGGAGGAGCAGGGACTGATGTGATTGACAAGGGTAGTTGCGTTTATTTTCCTTGTCAACCAATCAGAAGAAAGCCAAATAATGCAGCTTTCTGCAAAGCCGGTCTCCTCCCGTTTGCTGGAGATAAAGATGTGTTCCTTTTGGAGGTCCATTCTGTTTCTGTGTGTTTCTTAAGATTAAACTTACAGCTTTGTGATAATTCTGTTTATCTCTGTTCCTTATCCAGTCTATAACCTTTAACGTGGGTAGCCCTATTCTTCCGACATGAGCAGAATTCTGGGAAATGTAGCTTGGGAAGGAGAGGACCTCTGTAGCAGAGTATTCAAAATGCCCTGCCCTAGACATTTCCCAGAATTCTGCTTGCCACCGAAGAACAGAGCTTTCCGTCTCATTGATATGAAAGTGGTTTAGATTAATCACATGTGCATAAATTGAAAAAAAATCATAAAAATCAGTGAATAGATTATTCTGAATCTTGTCTTGCTGCCCTGCTCATGGTGTCTCGCTGTGCCACAATTTGAGGGAATACCTCTTGTAATTGTTTTAAATTGAAACAACTTTAAAACATTCCTAAAAATCAATAGATGGACACATCTTTCTGAAACTTTGCAGGGTTGACACCTTGCTTGTGTTATCTCATTGTGCAAAAATTCAAGGGAATACCTCTTGTAGTTTTTTTTATCTGTAAAAACATTTTTAAATCCTTAAAAATGGTGGATGACTAAAACATTCTGAAATTTGGCAGGCATAAAGTTGTAAATGTTGCCTACAAGTGTGCCAAGTTTCATCCTGATAGCTGAAAAAACCATGGAGAAACGAGCTTTGAATCCCATTGCTATTAATGGAACAAGCAATTACGAAGCTTTGGAGAGTCGGATTATGAATCGGAATTGGACCGCTCTAAACCTTTACAAACTGAATTGGAGGCCATCCAAATTTCTGAAACAAATTACTAATCCAATGTATTCGGTTTTATATTTTATTTTTAGTGTTTTTTATCAAGTTTTTTTCGTATTTTATGTTATGTTGTTTTATATTGTCTAATGTGTCTTGTCCTGATGTAAACTATTTGTATGGGGAGGGGGGGTTGGCAATGAATGTTTGCCATATTTATTGGAAACTGCCCTGAGTCCTTTTGGGGAGATAAGGCAGTTCAAAAATAAAGTTGTTTATGATTACGAATCTTTCAGCTGTATGACCCCCCTTCCCCCATCCATGTATTTGATATCCAGTTTCACTTAACTATGCTCCAAAAAATACTGCCCCCAAAATACTGCCATCAGCCATTTATGAGCCTCTAGATCTTCCAGTGTGGTTCTATGACATGGTTGCAACCAAGATATAGTCAAAATATTGAGTTTACTACAGTCCAAGTATAGTCCAAATGTAGGGTTCATGGCAGGTCTTAGAATGTATCTCCTGTGAAAATGGAATTCATATTCTACTGCCCTTTGCACTGTGCTCTTTCAGGCTAGTGACAGAAATGGAGTTGGAAAAATCTCAAAACTCAGAACTCATCCTCTCATTTTAGTTTTCTATCTGAAAGGGATTTTTTTTCTAAATATGAAATATGAAGTGATAATGTTCCAATTTTTATATAATATCAAATAGGTTACTTTCAGATTTTTAATTGTACTTTATTTTGGTGGCTTTAGCTCTGTCCTATGAACTACCTAGAGTTCTATTAACTGCATAAAAATGCAATGAACAAACAGTTCACCTATACGATAGATACACTGTTAGTTTACATCCAGGGTGACAACACTTACTCAAACATATGTTAGTTAGAAGGTAGTATCTGAAGTCATTCCGTATTTCTTATGCTCACAAAAACTGATCTAAATGATATGCCTTATTTCCTTTCCTCCCCAATACCTTGCTGGCCTAGTAAGCAGGTGGTATTATAAGTTCTGATGTGTGACACGAACTGAAACATAGGACTAAATTCACAAGCAGAAAATAAGTGTTTATAAAGTATCTTTGAATAATGTAGATCAATCAATGCCACAAGCACATTGGTATCGGATTCTACTATTGTTTATTATACACATTTACACTTCACAAATACAAAAATTAAAAATAAAAGTAAAAATAAAAATCTGTACACTTCACATTACAGTACGTACTAGCCACTGATTTGCTAGCTAATATGAGAACACTAATGGGGCCCCAATACAGCCACCCTACAACAGGCAGTGGAGCTCCCATCTTGTTCTTGATTATACATTCAAGGATGACACTTCTTCATACAGACAGGCAAGTCTGCCCTGTCTACAGCCGATTCATCCTCTGCATCAGGAAGGTTCTTGCTTCGATCTCCTATATCAAAATGACAAGAGGGGGCTGTCTCCAGTCTTCTGCCACCTGCATCATTTTTTCATCTTCATATCTGCTTCGATGGCACAACGCCGTCCTCTGGTCCCCCCATCCTGGTCAAGATGCAAAGGAAAAAGGAAAAAAAATGTATTAGCATGCCCCAAATAAGAAAAAATGCCCAAGGGGGTTGTCTGCCATATATGTTACCAGAAATGGTTCTGCCCACAGTTTGTCAGCATTGTGCTCTTTGCTAAAACACTGGGGACTACCTTATGAAACTGATGGTGGGCTGTGTGTCAACTCCAAAACAAACCATCTCATAACATCTGTGGGGGACTCTTGGCAATAATATGGAATGTGGCTTGTTCCGAGTTATTCTTCCAGTGGGCAGAAGGGATGCTGCTAACGTACCTTATCAGCTGCTGCTCTTTAGAGGGGCCTCTCTCTTCCACGTCCGTGGCCCTGGCACTATCTCCCTAGCATCTCCTCACAGCGTCTGTCCACGAACGTAGGGCAACCAGAGAGCTTATTTTCATCTGCTGCCCTCTCCTTCTGGCTGTCTCTCCTCATATGCTTCTCTGTCTTTCATAGATAAACATTGGAGAACAATCCCAAACCTGATTCATGTGAATGGAATCAATAGACTCCGTAATGTCAGGCCATAGCTACTTGTACATCCATAGAAAGAACAGACAAACCATTACAATTTAGTTTTCTTGAGCAGGTCTATCACACAATTTGAAGAGAATTTGGCAACAGGAAAAGGAGATTAAAGTAATGACACAAAATATTGTGAATATTGTGTAAGAAACATCAGCACAAAATTTAGTTTAATCGTATTTATTAAAATATTTAGATGCCACCCTGTACAAGAACAGATCATGTGGTTTGATCTCGCCTTACAAGAGGTGAAGGAACGGGTGCAACTGGCGCACAAGTTTAAATTGTACAAAAGCCCTCCTGGCCACAGCTGATACCTGAGCCTCCAGGTTCAATGGCAACATGGAGGCCCAGGTATTGGCTATGGCCAGGAGGGCCTTGGCACAATTAAAGCTTGTGCGCCAATTGCACCCATTCCTTCAGAAACCAGATCTGGCCAAGGTGGTACATGCTTTAGTTATATCCTGCCTGGATTACTATAACATGCTCTACATGGGGCTACCTCTGAAGAGTGCTTGGAAACTTCAGCTGGTCCAAAGAGCTACAGTCAGGTTGCTCCCTAGGGCTGGCTACAGGTAGCGAACAAACCCCCATTGTGGCAGCTTCACTGGCTGCCAGGCCATTTCCAGGCACAAAGTGCTGGTTATGATCTTTAAAGCCCTAGAGCAGTGGTTCTCAACCTATGGGTTCCCAGATGTTTTGGCCTTCAACTTCCAGAGATCCTAACAGCTGGGAAACTGGCTGGGATTTCTGGGAGTTGTAGGGCAAAACACCTGGGGACCCACAGGTTGAGAACCCTTGCCCTAGACAGTTCAGGTCCAGGTTATTTTGGCAGACCGCATCCCCTGCCCGGGTCCTGAGATCTTCAGGAGAGGCCCTTCTCTTGGTCCCACCGCCATCCCAAGCTCAGTTGGTGGGAATGAAAAAGTGGGCCTTCCTTCTTGATGGCTGCCCCTCTACTCTGGAATTCCCTATCCAGGGAAGCCAGAATGGCCCCTTCCCTGCTGTCCTTCCGGCGGCAGACTAAAACCTTTTTATTTAGACAGGTGAATGTTTTTAAGATAAATTCAGAGGGTGCTGTGGTTTTAATGTTTTTTAACTGGGAATTTTAAAATACTGTTTATATTTAATTCTGTTTTAATGTTCGTATATTTGTATATTTTAAATGCGTCCCCTGGGCAACGTCCTTGCAGACGGCCAATTCTCTAACACCAGAAGAGACTTGCAGTTTCTCAAGTCACTCCTGACACAAAAATCAAAACAAAACAAAAACCTGAACCTGTTGATTGGAGATTCTAGAAATTATTTTTCAGAACAATGTCCATATGTATGCTTAGTCCTGCATAGGCACAGAAAATAACAACATGGAATGCCACCTATCAAGTATACTGTTAGAGTCAAGGAGACCCTGAATCCTCTATGTGTATATGTAGATGATAAAGTATGCTGTCAAACAAACAAAATATGTGACAAGACCCACTTTCTCAGCATAACTCAATACAGTGGAGCACAAAGACATAGGATTGTTTCTTAGTGTTTCTTTAACTTTGAACTATACTATGAAAGGTCTCTGAGATTAAATGAGATGACAAAATCTGTCATAAGGCACAGTTCACTTCATCAGATTCATGGAGTGAAGCCTCAATAGGCAGAGTTATATACAACTGGGGGAAGGGGAAAGCATTTCATGAAGTCTCATTGTGCAGAACTTGTAGCTAAAACTGTACAACCAGGGGTATTAAGTACTTACGAAGAGAGAAAGGAGAAAGGCCGGAGAGCCCATAGGAACACTGTCCTGTTAAAAAATAATTGGTTGAGATTTATCATAAATATGTCTGATGTCTAACTCAATCAACACCCAGAGTTCAATCCCATCCCAAAAAGGGACCTTTTTAAACCACAGATACACTGAAGTACTGCAAAAACAATCACATTCTAGGGGTTATTAATCTGTCTGTAGAGAGAGCTCCAATATAATAGAGGTTGCAATCCTATGGACATTTCTCTTAGAGTTACTCTCAGGAAATACAATGTACTTGAGTCTGAATAAATGTGCTTAAAACTGTGTCGGAAATTCCTTTCAGGCATAAACTGGATATGGCCAGTATCAAGTAATGATACCATTACAGTCTTATAATTTAAACACCAACTAATATTCTGCAGTTGGGCTCAGTGCCTGTGAGAGAACTCCTTTGGTTTTGTGTTTGCAGAACATAACATTCTTTCATTTAATCTGACTCTAAAACCACCAGATTATACCTTGGAGTTGCTCTTTAGCCCAGTGAATCACCAGCCTCTTTTCTAATGTACAAGACACAACTGGTTTAAGAATCAAAATCATTTGTCATCTCTTTAATAGAGACTGAAGACACTGAGGCTACCACAACCACCTTGTTACCAATTCAACCAAAAGGTGTGTATAGTTTGATTTCCAAATACAACTTCCAAATGAAGGATTCCAGAGAGAGACTAAGCTCCAGTGGTGTCAAACCTTTGAGCCTCCAGGTGTTTTGGACCCCAGCTCCCAGAATTCCTGGCCATTGGACAAGCTGGTTGGGGATTCTGGGAGTTGGAGGCCTAAACATCTGGTGGGTCACAGGTTTGACGCCTTTGGGTAAATCATAAATGGGTGGATCCACATCTTGAATGCCTTTCTTTTGTCTCCCTCAAACAAAAGCAAATGTTCACCAGCACTGGTCAGCCTTACCTTCTCTGAAGCATCTTGTTTCCGTGTGGAATCTCGTCCACGTAGGCTTTTTGCACTGATTCCAGATTCAGATGTTTGCATGATCAACTGTGTGGCTAGAAATTGCTGCAAGAGACCACATGATAGCTATTAGGAATCTCAAAATGAACACCAGGTTTAATAGTTTATAACCACAGCACTGGAGAGCAGCACTTGGGTACTGGCTTGATTGTATGCTTGCAATCCTTCTACCTGACCTTGGAAACAGGAAACCATCTAGCATAATGTTCCAGACATCCCAGCAAACAGGTTAGCAAATTCTCTGTACACAAACCAATAAAAGATGCAAGGCACCTCAAGTGGACACCATTTCCCACAAGGACTCCACACCTTTTATGCCAAATCAGAGAGAAATGCTGGTCCACTGCAAATGATGCTAATACCTGGATCTGCTCCAGGACATCGCGCTGCATTTCCACAGCCATGTGGTACACATCGTGGTCTGAGCTGTTGTACATGACAGCATTCTGGAACATCAGCATGATGTCTCGCTGGAACTCGGCTGTGGTCCGGATCAGTCCATTCTCAATATTTTTTTTGATCGTTGATAAGTCCATTGGTCTGACAATACAACATCAAGAATTATCATTATCAAGGCATACATTCATTGACAAGAAATAAAAACAGATTAGTATGACCATTTGTTAAAAATATCTGTTCTACACCAGTCTACTGATATCTGATCCGATCACCCTAGTGAATTTATTATTTACAGTATTTATATTCCTCCCTTCTCATCCCAAAGGGGACTCAGGATTATAGAACATACATATGTGGCAAATATTCAATACACTGACAAGACAGACAATTGTACATAAAGGTGTATATATAGGCTTTTCCCATCTCCGGCATCTTGGAGGCTTATGCTTGGTTCTGTGTGTGCTGTCACTCCATCTCTCTGCCAAAGAACATTTGTAAACTTCCTCCTGGATCAAATCGCTGGCATTTTTCTGGTGTTTCCTTATGGGTGCCTTAAAATACCTCCCCGCTTTTAAGCAGTACCTATTTATCTTATCACATTTGACTTTCAAACTGCTAGGTAAGCAGAAGCTGGGCTAAAGGCCAGAAGCTCACCCTGACCTGGGCTTCGAACTGTCAGCCTTTTGACTGACAAGATTTACTACAGCTGGTGGCTTAACCTGCTGTGCTAAAGCCTGGTCCAAATCAGCAATGCTTTTGCTTTTGTCTACAAGCCGACTGAGTACCGAGGCCTGACATGTGACAAATACCAATACAAAGTTGGTTACTAACCTCTGCACAATACTGTGGTAACCTGGAGCAATATCATCAGTCACCGGCTGCAAAAAGACATTGGCATATCTGTAGAAAGAAAAAACACACCAGAGAGTTCTCATAAATAGCAAAAGATTGGCTGTGAAAAACCTGAGTCGAGCTAATTTCCACCCTCAAAAGCATAGTGTGTTTACTAAGCAATATTCTTTCTCTCATTTTTTTCAGAATGCTAAGGAACAAAAAAATCCACATTCCTTTGATGAACAGGAAACCAAACATTTGGTCCATATGTATATTTATGTACCAGGTCTACTGAACATATTTAAAGAATGCAAAAACAGTAGCAATAGAAAGTCAAGAAACTCAGAAATGTAGAGTGAATGACACCATAAGAAGTCTGAAATACTAACATTCTGCAAACTGTGACAAAAACGGTAATTATAATAAAAAAAATAATCAGTTCCTCTTCAGAGTTTTTAAATATGCTCAGGAAAATTGGGTATGTGTGCTGAATGATGATAGTTCTATTTTAAAGTAGCAACTTTAGATTCTCAAGATTTCAGGGAATCTGTCAGATTTTGTACTATAGAGGATCTCACGGAAATATCCAGAGGTACTGAGTTTTATTAAGTAAAAACCATACATTTAATAGATTTGTAAAAATCAACACAACATCAAATCGTCTTATTATCAGAAGTACAGAAGAAAGACATTTTTAAACAATGTCTTTAAAAAGGCACTCATCTCTCATGCAAGAGGCAGCTGCATCTTGGCTCTCTCTTGCAAAATGAGTCTTGCTACAATGTGCAATGAGTAGCTCATCTCACCTGTTTCTTTCTATACAAATACAGACAGGACCCAGACCTCAAGGATGTTGATATTTACCTGTGGTTAGCAGCCGCTCTCCAAACCAACATAATAGCCTTTTTCCAGATCTTTTGGGCCTGAATGGCTTCCTGATCCTCACTGCAAACAGAGCTAGAAAGAGAAATGAGAGAAAGAGAGAATAGGAAAAGACATCCATAACAAAAGAATACACAGAGGTTCTTAAAGCAAGCACAAATGATATGGTCAACAAATAAAAAAGACCCCCAATTCTTTATTTTCACTTCCTTCACATTTATCCCAGTTGTGGAAAAAAAAATAACTGGATTCCTTGCAGCTGGAGTCTAAACGCAAAGGTGCGCTACACAGCAAACAAGCAGTTGAAGTCCTTCAAAATTATGCAGGTTTCTGCAAATTTGCACTACCAAAACTACAAGAGTGAGGGACGCAGTAAGTCTCAACTGGCAGCATGCTCTGGGATATCTACCAAGTAGCTGGAGGTTCCCCAATACTCACAACTGTGAGGAGGCAGGGCTGCTGGGGATGGAATCGGCCAGCGTGTGAGACTGCAAAGGCGCATTATGGATACTGAAGCCATCATCGCTCTCACTCACAGGGGGTTCATTGTCCATCTCTGAGAGATACTCCTCACCCTGATCTTCCTCTTTGGGCTCCTCCAAACTGGCAGCCTCGCTGGCGCCATCCTCCTCATCCTCTTCACCCTGAGCAGCCCGAGATACAGGATTAAAAGTCCAGCCAATCATCTATTCAGCCAAGATGCAGCTGCCACTAACAGCATCAGCACCAGCCTCCAAAGCTGACAGCAATGGGGAAAGCACAAGCTTCATGCACAACCGTCTGCCAAGAATGCTGTAACATGCTTGAAGAGAGTCTCCTTCCAGCTAATTCCCCCAACTGACACCAGCCTGCCTGCTGAGGAGTTGCAGACAGAATTGCGTCTATCTGAAGTCCAATAAATGTGTGAGCCAGACAGGGCCTTTTCAGTAGTGATACTTAAGAGTGGAAGGCATGTCTGGTCTCCTCAATCTTTGTTTTGAGGGATTATAAAGGTTATTCTGTCCCATCAGGGTTCTTATTGCTACTGAGAGGTTACCCTTTTTTTTAAAAAAAAAATCTATTTATTATTTTGTAGAATTCAGTAAGAACTGTACACAAACCAATAAAAGGGTAACCTTTTAATCAATCCTCATCACTCAGTGCCCCAAAATTAATATAATCATACCAGTATGTCAAATACTGTTACGTAAATTCATTATCAGATCATCGATAAATGTATATGTATTTATGCAATCACGTATAAATTTATTCATCATTCTCTAATGTATATTATTAATTGCTCTAGTTCTGTAATGTATTAATATCGGCTATGCCAAAAATCCAACTGATTAATCAAAGGTCCAACATCAATGTTTGATTCTTGGTAAATTTACTGAAGAAAATTGGGGGGGGGGGGGGGGGGGGGGGGGGGGGTGTTATAAAAATGGTTAGCGATCTTTGCAAGAACCGAGATGATCAGAATTTTAAAAATGTCCAAGGACTTTTTTTCATAAATATTTTAATAAAATATGGTTGGTTGCAGTTACAGAAAAAAAAAAAACCAGCTGTTTCCATGTGATAATTTTTAAATGTGCACTACTAAATAGTTTTGTTCCATTTCTTTCCCTTTGATTTCTATCATGTTGTGGTAACTGCTTAAATATATGGATTTCATTAGTGCCAGATTTTGACTTGTTAGATCTTAAGTATATTCCACATTTAATGCTGAGATGCTTCCCCCCCCCCCCCCCCAAAAAAAGCTTCTCACAAATGACTTTATTGTCAGGTAATGTGGAACTATGATGAAGAGATACATTTGAGAGGAAACAACATAGAGGAATCGTGGAATATAGTAGAGCTACAACAGAAGGACAGCAGAAAAAGATTAATGGAGTTTTTCTAGTCTCTTATTTTGGGGCACTTTATATGTATCAAAACAGCACTCTGCTCTAATTTTGACTTCCTCTGTCTGTGCATTCAAATGCAAAGAGCTAACAGCTTCTTTCATCCTGCACATATTATGTGAAGAAATATAGCATTAAATAACAAACCTTCATTTGGTTCTCAAATAAAGCTTGGGCTTCTTCCTTCATTGATTCTGGGAAATAGAAACAAAACAAGAGAAGTCTCTAAAGCCATTCTTCAGCATTAGTGTCACTCTCTGTCAACCTATTAAATGTGATCCCATCTTCCTATAAATCCAGTAAACTTACCTGAAAGCTCATATTTGTGGTGAAGATCTGCCTGTGATGAGTCTTCACTTGCACTCGGAGCATGCGAAGAGGAAGTTTCATCATCAGCAGGGAGCTAGAATGAACAGGACAAACTTCCTACACATCTCATAATAAAGGCATCAAATGCCATCAAATGCCATTAGCACTGCCAACAACAATGCTATTTTAACCCAAATGTCTGCTAACACTCTGTGGGATCTTTAAGTGCAGCATCCTCCAAAACCCTAGATCCCCCAATCTATTTTTTTTAAAAAAATGCAAGCTACCCTCCAAATCTTTCAAAATTGCCTAAAAGTCTATCAATGTATCTCTTTAGCCTCTCTGGTAGCCTCTCTAGCCTCCCAGTCAAAAAAGGAGGAAGAAAAATGCCCTCAAATCAATCAATCAGTCATGTCACTTCAGGTAAACTGAAACCTGTTGCTGTGGCCTGGCAGGCAGACACAAAGAGAAAAAAATGATCCCTGCCCAGGGATCTGGGGGGCATTTTCACTGTGTTTTTAGGTTGAAAAGCCTTTTTTTCAAACAGGATGTGACCAGAAGTCACTTTTAGTTAACTTCCATTTTTAAAAAAAGCCTTAAAGAGAATAAATATAGTCCAAAATTTGTCCAAAAATGAAAACTGCACTAAGTACTAAAATCATTTTCAAACTGTGGGTCTCTTGTCACACTTTCACATTTTCCTCCCTCGCCTTATCTTCCAGCCACATTTACCTCTGTCTTCACTGTTCCATGATCCATTTCATCCTTTGATGATTCCATCTCCAGTTCAGAGCCCTCCAGGCCAGCAACCGCTCCCTCTTCATCTTCAGAGATCTGTCCCCTCAACTCAGTGGCTTCACTTGCTCTGGCTGCTACTGCAGAGGTTTCCTCGGAGCCCAAATGAATCTGTCCCTGCTCCGGAGGCTCGCTTTTTATTTCTGCTCCCAGGTCTCCCATGTTCATCAGGTCCCGGATGCTCTTGGCCTCTGGTTCCTCACAATCTGACCTCTCCTGCTTTACCGTCACAGGCATTGGGGGGATCTGGCTCTGCTTCTCACGCTCTGCCTGGAGGGGATGCTCCCGCTGGAGAGAATGCTCCCAGGGCCCAGTCAGTGACTGAGGGTCCTCAATCTCTTCGCAGAAAGACAAAGCAGCCTCCACTGCTGCTACATCCAGGACTTCAGGATGGTCATCCACCTTCATCAACAATGGTATAAAGAAGAAAAGGCTACTCTGATTAATGAGAAAGATGGAAAGCCTTTCCCACAGAGTCAACAAAAACCACACTCTTCGTCTTAGAGACCTAGATGCAGAAAACAGGAGCGTGGATGAAAACATTTTTCAGTATCACTATTTCTCAATGCAAGATCCATTAATGGTGACAGCATACAGTTTAGGGATTTGAGGAAGAATTGAATAAACATGAAGCTTCTTTTTGGAAGACATGATACCCTCACTTTATATAAATATATCCAGGACAGTTAAGAAAAAGCAATTTTACTCTCTGTACAGGAATATATTTCTGGCTTCCCCTTTCTGCACTTTGCTTCTTTACATATCTGTTTCTCATGATATTTTGAGGCTGTCATCCATACAGACCAAAACTCCTGTCTATACTTCAAATCTAACACTAATTAGATTTGAATCCAATTATGACTACAAGAGCAAGTCATGACAAGTTACTTAGGAGAAACACATATCAAATATCAAGAATATCCTGATCACTGTTGCAAATTAGAGTTCTAAAGTGAATTAAAGAAGCATGCGATAAATGAATTTAATGAACACGCACAAATAAAAAGGTAAAACTCCACCATGGCAAAACATCACTTGAATATCTCTAGTCATTTATTACATAGACTAAAGGGTGTTTTTTTTTAAAAAAAAATAACAATGGCTATAAGCATACCCGAAAGGGCTTGGAGAACAAGCCTTATGAGGAGCAGCTTAAAGAGCTGGGCATGTTTAGCCTGCAAAAGAAAAGGCTGAGAGAAGACATGAGGGCCATGTATAAATATGTGAGGGGAAGTCATAGGGAGGAGGGAGCAAAATTGTTTCCTGCTGCCCTGGAAACTAGGACATGGAACAATGGGTTCAAACTACAGGAAAGGAGATTCCACCTGAACATGGGTAAGAACTTTCTAACTGTGAGAGCTGTTCAGCAGTGGAACTCTCTGCCCCGGAGTGTGGTGGAGGCTCTTTCTTTGGAGGCTTTTAAACAGAGGCTGGGTAGCAATCTGTTGGGGGTGTTTTGAATGCAATTTTCCTGCTTCTTGGCAGGGGGTTGGACTGGATGGCCCACGAGGTCTCTTCCAACTCTATGATTCTATGAAACCAAAATGTATTTCTAAAATCTAATAAACCCTTGCCTGTCTCAGTCATTGAAATTTAGCCCAAGTACAAAGTTCTTACAATGTTTTCAAGAGAAGTTTAGACTCTCTCTCAAGGAGGATTCTTTTTATTAGATGGGCAGTTTTGAAGAATACCTCTTTTTACACCTGCCATGTGGAGCATCCCCCAAACTCCCTGTAAAAGGCAATGGGCACCCTGCTTGGAAAGCATGTATGGGACTGCAGAAACATCCAAGAGCTTTCCAAGCTCACAATAACAGAGTCAGGGAAAATAAAGGGAAACTGGGATCAGAGCCTCACACGTATTTCGTTTAGTTTTGGTAACTGTAACACACCTGGAGCGTTAAGTATCAGTGATCTTGATGCAGGATGAGAAACTAAGCAGGAAGAAATGCCCTCAAAATTGCAGGAAGCAATGATTGACATCACAGGCCTCTCCAGCTCACTTACCTTATCCTCAATAATGGCTATGATGTCCCCAACAGTCTCAAAGTCCAGTTCTTCCCCGGTGTAAGAAGGCTCTTCTCCTGCATAGGAAACTGCAACATCCATCTTCTCAGCCAGATCCAGGTCTTCCTTCCCATCCATGCTGTGGTCTTTGGAAGTACCTACAGCAGCGGATGCCCCAGAGCCCAGGCAGTCTTTCTTGATGGAATCAATAATCATGGATATTTCACTACTGTCCATCGACACTGTCACAGTGTGAGGATTAGGAACGGGCTCCATGGAAACGCAGGTGCTGGGCTGACTCACTAGACAAGAGGGACAAGTCGAGTGAACGTCTGGTGGTTGTGCTGACCAGCATGGGTCAGATCAAAAATTAAAAGGAACTCCACAGCTCCCAGTAAAGACACCTGCAGGCTGGTGCCCTCTTCCAACATTCCCGTACCCCCACAATGGTTGGAGTAAAAAGGGGAACCTCCTCTTTGCTTCCTAGTCCAGCCCTGACCTTAAACCTTCCCACCTTTATCCCCGTCCTCTTTCCGTTCTCGGCTCTGGATGAAACTCAAAAGACTCCTCCTCATAACCCCAGCTTAGTCATCCCAAGATCAATCACCCCATTATGAATTTGAAATGTTCACAGTCCACATTCATACAGCCCTTTTGTACAACCTAAGAGAGAAAGTCTTCCGTAAGTTACTGAGTGACATATGAGTGCAAGGACGCACCTGTCGCTACACTTTCTGGAGTTGCAGCAGGTGGCACAGCAGCTGGTGCTTGTAACGTAGGGACCATGACTATAGTTGCCTGAGACACGGGCTCTACGGGGGGTGGCAGGAGTTTGGCTGAAGGTTCACTGGCAACAGCAGAAAAGGAAGCAAGCGATGTGGTGAATTGTGTTGGACCAGCTTCTAAAAGGCGGGAAAGAGTAGGAGCACCTAACAAAGCATGAAGAAGGGAAAGGCACATTAGCTAAGAAGCAACAGCTACAGAAGACTACTCAGCAAGCAATTCCAGGGCTCCTTCCAGCACAACCAGTTACAGAACCAGGAACAGGCAGCTATCCTGTGGCAATTCCTTAGCAAAGCCCAGGAGTACATACAAAGCAAGGAAATAGTGTCCTTTTAAATGATGGTTGATACTAATGTCAAACAAAAATAAAAGCTCAAAGTCTGGACCAAGAAAATCCATACCAGCCACATTTTTACACACTAAACACATGCAGCATGTTTACATAGCTTTCCCTGAATATGGAAAACTAAATCCAATTTTCAACTTTCAGAGACTTGTAGAATTCACAGTATTTTGATAGATAACTCATATGGGGGAAGGAAAGAGGGGAATGTGTAGGCCAAGTGCATGGAGGGCTGATTCAAGGGAGAACTGGTAATTAAGACCAGTGAAGCCTCTGGCCCTGGATACCCTGCCTAAGTCTTTTGCTGGTTCCCAGGCCTCCTATCAACATGGGCCCCTACCTCTGCTCATTTCTCATAACATTATAGTTGGGAATTATATGTTTAACTTTCAAAAATATTCAGGAGGTCAAATTCTCCATCATAGTTGAGATTATATGCCTCTTTGTGATCAACTAGGTGAAATCTAACACAGACCTCTAAAGAGAGGGTTGTCTATACACCTTGCTAGAAATGTCCACATTTTCCTCTTGTGGGTTTCAACATCCATATAATACAAAGATTTTTTTCCCTCCATCTAACACTTCTGCAACATGGACTTTCGTCAGCTATTGTATTGTTTCAAGCTTGCTTTAGAAAACAAAATGTAAACTGCATTCTCAAAATAAATAAATGTGAACAGTATCTAATTTTGTTTGCAGGACACAACTAGAAAATTATACACCATTTCTAACTCGATATGTTGGCAGAACAAAAAGAAATTACCTAAACATAGACAAAATAGCAGATAAATGAGAATTAGTAAGAAGAAAATTCCAAAAACAAAAACTATAAACAGAAAAGGGCTGAAGAGAAGCTATGGTTTAACTACGAAATATTTAAAGAAACATAGAAGGTATAAGATAGAACATACAACTGAAAGTGAGATGAAGGGAAAGGAGAAATAAGTAAAGGGAATGATTTAAAAGATACAAAGCGCTGAAGCTCTCAAATAAATGCACACCAAGGTCTGACTACAAGCTTTGCCAATCACACAAATCATCTGGTCCTTTATGTTTCCGGCTTTCAAATGATCAATTTTTAAAAAAAAACTTACCTGAAGCAGCAGGGGATGCAGGAACAGTAGTAGGAGCTGACGGCATCTCTCCACCATGCAAAACCGGAAGGACTCCTCCAACCTCTAGGAGGATACCAGAGCTGCTTGCATGACCAGAAACAACTGACATGTCACTCTCGCCCACCTGCCAAAGGACATAGGTAGACTAAAATCCAGTGTATGACAAGGTCTCATATCTATACTCTGTTGCAATATGCTGCATTTAATAAACCTGTTCCAGGCTCCCCTCTGGCTGCTACCTCACAACATTAAAAATATATATATACCAGCATCAGAGATGGAGATCATCAAGCACAGATGCACAAAAAATAAAACACCAAAACAAAACCTAGAACTCTCTCATTCCCATCAAGCAGCATTCTATGCCTCTCATACCAATCTGTATTGGTGTGACAAAGTTTGATAAAATGCTCAGAAGGCAACTTGATTTAAAACAGGAGGGAGACTTTCACTGATGGAATTAACCACTGATGGAATTAAAAGTAAGACAGAAACAGGAGAAGGTATACATGTATACCTCAAAAAACCAGAATATATGAGGAGAGCAGAGGTAATGTAAAGAAAACAGATTCCCCTGAATCAGCAAAACAATAATCCACAGTCACAATAATGAAGCAATCACAAGCATACACTTGTTCCAACAACTTGTAAAAGGTACAATAAACAATAATCAGTATTGTGAATATAACAAGCTTATGTTTCATTGTATACTCTTGTTTGTTGTACCTTTTACAAGTTATTGGAACAAGTATATGCTCGTGAGAGCAGAGGTAAGTAAGCAAGATGGGGATCTTGAAGGAAGCACTAGATATATTGCAGACAGTAACAGCAGAAACATTCCCACACTTGAAAGTTTTGCATCCCCATACAGAGATTTTCTTCTTCTTCCTCCCAAATTGGTATCTCATGCCAAATAGATAGGATGAAGGAAGACAGAGCATTGTTGGTCTTTAGAGATCCTGTCATACACAGTTAAGCAAATGTGCTCTTGCTATATGAAGGCATACAAACATGATATAACAGTATTAATTGCTGTGCAATTGTGGAGACTTCCATAGCACTATGACACTGTTTGCATATTTGCACTAGCACAGATATAATTTTAGCATAATAGATTCATAAAATACAGAACCCCCCCCCCCAAACACACACACACACTTTATATAACTTGGTTATTCTCTCCTCCTTAGTGCTCTTTGCTGCTCTTTTGTAGCACTAATACTGACAGAATATGTTTAAAACATTTTGTGGTATTTTTTCCATTCCCTGGGGTAGTGTACAACACATCCACCGTTCAATTGAGCTCCAAACATATAAAAAATGGACCAAATGAGAGATATGGTAGCACCGTATGCTGAAGCATCACTCACTATTTGTGTTCCTCTTGAACAAAAAAGCCATGGGAGCGAAATGTTACAGCAGGAAGCAAATACTATACATGCACAAATATTTTCTAAAAATCCCAAATCACAAAAACCCTATCAAAAACAGCCTTAACCTGGTGCCCTCCAGATTTGCCAAGACAACCACCACCAATATACTCTACCATAATCGACAACATAACCAGCGCTATGGTCCAGCACGTCTGGAGGATATCAGATAAGAAAAGGAAGTTCAGGAACAATGGATTATAAACACAAAGGGCCCTTCCAGACAGGCCCTATGTCCTAGGATCTGATCTCAGGTTTTCTGCTTTAAACCAGATTATATGAGTCCACACTGCCAGATAGTCTGGGATAAATAGAAAACCTGGAATCAGATCCTGGGATCTAGGGCCTGTCTGGAAGGGTTCTTAGAATCCCAGCCAAGCACTAAATGCATTTCTATATTAAAACATCAACCTTTTCTAACTGTTGCACAATACAATGGTTACCATGAAACCTCTCTTCAAATCATAACACAGCCATGAACTCTATGTGTTGCATTTGGACCTTCTCACAGTGACACCAGAGGCCCTCCAAGTGGTCAGTTTCTGGTCAAAGGACATTTAGCATAATGCCAAATTCTTTTTTTTAAAAAAAGCTTTGTGTTTTTAATGCATTTTAATTGTACCCTCAACTCGCTCCTGACACGATAAATAAATAAATTAGGAAATACACTATCTTTTTTCCCAACTCTTATGTGGTTAATAAATAATATTTCTGGATTACTGAGATGATGTATGCGAAGCACTTTTGTGCATCTTGGAAGGTGTTCTATGTATACATTTATGTGTATATGGCTGCCATGTGTTATTTGGGCTCCTACATCCTCTGTAAACCTTCTCCTTTAAAGAGGTTTGTGTCTTTTGTGGTGAAAGTCAGTCACAGAGATTCACCAGGACAATTGCATATATAAAGCAGGGTACTCCATACCAGCCTGGGGCTCGTGGGCAGGAGGCTGCCCTTCTTCAGCAGCTCTGAAAGCAGAGGAGAAGGAGGCGGAGTTGCTTTCTGTCCTAGCATCTTTTTCTGGGCTGAATCATCTGTGACTGGGGTCATGGGGGCATCCAGGGAGGTGGAGCCCAAAGGGGTGTCAGGGATCCCAATGAAGGAGGCAACTGGGGTGCTGGGCAATGTCCCTGGAGTTACCTGAGAAAGAGAAAAACCACACTGTTCAAAGCCACATCCTCGCCATCTTAACAAGACCCACCGACTTCTCCCAACAGGGCCAGTCACTCAGCGCACCCCAAGCACCTCCTCCATCACTCCTGCTCCCCTCAAACCTTTGTGTGTCTCCTCCCTATTCCTATGCTAGACATTATCACTGAAGCATGTTCCATATCTTTGTCACACAGGACAACGCAAACTTGATTCTCTGGACAAGGCTGCCCAGAAACCATTTGATTACAGAAGGCAAAAGAGAGTGGGGAGAAGGCAGAAGTCTAGAGAATGGCAGGAAACACTGAACAGTCCCTCATGCCTGCTGAATCCTTACCCCTGGACTAGTCTCTTCGACACTGGGTTGAGACAAGTCCCCGAGACCGTAGTCTGCTCCTGGTGAAGTAGAACCTGCTGGAGAGCGAACCATCATTCCAGGCAGTCTTCGTGATGTGGTTTTAACTGCTTGACGAGCTGGAGGGGAACAGGTAGAATGTTACATTTCAAATGTTTTTGTTCAAAAGCCTCCTCTGCAGTTTCTGCCACCAAAGTCTGTAGCAAGTTCTTCCACACAATAGCTCTAAGAAGCAACTTTCTGACTGATTTTTTTAAAAAACGGAGGAGTATTTCTGGTATTCCGTCTTGGTTCAAAATCCAGACAAGGGCTTCTGCATTACAATTTGTCTTGCAAATTATTTTTTAAAGAGCCACAGGGAGCTCTAAAAACTGCATGCAACTTCTCAGAGAAGAAGCCAAGGAAGATGAAAGTACGCAAATGCTTCTATATATTAAATGTTTCTATATCATCATCTGTAAGAACATTGTTTTTTGGCCCAAGGTGGGACACAGGTAGCTAGTAAACTGAAAAAATGTAGTATAATTAAAATATACAACACATCAACACTAAACTTTAATTAAACTAATGACAATAATAAAACAATTAAAACCTACACCAAAAATGAACAGTTTGCTTGGAGAGGCAAGACCAACCCCTGGTTTTGTTTAGACTACTGCATTGCACTCTATGCAGGGCTGACTTTGAAAAGTGTTTGGAAACTACAGCTAGTGCAAAATACACCAGCTAGACTGGTGTCAGTTGTACATTTTACATGTCTTGCAAAAACTACACTGGCTTCCAAACGCAATTTAAGGTGCTGGTGTTGACTTACAAAGCCTTATATAACTTGGAACCAGGGTATCTGAAAGATTACCTCCTCCCATAGGGCCCTACCAGGAACTGATTTAACTGTTTAAAACTGGACTCTAGGCTTGTTTTTAGATTGCTTTCAGAAGTTTTCAAAGAATACTTTAATTGGCCTTTAAAAATGTTTTTTATCTCCATATCTTGAATTGTTCTTGGATTTTCTCCTCACCTTGAGATACAATACAAAAGTGCTTTAAATTAATAAAAATGATGCGCAGCTAAAACAATTTAAGAGTAGTAAAGCACCTTCTTAAAAGCCCTCTCCTTAAAAGCCTTCACTTCTAGAAATTTGTCAAAGTAAAAATGTATTCGGAACGATAGCAAAGAGGGAGCCAATATAATCTTTCGAGGAAGGTGTTGGGAGAAACAGGGGCAGCCACTGAGAAGGAGGTCCCATCTTGCATTCCTGTCCACAGCACCTGTAAAGATAGTGGGTCTGAAAGAAGACCCTGTTTGGATGATCTCAGAGTACATGCAAACTCATAGAATGAGGAATGATTTGTCAGATAGCCTTGGACCTAAGATGGATAGGCAACTAAATCCTGATGGAAATTGAATTCCCACAACTCTTATACTTATTCTAAATGTTTTGTGTTCAGGAGTTTGATTCTATTTGAGAAAGTCCTGATTTTCAACTAACCCTGATAAGCAGCATCTGTAGCTTTCTTCTTCATCTCTGCCTCTTCCTCTTCCATTCTCTTCTTCCTGGAGAATTCCAAGGTAATTTAGTGTTACACAAGGTTACTGGATACAAAACTGATGTTCTTCCTACTCACATATTAGACCCTCATTATTTAAAATAATGTGAAACTCATCAAAATCAAGCCCTCAGGAGGACTTTATTTAAAACAAAACAAAAAGTAAGTCTGTCTGAACCACTTTCTAGAAGTATCTTTAAAGTCTTGCAAAATAGCCCACAACAAGTGGGGGTGCAGGAATAATAAAAAGAATGCAAAGCACTGGAAAAATTTGTGTAATTGTGCCACATTGGTCAATGACATCCCCTAACTACATATAGAACTTTTCCGGATCCACAATTCCAAATTTAACCACTCCAACATGCTACGGGTGGGTAAAGAAAATACAATTTTCAGAAAAAAGAGACCATAACAAAAGGAGAAGAAAAAGATAACCCACACCACAATGTCATTATATATTTCCTCCAGCCTGTGGTCCATATGCCCTGCTTGAATCAGTTCTGCATCCCTCTTCAGCTGCCTGTAAAGAAAACACAAGAGAGATTTAGTTCATTTTATTCCTATCAACCTATTCTCAAATAATCAGGACCTTCCAAAAGTGCCACATTCTAGTAAATCCGAAACCTTACCTGTATTTCTCTTGAGTTTCCTTAATCATCTTCTTCAGCTCTTCTACCCGTTCTGCCGTCATTTTCCTCACAATAACATCTTCTACAGTTTCTACCACTTCACCTTTCTCACCACGCTTTCTTCTGCACAAAAAATAGGGAAGCAATATAGGAAACCAAAACAGAAATGTTCAATCCCCTTAAATTCAGCAACTTTTATTCTGACAAATCCCAGCACACCTGTTTCTAGAAGAATTACATTTTAATGTAGACACCCTGCATTTAACCATAAACACTCTTTCAAAAACCCATACATACTTTACAACATTTCAAGTTTAATTACAGCCAAACACTGTATTTGTATCAGAGTTTGTAAGATGGTTACTTGCCTGCGCAAAACCATAAAATAAGTTCATTCTTGGCTAATCATTCTGGCTTGTTAGATCAATTGGACACTACAGAAAGAAGCCACTCCCGAGTGTATGAGAAGTCAACTATGAAAGATGCAATAATGTCTAGAAAAATGCCTGCTTATCTAAATCAGCCTATTTATCCAAAGCAAGTCCCTAACCCATTATTTGATAGGATAGTGCTCTTTAGAACTGTTTAAGAAGAAAGTTTTGGAGTACTTTTTGACACTAATTTTGCAAAAACATTTTAAACCTCAGAAGATCCATCATCAGGAAAAAAGAAAAATTGTCATGCTTAGCAAGGAGTCCCATTATCAATGTAAGAAAAAACTATGGATTAGGAGAGATTACACACAATTGCTGTCAACTAGACTTGAAAAATAAGTGGTGAGCTAGGTTTTCACTACTTTAGTAAACTGTTCTGTTATTCCTTCTAAATTTGGAAATAAGCTATACTGCTGATTAGCTCTCTATTGTACATTAACTCCTGCCCTTCCTCACTCAAAGACAAAGAATGAAAAAAGTAAACATCACATGGCTTAGCATTTGAACTCACTTTGGTGTTTCTGTTGTCTCCAGAAGCTCAGAATATTGTGATGCACAATGCTAGGGAGGGAAAAGTATACAAAGTTCGCAATACAGGCAATACTAAAAAAATTGTATGCAGAGAAAGACATTTTCCACACAATAACGTTATTTCTCAAGATGTGTTGGCAACAAGTTTTGCTCTACTGAAAAGGTTTTTGGATGTGTGTGATACTGAATGCATACAGTTGGATCTTAAGAGAAAAGAGGTACACTAATGATCACATTTATAACTGGCAGAAGAAAGGAGGAAATTTGAAGAAAACCACATAGTCTTGGCAGGGATGGGATAAGTATAGTCTTCAGGCTACATGCACTCCTTGAGCCCTGATTTTCTGGCCCTCAAAGCCTCTTCTTTAAAGTTTTGACATGATTTTCAGTGATTTTTTTTTAATAAAAATCACACCCAAAATTCACCTAATGGATGCAAACATACCAAAAATACTGCTACCCATCCAACCTCATTTCCCCCTCAAAGACTTTGTTTTCTCTGTTTCTCCTTCAAATTGTACAAGAAGTGACACCATGTCACTTCTGACTCCTTCAGGTGGAGATGTGTCCTGTAGTGATGAGTTCAGAGGTGAAAAATTGCTCCCCTGGTCCCATCCAGTCATACACCCCACATTTAGGGCCTTGCATTCAAAACCGAAAATGGGGTTACTAAGCTTTTGGGAGGAAGTTACCATATTTCACAAACAGAAGAGAATAATCTCCCGTCATATGAGGCAATTCTACTATTAGCACCAGCAATTGCTAACTTCTACATGCCAGGATGCCTATAGGAATTAACAGAACTACAACAGACATGAATGGCTAACCCAGTTTTTCTGTCACTATCTTCCGCTGAATTCTTGGTTATATATCTCATCATTGCACTGAAAGTTAGGGACAAACAAGCATCTTCCATATTACCTTAAATTTCTCTCAGGGGGAGATCCACATGTAGCCCTATCAGTGTAAGGAATGGAGTTCCATCTAAATTCAATTTTTCCAGTATGAAAAGCAAAGGCTTTCACCTCCAGAAATTACAACACTAACTAATAGAATTCTGGCTGCTAAAATGTGCAGTGAGATGTGCTTAGTTTAGGCATCATCCACGTTGACATTTCAGTTTAGTAGAGCAAAATTCCCAACAAATCCACCCCCACCCACCTCGAATTATGGTATTTTTTTGTCTGAACCAACATACTATACTGGGACAAAAATGTTCCATGTCATTTTTCATCAAATGATTATGATAAGTAGAACAGATATATTCTAATTGGCAACAGGTTGGTTGCATCAAGTGCAGGGTAAGAAAGACAATTAATTCTCCATGGGTTCATTAAACACAAGACAGTTTAAGTTTACCTATCCATTAATACTATACCAAAATTCCCACAGAATCAGAAAACACCTGTAAACACACTCAATGGAAGGGGTTTTTTTATTCATATTTATTCACACGCTCAAAGTGAGTCCCAAAGACAAATATACCCCAAATATGAAACGAAAGCTTATTGACATTATCAAGGTGAAAATGAAACATCTTACTTTCTGAGAAAACCAATCAGGTGGGCGTCCTGGCTCTGCAAAAGGTTTGATAGCTCTGCTGACAGACACCCTAGAGAAAAATAAAGTAGTTGAAGATCTTTAATCCCCCTTTTTCAACAATTCAGTGGGAAAACATTTGGTCTCATGTTCAGAGTCCTGGAAACCACAAGATACACACAATAGACTTTATTTTTGCTTACTCATGCAATCCTTACCTGACCTGGTTATTTCATTTCACATGTGCATAGTTTTGAATAGCACTGAAACATGTTGAACTGCTCTTTTTTCTGGTGTAGAAACCTATTCCTACACTTTCCATGTTATTTCTGCCTCTGGTATCAAATTTTCTGTTTAAAAAGCAATATGCTGGACTACATCTACATCATTAACTGAGACAGATGAACTTCACTGGATGACCTTGGCTCAATTTTTCTCTCAGCCTAACTCACCCTTCATTAAGTCAGGATAATCACCAATCTGTCCCTACATACAATCGGAACACTTCTTGTTCTGTTTTGCAGCTCCAAGTTTTCTCTCCAGAGAACTTGTTTTCAGGTAGCTGTATTTATCAACTGGTTTTCACCGTTTTCAACAAATTCAAAGCTAATATCACAAATAGCACTAAAATATGTAAATCTCAGCAAGTAAACATCCTCTACCTGGAATTCTGAAATCTGATATACTCCAAAATCCAAAACTGTAAAGATAGGTGGCTGATATAACAACACTTTTGTTTTCTGATCATTCATGCTACACAAACTTTGCCTTATGCACAAATTAATAATAATGTATATAAAATTATCTTTATGTTATGTGTATAAAGTGCATTTTAAACTTAAATGAATTTTGTGTTAAGACTTGGATTCCATCTCCAAGATATCACATTATGTATGCACATGCAAATACTGTATTTACTTGAATCTAACACTCACCTTTTTTGGCTAGATTACCTTGCCAAAATTAGGGTGCACATTAGATTTGCATAATAGGGTAATTTGAGTGCCAAAGCAATAGAGGAAGCTGCTGCAGGAGCACATGGAGCTTTTTTGAGGGGTGTCATCTATAATTTAATTGTCAAAGCTCAATGCTATGTAATCCTGGAATTTGTAGTTTGATGAGGCATCAGCATTCTTTGGCAGAGAAGGCTCAGGGCTTTTAAAAACTACAGCCCCCATGATTCCATAGCACTGAACTATAGAAGTTAAAGTGGATTCATTCCACAACATAGATGCACCCCACTGTTTCTTTTCCATTGCTGAGAGCTTTGGTGTTCTTATTTAATAGTTTTTACAGAAGGAATTCTAAGCAGGGAGCAACTGTAATGGGCATAGTACAAAATGTGTGTATCTTTTGCTGCTATGCATTGCAATCGTTAGCAATTTTTTTGTTTTTAGGTGTTTGAAAATTGAGGTAAACATTAGATTCGATGGTACCTTAGACTTGAGTAAATATGGGTACATACATATTCCAAAATCTGGAAAAAAAACTTCAAATCCAACTCCCCTTCTAATCCCAAGCATTTAAGATAGGGAATGCTTGACTTGTACTTGGTAATTAAGAACTACAACAAATTAATTCAGAATTTTGTTCAAAGAACAGATAATTTTGTTAATTGAAATTACAATGCCCAGGACTTAGCAGCAAGTTTTTGCAAATTACATCTCCTAGTATGAACCTGCCCAGGCCCTAAGATCTTCAGGAGAGGACCTTCTCTCAGCTCTGGCTGCCTCAACTCTGGAGCTCCCCTTCTTCCTAGAGAAACCTGATCGGCCCCTCCCTGCTGTCCTTTTGTTTTGGTGGCAGGCTAAAACCTCTCTTTTCAGGCAGGTTTTTAAAGAAGAACATTTTAAAGGCCAATCCTGGGGGGGGGGGGGGGGGAACTAGCCCCTAGGTATTTTAATAGATTTTAGTTATTTAAATTTATAGCGATTCTATGTTCAAGACTACTTTAATATTTATATGTTGTAGACTTTAAACTGCATTGCCTCAATTAAGGAACGTTAGCTATAAATAATAACAACAATAATCAGCATGCATCTCATACCAGTTCTGGTCCCCGCTTCGCATGACAGAGGAGGCCAAGCACAGTTTCTCCCGGATGGACCATGGCTCTGTGGGCCCGACATTCAGCAACTTGTGCTCTGGAAGTCAGAGAGAGAGAGAGAAGAGATAAACACTGCAATGTTGCAACCTGCCCACAGATCCTTTTGTGATAGCACCTCAAAATAAACCTAACTTTGTCCGTGCAGCCGCCAATCTCAATCAATACTCCTATTTAAGTAAGCCTCAAGAGCAGCATGGGCAAACTTGGGCCCTTCAGGTGTTTTGGACTTCAACTCCCAAAACCCTTGGAGGGCCCAAGTTTGCCCATGACTGCTCAAGAGACTGCAGTAGTAGTATGCTGCTAGGTTATAGTTCTCAGCCCTATGAATGCCCTGAAAAGGTGTGTGGCAGCAGATATGTTGTTTTAAAAAAGCAATGCTTTTCATGAGAACCACCACTCCTCTTAATGTCCTCCCCCCCCCCCCCCCCCCAGCAATAGCAAGGGAATCCCTCTGGGCAGCTAAACCAGGAAATTCCAATTGGATAGCCCCCCATGAGGGTCTTCCTCCAGGGGCAAACCAAAAATGAGCAACTTGGAAGTCCCTAAACAGACTCAGAAGTGGACTGTGCAGATCAAAAGACAACCTGGCAAAATGGTTGTCAGTCACACAAGGTGGAAGAATCTTCCACCTTGTGCGACTGCGGAGCAGAACAAAACACTCTGCACCTGTATGTGTGCCCACAATGCCCTGCCTCATGCACAGAGAAAGAACTGTTTAAAGCTAGACAATGCTGGGTTGCTGTGAGTTTTTTGGGCTATATGGCCATGTTCCAGATGCATTCTCTCCTGATGTTTCACCCACATTTATGGCAGGCATCCTCAGAGGTTGTGAGGTCTGTTGGAAACTAGGCAAGTGGAGTTTATATACTTATGGCATGTCCAGAGTGGGAGGCTGGCCATTCCAAAGCCAGACTCTCAAGCTGCAAGGAAATTAAAATGTGAATTAAGGTAGCCAATTACAACATTTACACCTGCCTCAAGCAGACAAGAGTTCCACATAAATCCCACTTGCCTAGTTTCGAACAGACCTTACAACCTCTGAGGATGCCTGCCATAGATGTGTGCAAAACGTCAGAATGCTTCTGGAACATGACCGTAAAGCCTGGAAAACTCACAGCAAACCAGCGATTCTAGCCATGAAAGCCTTTGACAACACAATGTGTTCGCTGTTGCCTGTTTTTGGCCAAAAATTATTTAGCTGCTTATGTTCCCTCTATTTTATCAGTTTTATAATTTATTTATGCAATTCTTTTGACACATTTTTTTCTGTGTCAGGAGCAACTTGAGGAGCCCTCAGTGGTGCAAAGGGTTGAACCCTTGTGCCGGCAGGGCTGAAGGTTTGAATCGGAGGAGAGCGCAGATGAGCTACCCCGTCAGCTCCAGCTCCCCATGCAGGGACATGAGAGAAGCCTCCCACAAGGATTGCGAAACATCAAAACATCAGGGCATCCCCTGGGCAACATCTTTGCAGACAGCCAATCCACACACACCAGAAGGGGCTTGCAGAAGCGACACGAAATAAATAAGAAGATATGTTTTTCCCTACATGGAGGAAAGGGAAAAAAAGGCCTGGTAAATGTGTTGTCGAAGGGTTTCATGGCCGGAATCATGGGTCGCTGTAAGTTTTTCGGGCTGTATGCCCATGTCCCAGAAGCATTCTGTCCTGACGTTTCGCTTCTCACAACCTCTGGGGATGCCTACCATAGATGCAGGCGAAACGTCAGGAGAGAATGCTTCTGCAACATGGCCATACAGCCCGAAAAACTTACAGCAACCCAAGACCTGGTAATTTTATGGAAGCTGTTAAAAAAACGCAGGCACCCTGTCACCCGCCGCCCGCTCGCCTTATTTCCTTCCTCCACCCTCTCCTCAAAAGACAGACCCCCACTCACTACCCGTCCCGGCGGCCATCTTTCCGACGCACGCCCGGTGCATGCCGGGAAAGGGGCCGCGAGCTGTGCCATAGAGCGGTGGGCGGTGCTTCCTCCTCAAAGCCGCGTTCTTATTGGCCGACTCCTTGCTTTCCCTTCCCGGCACGTGTTTGGTCTGAGCCGGAAGCGCGACACTGCGGAAGAGGCGCGTGGCTCTTTCCCGGGCGGAGAAGCAGGCATGGGCCGGGCCAGCAAGCGCCAGGAGGCCGAGGAGGAGCAGGCGGCGCCGGAGACCGAGGCCACCCCGGAGCGCTCCTACCACGAACTGGTGGAGAACGTCAACGCCATCGCGCGGCCCCTGGCCTCCCGCAAGCTCACGCGGAAGCTCTACAAGTGCATCAAGAAAGGTGCAGGAAGGAAGGGGTTGGGCCTGCATCTACTGTACTCAGGCATGGGCAAACTTGGGCCCTCAGCTTAAGCGGCTGAAGGTGAAAAGGAAAGGGCCTGAGGCTGTTAGGAATTGTGGGAGTTGAAGTCCAAAACATCTGGAGGGCCCAAGTTTGCCCATGCCTGGCCTAGGTCAAACTGCATTAAGTCTGCAGTGTAGGTGCACCTTTGGGAAAAGGAGAGGTTTTAGGGGCAGCACTCCTGGAGAGAGGGGATGGGGGTCTTCAGAGGGCTCCCTTTCAAGCCTCCTTGCTGGGTTGGTGGCTTCCCACATACATATTCTCTCTCCCCTTCTACTTGCAGCATCGAAGGTAAAACAGATTCGGCGTGGAGTGAAAGAGGTCCAGAAGTTCATCAACAAAGGCGAGAAGGGGTAAGAATCTTAACATGGTTTGCGTTAAAAGACTCCCCAAGGGCCACCCGGTGCGCTACTCAGAGATGCCAGCCCCTCCTTTGCCAGAAAAGAAAGTAACACAGCCATGGGGTTGGAAGAAACCCCAAGGGCCATTTAGTCCATGCAGAAACATCCAAACAAAGCACTTCTGTCAGATGGCCATCCAGCCTCTGCTTAAAAAAACTCCGCCCCTCTGAGGGAGCATTTCACTAATAAGCATAAACTATCTCTTGTCCCAGGTGTAATGTCATGTTTGCAGTTAGCTGCCTTTAATTCTCATACCAGGGGAAAGGCAGTATAAAAATGAAGTAATTAAATTAATATTGGAGTGATCACAGGTGCCTTTAGAGCATTTGTCTTTTTTAGTGCTTCTTAAGCTATCTAATATGGGGGACAACTGCCTCCCCTGCTCCCCAGAAAGCCAGAGATAAGCACACTTGTGCTCATTGACTAGAACTACAGTATTTCCTTCTTGGAAACAACATACACCAGCAGCCAGTAGATTACTGACCTGCACCAGCCCACAAACCACCATTTGGGGTATCAGTAGGTATTCTGCCTATGCAGGAATCTGCGATATTGTTCCTTGAATGATTTGCTTCCCTCAGAGTTTCCTATGTCAAGCTTGACACAGTATGGCTGACTTCAGTTCAGTCATCCGCTGCAGATCTTGGAACTAAGTCCTCTCTTTGTAGTGTTCCTGATCGTTATGAGTGAATTACAGGGTGTTTCAAAATGATGGACACAGTTTGAAAGCAGTGTATTTCACCATGGCAACATCTTATAGTTACACAAAAAGTTACAAATGGTTTAATGAGTTATCATTTTTACTATTTTGAGCCAGAAACAAACCTAAAAATTAACTCCTCAAATGGAAAATATCTCATTAGTCCTTATGTGGGGTCCCCATCTTGCAAATGACTGAGGCTAAAGGCTGTTTGTAATTCTTTGAAGTTCTATGCCTCATCCTTCCAAAGGGTAAGTTTCATTTATGAGTGGTTTGTGGTTGCAGAGAGATAGCCATTTCAGATCATGTCCTTCTTTTAGAAACACCTTGTATTTCTGTGTCATGTGGGAAACTAAAATGTGCCCGTGTGTCAAAAATGCAAACTTTAGTAGGCCACAATGATGATGAAGCCATGATGAAGCCAGAAGTCGTATAACAATAGCATTGTTTTCATTTGGATCTGCATAATGTTAACCTCAGTGCCTCACACTGACCTATTTGCCTTTTTTATTTCTCACATTCTGTCTGTGTGAGAGTACGAGTCTCTTAAGTCGAATCCAATTATGTGAATACTGACCACACTAAAAATATTTAAAAATTAGGTAGCAGAGAATTGGTTTGTAAAGCAGCTGCAGAGAGCAGAATTTACTCAGAAATTCTGCTGAGATTGAGGAGGCTTACAACTATCAACAGTATTGCAGCTTTATATTATGAAGAGGGATTAACAGTAGCTTTGTTGTTCTCCCACTTCATTAAGGAGCAATGTCTAGTCCTTTTTTAAATGGTATCCTGCCTGTTTCTCTTAGGATCACAGTTCTTGCAGGAGACACACTGCCTATTGATGTTTACTGCCATATCCCCATCATGTGTGAAGACCGGAATCTTCCATATGTCTACATCCCCTCCAAAACGGTAATGATTTAGAGGAGGAACAGGGAAGGGGGCCTTCTTATTTGTATGTCTTATGGGAACTGAATGCAAGTTGGGGAGCTACAGGTGGTCCCCGAGTTACAAACATCTGACTGGGTTAAGAACGGGGGCGAGACAACAGGAAGTGAGAGAAATCTACCCCTCAGAAGGGAAATTCACTCCTGGAAGAGTTATCATGGGGAAAAGTTGTCTCCACTGAAACTTTCCCACCAATCCTTTTTTCCACAACAAGACGAGTTTATCAAAATCCAATTGTTACAAGGACAGAGGGTGAGGTTAAATCTTCTGAACAGGGGAACAGACAACAAAACAAATACCACAGGGGTGTTCACCCTTCCCTATGTTATCCAAAGCTAAAAATTACTTATTTTTGGCTAGAATTACACTGAAAAAAAATTATTTGTTCTGACTTACATACAAACTCAACTTAAGGACAAACCGACAGAACCTATCTTGTTCATAACTTGGGGGCTGCCTGTATTTGCATTCAGTTCAGTAATTTGTAATGCTATTGAGGGTGAGTTGCGGGCATATATAATGAATGTCTTTGAAGTTCTACTTAATAGAATCTTAAATATGGTGTCCAGATTCTGAAAGAGATAATTTGCCTTTATCTGCAACCTTAAATTTTGTGATCCAGGCTGTCCACGTTGACTGAACCAGGTTTGAATTTAGGGGCTGGTGTAAGGGATTCCTGTGTTAAAGAGGTCAAAGCAGGATACAACCACTTTCCTATAGATAGAAAGTCTTAGATTGAGTCTCCTTGCTATACAGGATCATGTTATAGCTTTGTAACAGTTTTAATAATGTCAATTACTGACTGTCAATTAAAATTTCTATAACACAGCAAAATCATTTTGTATTCTGAAATAAATGCCACACTGCAGGTTTTATGAGGCTTTTGAAAATTGTCATCTTTTTGACGTGGTGGGATTGATTTGTCATGCTCAAAAACAATGGATCAGTTCATCTTGACTTATGGGACATGTTTATGTAAATTGTGACAGTGGAGCTATGTATCTGTTAAATCATTTGTAAACTAGACAAATATTTGTTTTCTCAGGATTTAGGAGCAGCTGCAGGTTCAAAACGTCCAACTTGTGTTATCTTGATTAAATCTCATGAAGAATATCAGGAAGCCTACGATGAGTGTTTTGAGGAGGTCGAAGCCCTTCCACTCCCATTGTGAACATCAACAAAATATGTTCATGGACTGATTTAAATTTTCATTTAGGTTCATTCCAGTGGAGTAATAGCTACACAGATTTGGAACATTTGGACAGGAGAACTTGCCTTGAGTAGAGTACTGCAGCTAATACCGTCTGCAGTCCAACAACTCTTTTCTGTTTTAACTGACTGTTATGAAGTGTGTTTTTTACAAAATGTGACTTATTTTGCAATATAATCTACTGCCTATGTGGATATATCGAGCTGTAAAGGCATTCTTATTTGATATAAATGCAGTAAAATATTTTCCAAAACATCCTATATGCATGGAACATTCTTTTACTGGCTGTCTTGGCCTATACATGCAGTTGATAAGGTATCCATCTTGTTTTTATGCAGCCTTTGCATATTTAATATGGAGCTGGGGACTTAGGAACACTGAAGGTGGGGAAACTGTGACTACAGTGGGGGCAGGACAAACATTCTTAGAGGGCTTCCCAGACTATTGGAGCTGAGGTATGAAAAATGTGCCCCACAGCAGGTACACTCACACAGCTGCCTTATGCTTTTTTTTGGGTGGAGGGAGGAAGGACTAGCAATCACAGCCCCCCCCCCCCCCCCCCCCCCCCCCCCCCGCCATGCCTAGGACTGCTGTGTGCACATCAATAGAGCCCTGTGCCTCAAGAGGAAGGAGAAGATGAGTGCAGTTAATGTACTGACTACTTCCTTCTTAGGGTATGAATGCGTATGCGCATTCACACAGCAGCTCCACATCTCAGGAGGGGGTGGCAACTCTGGCTATTGGTGCTCCCCCTCCAGGTTACAAAAAAAAATTGTTCTTAAGCTGAATTTGTATGCAAGTCAGAACAGGTACATTTTTAAAGTTAACTCCAGCCAATTTTTGTTTAGTTTTGAATAGTATAGGGAAGGGTTAACACGTTTATTTTGCTGTCTGCATCCCTGTGCAGAAGGCTTCACCTCACGTCCCCATGACAATTGGATTTTGACAATTTTTGGTTGTGGAAATAAGGATTGATGACAACGCTTCAGTAGAGATACCTTCCCGCTCCCCATGATAACTCTTTCAGGGTTGAATTTCCCATCCTAGGGGTAGATTTCCTCAGTTCTGCAGTTTCAACTAAGTCTGAGTTCAAAACTATGACTTGCTACTTCCACAATGAAATGAAATTTCTGTTTCAGTTTGTAATCTAGATTTTTTTTGTTCTTAATCTTGGATTCCCAAGATAATTTGGATTTCAGCTTTGGAAGCCCTGGCCATTACTAAGGAGTTGGACGATGAAATGTTGAGAACTACTGCTCACTACATAATAAAATGGAAAGAGATACTATATGGATGATCTCTAGAGGGTTTCTGTGGCTGGGTTTGAATTTGAACCCTGGAGTCCTAGTCCACTGTTTTCATCAGCTGTCTGTGAAATTTACTAGGCTGAAGATTTTCAGAAGTGATATTGTAAGGAATACACCTCTTTTAGAGAAATATTTCCTTGGTTTTAAATAAACAAAAACCAAAAACATTCACCAAGCAATCTGAAAAGAAATTTAATTAGATATATTCCTATGCCACTCCTCCCATAGTCATAACAGTCATTGGTGCCCTAGAGAAGGGCAAAATAATGATCACATGCAGTCAGATAAAATCCCAAGCTTATATCAGCCAGCTACAGCAACATTAGAAAGACTGTATCATACGTTTTGCTTGTTGAAGGCACTGACTTGTTCCAGTAACCTTCAAGTTAGAATATATCCTTATAGTGTGTTTATAAATAACTTACATATTACCATACTTTTCCTAAAGGAGGTAGGCTCAACTCTTGAAGCTTAGGAACATCAGTCCTAGATTGTTATGAACTATGACAGTAATTATTTTTGCTTTTTAGTGTATCTCCAAGGATGTTCTGTAGATATCTATAAAAGCAGATGTAATATCTCTGTTAAGAATCTGTACCCCATACATTCGCTTTATAGAGTCCTTGTCATACTATTTTCCAAAATGGTTCATGTATATAGCAGGACCTGCATTTAGTACCATATTTAAGGAACACATATTGTAATACAAGGGGGAAAGTTGAATTGTATCTTATTTATTTATCTACTTGACAGGGCCCTAATTACTGTTGTACCAGTTTTCTCACCCTGTGCTGTTCTCTTAAGTTTTGTTGTTTAAAATCAAGGTAGATTCGTTGTTTCTGCCTAATCTTACTCAGCAATACAGCAGCAGGGCACTAATACATATTCTCAGCAGATATGCGGTTCGTCCACATTAACCTTAACAGTGTGCTAGTTCTCCAAGTGGAAGGGGATGGAGAGCAAGTGTTTTTTGTCCAGAAGCATTAACTCTTATGGTTACTCCAACTTCATTTTGTGAAGAGTTCTGCTGCTTGTGGCCGTAGGCCCCAAAACCACCTTTGGTGAAGGCTATGGGCCAGGATTCCTTTCCATCCTACTTTAAAACTTTCTTCACAGCAGCAGCAGAGCAAGCTCTAAATTATATTCCCAACTCAAATTAGATGTAACCCATCTTTCTACATTGTCCCGTTTCCAAACCGTACAGAAGCAAAAAGGAAACTATAATTTTCCTCATATCAAACTGAGTTAAATAAAATAATGTCTTTGTTCCAAATTTAAAATGACAGCAGCTCCTCCTCTTGTTTGTGGCACAACCCCTAACACAACAATAAACTGAAGTGTGCATGGGGAGATGTTAAGTCACCTTGCCATCAAGGAACAGTACTCAAAGGCCAAGGAAGGGAGCTAAGAGAGAGCGAGAGAATAATATCCTGACAGGAATGTAGAAACATGTCGTGCTCCACACTAGAAAACTCTCATCTTAGCCCAGTCAGTTCCACAGCTATTGCAGCTGAGACCTTCCCAAGCAAGAGACTATGCACTGTTGCAAGTACAGAGCACTTCTCATTAAGCATTGTTCTCACTGCCCATTTTCACAAACTCAAAAGTTCTAAAGTTTTCCATTATCAAAAGATGAGGCGTTTTCCATCAGCTGGATTCTGTTCCATGGGACAATATGGACACTTCAGCCTGTAGAAACAAGAGGCAGAAATGAAGCCTTAGAAACGTAACAAGCAACTAGATCCACAGGTGCATCTACACAGAAGCAAGGTTATGGAAAGCTGGTTATGGTCACACTTCCTGTTGGATTGTCCCACCTGAGTGCTTGTCTCTAGCTGACTTAACAAAGCATCTGATCCATGGTAACAATATCATGATCCCTGCCTTCAAGACTAGGGGTGCACGGGTGAGTTCCTCCACATGTTGAACTGCAACTTCCAGCAGCCCTAAGAAGTTTTTCCAATGTAGAAGGATGGTAGGCTCTACAGGTCAACCATTGTATAGAACAGTGGTTCTCAACCTATGAGTCCCCAGGTGTTTTGGCCTACAACTCAGAAACCCCAACCAGTTTACCAGTTGTTAGGATTTCTGGGAGTTGAAGGCCAAAATATCTGGGGACCAACAGATTGAGAATCACTGGTATAGAAGGTTACACAATTCCCAGCATTGTTAAAGGAAGTGATGCTAAATCATCTCATACAAGTAATACAGTTCTGCCCATTTACCCAGCAGGGGGCAGCAGATGTAATGCAGCTTTCTCTTGAAATTAAACATGTGAACTTGCTTAAAATAAGACTTCCTAAATATAATATATTAATGGCATATGTTGAGAAGGGCAAGAGAGACTTTTTAAAATTTACAGCGTGTAATTATAGCAGCTTAATATTACTTCAACTGTATAGTTCCAACCTGGAAATCTAGGATTTGTAGTTTGGTGAGATTACTTAGAATTCTCTCCAAGAGCAGAGGTGCCCAACCCTTGGTCCTCCAGGTGTTTTGGATTTCAACTTCTACAATTCCTAACAGCTAGTTCACTGGCTGGGATTTCTGGGAGTTGAAGTCTAAAACACTTGGAGGACCAAAGGCTGGGAACCACTGTGCTAGAGAACTCTGGGCTGTAGACTTCAGACAAATATAAAATACACAATTTTAAGTACCTCACACAACTGTAAATCCTAAGATTCCATTGGATGAAGCCACAGAAATATCAAACAATTATAATTGCACAGAATGAATACACCCTTAATCTAATCAGGTCACCAGAGTATTTCAAGAGGCTGCTGTCTGTGGAAGAAAGTAAAACTGGTGAGACAGGAGAGGCCAGTTACAGCTGATGCTACTGGAAGTTTTAGGCACAGCCTTCTCATCCACTGTCTCCTGGATATTTGACCAAAGGAGCAAAAGTTAATAAAATCACTCACTTCCCTCCATTGATGAGTTTGTTGAGGGCATCTCGAGAGATAACATGCCCACAGATGAGCTTGATAGGTGGGTTGGAGTCTGTTGTCTGCTGGCGCAGGATTGGGCAGGCAAAGACTGAGTGGTACCAGCATTTCATCCCTAGTTCAATTTCAATCTGTTAGAGCAGAGAGTAAGTTAGCCCCACCAGCTGGTTGTTACAATGGCACTCTTCCAGAAGACCCTCCACCTCATTCTGCATGCCTTGCATACAGTACAGGATGGGCCAGGCACTCACTGGCAGCTCATCCTTGTGGCTCCAGACTCCCGAGCACTGTCTCTGTTCAATCACAGCCTTGATGTTCATCAGCACTGGCAGCGCCACACACCCTGCAGCAAAGCTGCAAAGAGAGAACAAGAGGTCAGCTCTGCTTCTCAACCCAACCCCCACCCCACCCCCCACCCCCCACCCCCAATCACGCTGTACCTGACACTCAGAGGGGACTCCACTGAGAGTCCCAGCAGGGCACAGGCATCACGCGTAAAAGTCTCACAAATCTCAGTCCAATGGCTGTCATCCAGGAGGTGTCGGTACGGGGAGTTCTTGAGGCCCAAACGCAGGTACACCAAGCTGCCCATCATGACCTGGATCTCTGAGTAAGAAAACAGAATAACCACCCTTGCCTTTTACATGCTTCCATGCACAGACACCTGGATTCTTCTGTAACCCAATTATCATACCACAGAACACTGAACAGACAAACTTCTCCATTTTCACTCAGGGGAACACCAAGCCTCCCCCCATTTTTAAAAAAGAAAGATAATACAAAATATACACCAATAGGTTCCCATAAAGCACAAATCTGGGACTTGGCTCAGAGAAACACTACCCAAAGGCACTCTTTCAAAAAGGCTTATCATTGTGGGAGACTCAGGGAAGAAAGACCAGTCCTTATCAAAAGAATACTATTAGAGAAAAGTACGACAAATAGCTTTCTGGGAACAGCCTCACCTTGTTGGTGTAGATGCGCAAAGGGCTGGAAGTGGCGTGCATAGCTCAGGGCCTCCAGCTCCTTTCCGGGACCACCAGCAAGGAGCCTGATGAAGTGGAGCCGATGCAGACGGAACTCGAGAGAACTGTTCAGTTCTGCCAGCTGCTGCCGGTGGAAGATTGCCCAGCTGGAAGAGGGAACAACGTTGCTCAGAATCAGATGGAGAAAGTGGCCATTGAAGTGGCTGCCACGGCAAAAGAGTGCTGGAATCTGCATTACATATTTATAGCCTCTGAAGGTATGGACAGCCCTAGTATGTTCTCATCATTCTATGAGCTCACAACATTCATACACCGTGTTACAAGTCTATAAGATACAATATTCAGTGAAAAAAAAACATTTCACAGTGCTGATTCAAATAAAAGACTGCACGCACACACATGGACATTCCTGCTCCATAGCTACTGTAGAAGAGGGAACAGAAAACACAAAGGACAAAGGCAATGCACATTTCTTCACCATTACCTAAGAGCAGGCTCCAAGTCTTGTTTCCGCAGAGCTTCCAGTATGCTGTTAAGTTCCAGGAATGGCCTTTTGAAGTCTACATCCACGTTTGCAGTGGATTCCTGTTGCAGGGAAATCCAGAATTAAATTAAAACCCTGTCTTGGTCCTCTTCTCAGGAAAAATAGGTGGGAGAAGAAAACAGAAATCTTTTCAGAAAATCAAGATAAAGTCCATCTCAATAGCACGCTCATCTCGAGTTGGTGTCAAGGAATACCTTCCAGATATGACGGGACCACATTTGTCCATTTTCTTCAGAACTGAATCCGACTATGGTAAGCTATTTTACATTTGAGGGAAAATAACTTTTTGAGTCAAAACAGTCACACACTCTCCCATAGCATTTTATGGCCAATTATGTCTAGGATGTTTCGGGGGGGGGGGGGGGATAAGTGGCCTTTTTTAGAATGGAATCTTTCTGGGATTTGGGAGGGGTGGGGCTCTTGGAAGACTGCACAATCCATGCCCTTTGCTCACTCTGCATGTTGAACAGAATGAGCAGATTGCAGGATAGTCAGTCATTTGCTTTTCTATAGTGAAGCTAGATGCAGTGTCAAGCCAGACTTTGTAGGCCAGAAACAAAATGTTGCCTGGCCAAAACCAAGTGCCATCCACCAGCCACACAATAACAGAATTAAACCACAAATGTATATACTCAAGGCAAACACTACATTTGCTCCAATACCTGACAAAGTTCCTCAGCTACTCCCAGCATCCCTTGTTGGTAGAGGTGCTCTATAATGGCCATCACCAGGATCTGCTTCTCTTGGGACTCCCAGACCACAGCAGGAACAATGCCACACAAGTCTGCATCGAAATTCTGAAAAAGTACAGAAAAAAAGTCAGCCATCCAGAACAGCCAAGAAGCCCACATACCTATGCCCACTATTTGACATCCCAAAATTACCATCTATGGTACTTCCCATCAGTGGATGGGAAATACTGGCTATGATTACAGATTATTATGAACTACAGAATGATTGAAAGCATAAAACCATGAAATTAGCTTATTTCCAATATATCATAACTTTTTTGGTTTTGACTTGTTGCCAGTAATTCAGTCTTTAAAAGATGGGCAGATAATAAAACTCAGGAATTTTAAAAATGTATTTAGTAAATATATTTCCCTTTTTAATTTTTGCAAAATATTTCTTTACTAAGTGGCCTTGAAAGGTAGGGTATAATTCCAATAAATAAAAAAACATTAATAAAATAAAATTGAATAAAGCTTAAGGAACAGGGTATATAGAAAAGGCATGTAAACTACCAACAAAACATATTTAACAGCAAAAGAAACACTTTCTTGAATACAGAATCAGTTTTGTTAAAGTACAAATTAGTAGAAGGATATTTCAATAGTTCAGAAATACAAGGTTACAAGAAAACCCTTGGACTGTCATTTGTTTTCACAATGTATTGGATTCACTTTGATATTTATTTATTTATTTATTTATTTATTTATTGCACTTCTACCCCGCCCTTCTCAACCCCTGAGGAGGGACTCAAGGTGGCTTACAAAAGGCCCAATTCGATGCCAGCACAACAACAAGATAAAAATAAAACATATATAAACAGTAATTAAAACAATTAAAAACAATCCATTATACATCACAATCCCTAAAACCAATCTATAAGGTTTGGTTTCTATCTTGTTTCTGGAGCCCAAGCCATGCAGACAAAGTCACTCACTCTATCAATTGCTTTTCCCACCCGTGAAATGCTGCTGTGAATGTCCTTGTGGTCTGAAGCTAAGTTCTGCACAGTGTCCTTGATCTTCTTACAGCACTGGGACATAACTAGGGAGAGTGTGGCAGACAGCGGTGTCCGTTGCAAGGCTGTATAAGAAGAAGCATGACATCTTAACTTTAGAGAGCATGATTTACAGTTTCCTTATAAGTTTGGAAGTTATTGCTCACAAATAAGCAAGATCAAAACATCAATTAGAACACGCCTTTTCTCTCTCTAATCTGTTTACAGGAGGAAGAGGTACAGTCTGATATTTCTGTGCTGAGCTCCAGAATGTACTGGTCAGAGAAACACAGTGACCACACGCAAGAGTTCAGTTAGCAATATTATGGTAATTACCATCTATAACAGGCACAAAGTTTATGTTGCATTCCTTCCACATTATCCTAAACTTACTCAGAATGCTATACAGTACTGGAATTGTCTCAGGAATATAGCTATGTTGGTTATGGATGTAGGGATTAACAATACAATACATCTGGGGGAGGGGCACTATATAGGAGAAAACTGCGGTAGAAACTATACACATTGACCTTTCCCACAAGGATGAACTAGATGTCTTCATGACTAAATTTTTTAAAGATTTATTTATTTACTCTATTATTATCCCGCTCTAGCTCAACCCCGAAGGAGACTCAGACTGGCTTCCAAATTGGCAATAATTCAATGCCACAATAAACATAAATATATGAAATACAACATGCATTATACATTAAAATTAATTTTTTTAAAGTCATAACAACCATAACATATCAATACATTAAATAAAGTGTTAAAAACATAGCACAAAGACCTGAAATCATAATCCAGGAGCCATTTCAATCATATTGCAATCACTTCATAGCTGCTTATTGCACTGTACTACCCTCCAAATGCTTGGTTCCATGACCAGGTTTTAACTTTCTTTCTAAAGGACAAGAGGGAGGGAATCAATCTAATATCATTGGGAAGGGAGTTCCACAGCCGAGGGGTCACCACTGAGAAGGCCATGTGCCTCGTCCTCACCAGCTGCACCTGCGAAGATGCTACACTCTTTTCTGACCCACAGGTTTTTTTGAATTTGAGAACAGCTTGTATCTTATAGTCGGCAGCACCAATGTCAGTACTAGCTTATTCCACCTTGTGACAATATATTCATAGCTGTCTTCCACACAGTCATATAACCCAGAATATCAAGACAGAAAATCCCACAATATCTGCTTTGAACTGGGTTATTTGAGTCCACACTGCCATATATTCCAGTTTAAAGCACAAAATGTGGTATTTTATTCAGCTGGATGGAAGAGGTCTGAGATCAATACTTTCAAGTCATTCCCAACTGGCTCCCCTCAGTACTGCATATATGAACAGCCCAACAGGAAGGTCCTTCAGAAATTCTAGAAGGAGCTTCAGAAAGAGAACCTGCTGTATGAATTGGACAAAGTCCAGAGTGATGCTGGGACAGAAGTTATTGAATACAAGCCTAAAATATTTTTTCCAGGGAAAGAACCCTAAAAGTTACTTTAAAACAAACCACAGAGATCAAATGTAGTCAACAGACAGACAAATCTAAACTGATAACCAGACATAGCCTATTACGGGCACGTTCGCAAAAGGAAGTGAGAAAACTCTACTTGCGGTCAACAAACTGTTTATTTTGTATGCTTATATATTTATTTTGTATGCTTATATACCGCAATATCTCAGCCTACAACGGCGACTCATTGCGGTTAACAGTACTTAAAAACAACAATAATCAAACAATTTAAAAGCATAAAAAACATATACAGTACACAGTATCGGGCCACCAATACCGACCAATGCATCTCTTAGTTAAAATCATAATCCGAATTCATCGTCAATAATTACCAGTCCTTGTCATCAACTTCATCGCACCGGATTACCCGAATGCTTGTTCAAACATCCATGTCTTAAGTTTTTTTCGAAATACCAACAGCGAGGGAGCTGATCTTATCTCTATAGGGAGGGCATTCCAAAGCCGAGGGGCCACCACAGAGAAGGCCCTGTCTCTCGTTCCCGCCAGCCGCACTTCTGAAGCCGGAGGGACAGAGAGCAGGGACTCTCCAGAAGATCTTAGGGTCCTGGTGGGCTGATAGGCTGAGATACGTTCGGATAGATATGCTGGGCCAGAACCGTTTAGGGCTTTAAAGGCCAATGCCAGCACTTTGAATTGGGCCCGGTAGCAAATCGGCAGCCAGTGGAGCTGGTACAGCAGAGGAGTTGTATGCTCCCTGCGTCCTGCTCCTGTTAGTACCATGGCTGCCGCCCGTTGGACTAGTTGGAGCTTCCGAGCCGTCTTCAAAGGCAACCCCACGTAGAGAGCGTTGCAGTAGTCAAGGCGGGATGTAACCAGAGCGTGGACTACCGTGGCCAAGTCAGACTTCCCAAGGTACGGTCGCAGTTGGCGCACGAGTCTTAACTGTGCGAATGCTCCCCTGGTCACCGCCGAAACCTGGGGGTCCAGGCTCAGCGCTGAATCCAGGATCACACCCAAACTGCGAACCTGTGTCTTCAGGGGGAGTGCGACCCCGTCTAACACAGGCTGTAACCCTGTACCCTGTTCGGCCCTACGACTGACCAGGAGTACCTCTGTCTTGTCTGGATTCAATTTCAATTTGTTCTCCCCCATCCAGACCGTTACAGCGGCCAAGCACCGGTTCAGGACCTCGAACAGCCTCCTTAGTAGCAGGTGGGAAAGGAGTGACAGAGTTGGACATCATCTGAGTACAGATGACACCGCACCCCGAAACTCCGGATGATCTCGCCCAGCGGCTTCATGTATATGTTAAACAACATGGGGGACAGTATTGAACCCTGAGGAACCCCACAAGACAAAGGTTGTGGGGTAGAACAGGAGTCCCCCAGTGACACCTTCTGAGACCGATCCTCGAGGAATGACCGGAGCCACTGCAAAACAGTACCTCCGAGACCCATTCCCGCGAGGCGTCCCAGAAGGATACCGTGGTCGACGGTATCGAAGGCCGCTGAGAGGTCGAGTAGCACCAACAGGGACACACTCCCCCTGTCGAGCTCCCGACGGAGATCATCCACTAAGGCGACCAAGGCTGTCTCGGTACCATGCCCCGGCCTAAAGCCAGACTGTGCCGGATCCAGATAATCCGTGTCTACCAAGAATGCCTGGAGTTGTGAGGCCACCACACGTTCCATGACTTTGCCCAAGAAGGGGAGATTGGAAACAGGCCGATAGTTGACGAATTGAGTGGGGTCCAGTGATGGTTTCTTCAACAGCGGTTTTATCACAGCTTGCTTTAAGCTGGCTGGAATTTTGCCCTCCCGAAGGGAGGCATTAACCACCACCTTCACCCACTCGGCCAATCCCCCTCTGGCCTCCTTTAGAAGCCAGGATGGGCAGGGGTCTAGGATGCATGTGGTAGCTCTCGTTCCTCCAAGCACCTTGTCCACATCCTCGGTTGAACCAATTGAAATGAATCCATCAAAATTGGACAAGCAGATGCTCGTGTTACATCCTCAGAGACTGCCGTTAATATGGTATCCAATCCAGAGCGGATCAAAGCGACTTTGTCTGCAAAGAACTGAGCAAAGGCTTCACAGCGAGCTGCCGAGTCATTAGGGCTCCCATCCTGAATGGTGGGTTTTAACAGGCCTCTGACAACTCGAAACAGTTCGGCCGGACGGTTCTTTGCAGACGCAATAGTGGCCGTAAAGAAAGTTTTCTTTGCGGCTTTTATTGCCGCGGTGTATGACCTTAAAAAGGACACAAACCGTGTTCGGTTTGGCTCGCTCGGATCCGAACGCCACACGCCCTCTAGTTCCCTCTTCTTTCGCTTCAACGCTGCCAGCTCCTCAGTAAACCAAGGGGCTGGTTTTGTTCGGCTACTTGAGAGGGGACGTTCTGGAGCGATCGTGTCTATTGCCCTAGTCATCTCCCCATTCCAGAGAGCGACCAGGGCATCAACAGGATCACCAACCGAGGTGGCGGGAAATTCCCCAAGAGCCATCAGGAATCCCTCCGGATCCATAAGCCTCCTGGGGCGGACCAATTTAATAGGTCCTCCACCTCTGCGGAGGTTAGGGGGTGCAGTAAGTCTAAAGCTGACCAGGTGGTGGTCGGTCCATGGCAACGGAGAGATGGATAACTCCTCAACACCGCCACCTTCCTCCCATCCCTGACAGAAAACCAAGTCCAATGTATGTCCAGCACTGTGGGTGGGGCCAGATACTTGTTGGGACAGCCCCATGGTTGCCATGGTAGACATGAAGTCCTGAGCCGCTCCCGATGAGGCGGTCTCGGCGTGGACATTGAAGTCCCCCAGCACAAGCAGCCGTTGGGACTCCAATGCCAGGTCCGAGACCACCCCCGCTAGCTCAGAGGGAGACTGTAGTGCAGCGAGGTGGACGGTACACTAACAGAATCCCTAATCTGTCCCGGTCACCCACCCTCAGGTGGACGCATTCAAAATTTGTTGACTGCGGGATGGGGGCCCTGGTCAGAAGAATGGAATCTCTATAGACCACTGCAACCCCGCCTCCCCGCCCTCCGGATCTCGGTTGGTGCTGCACAGAGAACCCGGGTGGACAAAGCTGGGTCAAATTTACACCTCCCGCTTCGTCCAGCCAGGTCTCTGTGATGCACGCCAGATCTGCCCGTTCATCCAGGATTAAATCTTGGATGAAAGTTGTTTTACCATTGACAGATCTGGCGTTCAACAGATTTCAACATATTCTGAATGACCAATAACATCTCCTGCACTATGTTACAACTCCGACAACAAACAGTAGCAATATCAATTGCTATTGTTTGTGTATGAACCCTGTGCTTATCTTGTACACATCTGAGGTTGAACACTGTTTGGCTTCCATTTTGTGACCTTTGGGTCCTAACATTTACTGGATTCCATACTAACCCACATGCTGTTATTGGACAACTGAGAATAACACCTCAAGCATCTCATAAACTGGACTCAAGTCTAAAAGGACAATGCCATGTTAATAAATTGTTAGCCTGAATAGTACCACATTGTTTTTCATGTTCTTTGTATTGCTTTCACTCCAAAACTGAAGAAGTGATGGTTAAGAGGAAATCTCATGGATTACCATGGCCAGCCATTCTCTTTCAGCCTAACTTTAGTTCAAGGGATTGTTGAGAGGATAAAATGGAAGGGAAAGCTATATTCTCTGTAAAATTATGAGGAAGAAGTGTGAGATCTAGACACAAAATACACACCACATAAAATAAAGCTAATTGTCTGAGAGGCACAATGAGGCAACACCTTTTCACTATCAAGGAAAGCCAGAAAAAATAATTTAGTTTCTTAATTATTATTTTTAACATGTTATCTAAGACTTTCATGGCCAGAATCATTGGGCTGCTGTGAGTTTTCCAGACTGTATGGCCATGTTCCAGACGTTTCACCCACATCTATGGCAGGAATCCTCAGAGGTTGAGGGGTCTGTTGGAAACCAGACAACTAAGGTTTATATATCTTTGAAATGTCCAGAGTGGGAGAAAGAACTCTTGTCTGCTTGAGGCATGTGTGAATGTTGCAAATGGCCACCTTAGGTAAAGGTTTTCCCCTGATGTTAAGTTTAGTCATGTCCAGCTCTAGGGAGTAGTGCTCATCTCCATTTCTAAGCTGAAAAACTCGCGTTGTCTGTAAATGCCTCCTTAGGTGGTCAGCATGACTGCATAGAAGGCTGTTACCTTCCCGTTGGAGCGGTACCTATTGATCAACTCGACATTTGCATGTTTTCAAACTGCTAGGTTGGCAGAAGCTGGGGCTAACAGCGAGAGCTCACCCTACTCCCCAGACTCAAACCACCAACCTGTCAGCAAGTTCAGCAGCTCTGTAGTTTAATTAGCTGCAGTGCCAGGGGCTCCCTAATTAGCACTGAATGGCCCTGCAGCTTCAAAACCTAGCTGATAGCTGCCTGGGAGATCCTTTGTAGGGAGGTGTTAGCTGGCCCTGATTGTTTCTTGTCTGGAATTTTGAGTATTGCTCTTTATTTACTGTCCTGATATTATCTTTAATGTTTTCCATCCCCACAGAAGGGAAGAGGAGTTTGCAGGGCTCATTTTCTATCATGTTATTTTGAGATTATTTATTTTATTTTGTCATTCCTTGTGTTATTTTGATGCTATTTTGTTTCTTTGAAATCTCTTTTGTTTTATTGTATTGCTATTTCTGGGTTTGGCCTCATGTTAGCCGCCCCGAGTCCCCTTTGGGAAGATGGTGGCAGGGTATAAATAAAGATTATTATTATTATTATTATTATTATTATTATTATTATCCCATCCCATGTGGCAAAATACGATGGGTGACAGTATGATAGCTGGGTCCAGAAGCTCCGAGCGTTACACACATTCTGCAATGGCGGTTCTGAATAAGGGAAGGGGATAGCAGAACACTGAGGGCAGGAATATACTTCGTAGTTGCATTTGGTGGAAGAATAGATAGGAGGGGAGGGTTAGGATAAAGTTTAGGGTAAGGTTTAGGGTTAGGATGAGGGTAAGGTTTAGGGCAGGGGTCCTCAAACTTTTTAAACAGAGGGCCGGGTCACAGTCCCTCAAACTGTTGGAGAGCCGGGTTATAATTTGAAAAAAAGCATGAATGAATTCCTATGCACACTGCACACATCTTATTTGTAGTACAAAAACTACTTAAACACAATACACTAATTAAAATGAAGAACAATTTTAACAAATATAAATTTATTAGTATTTAAATGAGAAGTGTGGGCCTGCTTTTGGCTGATGAGATAGGGTTGTTTTTGTTGTGTGCTTTTAAGTCGTTACAGACTTAGGTTGACCCTGAGCGAGGGCCAGGTAAATGACCTTGGAGGGCTGCATCCGGACCCCGGGCCTTAGTTTGAGGACCCCTGGTTTAGGGTTTGGTTAGGATTAGGGTTAGGGTAAGGTTTAGGATAGGAGCCCCCGATGGTGCAGTGGGTTAAAGCCCTGAGCTGCTGAGCTTGTTGACTGAAAGGTCACAGGTTCCAATCCAAGGAGCGGCGTGAGCTTCCGCTGTCATCAGCTTCTGCCAACCTAGCAGTTCGAAAACATGCAGATGTGAGTAGATCAATAGATACCGCTCCGGCAGGAAGGTAACGGCGCTCCATGCAGTCATGCCGGCCACATGACCTTGGAGGTGTCTACTGACAATTCTGGCTCTTCGGCTTAGAAATGGAGATGAGCACCCAGAGTCAGACATGACTGGACTTAATGTCAGGGGAAAACCTTTAGGTTTAGGATAAGGATTAGGGTTCAGGTAAGGGTTAGGGTTTTACCATTAAAGAACTCTTACATTCCTTCTATAATATCTGTGTTCTGTTCTGCGTTGCGCAAACAGTGCTCCCGAAGGAGCGAAGCGGAAACAGTGTAAAACACTCAGAGCTTCCGCACCCAGCTTTCATACTATCACCATACGATGCGTTTCTTTGGGTACGTTGACTTGGTTGTGTGGTGGCATGTGGGGCAATGTATCCTTTGTTATTGTGCCTCTGGCATTGCCCAAACTCTAGTTCAACAAAGCCCATTTCCAGCCATTTCTGTTCAATTCAATGCAGAATTCCAGAGGTTTGATATCACTAACTGCCATTAACAGTGAACTTGAGCACATTCCACTTGAAACTGAATGGATGGAGCAGGCCTGGGCCGACTTGGGCCCTCTGGCTGTTTTGGACTCCAACTCCCACCATTCCTAACAGCCTCAGGCCCCTTCCTTTCCCCCCTCAGCCGCTTAAGGAAAGGGCCTGAGGCTGTTAGGAATGGTGGGAGTCGGAGTCCAAAACACTCAGAGGGCCCAAGTCGGCTCAGGCCTGCTCTAGACTCCTTTGTTCGCCAGTTGAGGAAAGAGGGAGCCGGCTGTGAGTAGGCCCCGCTTGTACCTGCGGCGCCCAGCTCCTCCCTCAGCCGGGTGACGTAGCCGAGGAGCTCCTCCAGGCCCCGCTCGCAGTGCTGCCCGTAGCAGAGGAACTTCTGCAGCACTTTGTCCAGCTCCCTTTCTACGCAGGCGCAGCGCTCCATGGGCCCGGAAGGAAGCGCGAGAGCAGCGCGAGAGCGTCCAGTCCAGTCTGGCTGAAGAGAAAGGAAAAGAGGGGGAGGGGGTTAAGGAGGGAGATACAACCCTACACAGCCCTTTATTGGACCCTCTCGAGGGCAGTTGAAGAAAGACCCGTATGTGTCTTATAAACCCAGCCCTCCAACCCAAGCCACCTCCCTACCACTCTCTCTCTCCTCCCCCCAATACAACAATGGTACATTCCCCAATAATAGTAGATATAGGGGACGCGGGCTATACCACTTGGCTGGGAAAGGGGGAACTCAAGAAAAGCTAACCTGAGAGCCGCGGGATGAGACGTTCAATTCCCTTCAGTCCGGGGCAGGGCGATCATAATTATTGTTCTAATGTAGCGCCTCCTCCTTCCCTTGGTCCCGGCATGATAAAGTTCTCTGATGATGGGGCAAACCATTCCTATGGAGGAGGGTGTGCCTGGAATGAACCACCGGCCGGCAACAGCTGGGTGGAACCAGACTTCTTTTTTTTCCCCCAAGCTGAAAGTGACGCGCAGCGCTGGAAGGAACCATTTCTTCGCGGGTCGATTTGGAGAGCTCAGGAGGGTGTAGCTAGGAGCATTGGTAAATCAAGCGTGGGCTTGCCCATTTGGGGAAAACAGCAAAAGTGCCTATTAAGAAGGGTCAGCCTGAGTGCTTCCACTGGGTGACTCAGGTCTGGTGCTGTTAACACACGTTGAGCATCCCTTATCCCAAAGACTTGGAACAGAAGTATTTCTAATATTTTTTTAAAACTGTATTTTGAAATACTTCCCTATACATAATGAGATACCTTGGAAATGGGACCAACTCCAAACACAAAATGTATTTAATGTTTCATATGCACCTTAAACAGACAGCCTTAATATTTTATACACAATATTTTAAACAATTTTTATTTATTTACTATCCATCCCCTGCCACGTGTTGCTGTGGCCCAGTCTGTGTACAGGCCGGTAGCCAGGATTTCGATTGGGGGGGGGGCGAGTCTGAGTGAAAGAGGGTCTACCCTAGCAAACCTTTTGTGTCGTTACCCCAATACCCCCATGCATATGGGATATATTGAGTATGGTGATCAGATCATGATATGAATAAACATAACTGTTTAAATAATGTACCAGTAAGAATTTCGGGGAGGGGGGCACTGAAGCCCCTCAAGCCCCCCCCCCCCCCCCCCCCCCCCCCCCCCGCTACATGCCTGTCTGTGTATGTGTGTTTTGTTTGTGTATATATGTGGTTTTGTGCATGCAGTGTAATGTTGTTGTAGTTTGTTTTTGTGTGGGGTTTTTTTTTTTTTTGCTTTTTTGGTCTCTTCTGATGTGCTTTTCAGTGATTTTATGAGTGATGGTCACTTGTTGGCCTGATAGGTGTATTGTGTCCAAATTTGGTATCAATTCTCCCAGTGTTTTCTGAGTTACGTTAATCCCACGAATGTGTCAGAGTGAGGCAGAAGCTTTGAAGCTTAGAAGAATGGACACTTTGAGACTTTGGTAAAAGCAAACGTATAGTTTTACTGAGTAGAGCAAATATACAGCACACACTCGCATTGACGCCCAATCAAAAGAACAGAAACAAGACAAAAGCACCGAAGTAAGAAGGACAAACGAAATCTTATCTCTGGATCCTCCCTACGCATTCCAGGCACACTCAGGGTCACAACTTCACAGTTCATTAGAGGCTTGACTGCTTAACCCAGGCCCATAGCCAGGATTTTGATTGGGGGGGGGGCTGTATATGTGTGTATATATATATGTGTGTGTATATATTTGTTTATATATGTGTGTTTGCATATATATATGTAGTTTTGCGCATGCATTGTGATGTAATTTTTGGAAGGTTTTTTTTGCATTTTAAGTCTCTTCTACTGTGTTTACATTTTTATTTATATAGATGTATTTATATCCCACTTTATCTTTCCATTTTGAGACTCAACGCAGCTCACAATTAAAAATATTACAATACAACTTAAAATGTACTAATATACAATAATAAATGAGTATTATCATTATATATTATTATATATTATCAGCAGTATTATATTTAATATGTTAGTATTATTAGTATTATATTACAATATTGCTATATGTTACTATATTGTATTATATATTATTACATTGTATTATTATTATATGTGTGTGTGTGTATGTATATGTGTGTGTATATTCTCAAGAGTGACTTGAGAAACTGCAAGTTACTTCTGGTGTGAGAGAATTGGCCATCTGCAAGGACTTTACCCAGGAGATGCCCAGATGTTTTAATCTTTTACCATCCTTATGGGAGGCTTCTCTTAAGTCCCTGCATGGGGAGCTGGAGCTGACAGAGGGAGCTCATCCGTGCACTCTCCGGATTTGAACCTGCGACCTGTCGATCTTTAGTCCAGCTGGCACAAGGGTTTAACCCATTGCGCCACCAGGGGCTCCTATATATATTATTACAATAGCACAATATTAGTATTACATATTATTACTCTCTCTCTCTCTCTCTCTCTCTCTATATATATATATATATATATATATATATTACTATACTGCAATATTATTCGTCATATTATTTGTGCCTGAAACAAAGTTTGTGTGCATTGAACCACTATAAAGCCGCCCACATATAAGAAACCAACACTTTCTTGTTACTTTATTTTCCAGATCACCACACTGGGCCACAGCAACGTGTAGCAGGGAACAGCTAGTCTATATAAGTAAAAATGTAATGTTCGTTTGTGGGATTAACATAAGTCAAAAACCACTGGACAAATTGGCACCAAACTTGGATACAATACACCTATCAGGCCAACAAGTGACCGTCACTCATAAAAACACCAAAAACACAGCAGAAGAGACTTTAAAAGCCAAAAAACAAAAATTACATTACAACATATGTGCAAAACCACATACATATACGCAAACACACATATATACACATATACACAAATATATACACACATATACACACACAAAACATATACACAAACTGGGCCACAGCAACACGTAGCAGGATGGCTAGTATAAACAATAAGTAAATACCATGTGACCTCTTGCTAGTTTGAGCACTACAGTCAATTAAAATTCCATTTTGATAGTTTTTATCTGTGCATAACATTGTACTCTTAGTCAAAAATGTCCTGCCATATATAACTCATTTTTTCAATTTTATTTATAAAAAAACCTCCATGTATGGATTGGTAGCCGACATGCATGCTAAATAGGATCGTCCTTGAAGATGATTTAGGATCTTCCAATGACCCAGTGGATTGATTGTTATCTAAGATTGAGATCCGCTGTGTCAGATCTTGAGAAGGCATGACTCAGTAGAAAAGATGATAATGCTTAGTAGTATGAAAAGAGGAAAACTGCATTATAGATGAGTAGACTCAGTCTAGGAAGCCACAGCCCTGAATCTGCAAGAGGCGAGTACAGCAGTTGAGGACTGGGTGAGGTCTCTCAGTGAGGTCTCTCAATCATAAGGTCTCAGTGAGTCAGAGTCGCCTGGGCAGAAATTGACAACATCAGCAGCTTACATTTAAGATGGAAAGTGTGGATTTGGCCCTTGTAATCAACTTTTTATTTTTTAAAAATAAGAAAAAAAATTACAAAAAGCCAGTTAGGCCTGAATATAGCAAGGTATTCTCCTGTTGACCCTCACTTCCAAGAATGAAAATCTAATAAGGTTTTATCACTTTAACCCAGATATGGGCAAACTCAGACCCTCCAGGTGTTTTGGACTCCAACTCCCACCATTCCTAACAGCCTCAGGCCCCTTCCTTTTCCCCCTCAGCCGCTTAAGCGGCTGAGGGGGAAAAGGAAAGGGCTCTAGGTTGTTAGGAATGGTGGGAGTTGTAGTCCAAAACACCTGGAGGACTCAAATTTGCCCATGCCTGCTTTAACCCCATTTCCACTGCCATATAATGCAGTTTAAAGCAATATCATTAGTTGTTACTTTGATTTTAATTTTCTAAGCAATTTTGGTACTGTCCAGTTGGAAAGTGACCGAGATATTAGTGGGAATAAAGAAAACTAAAATCCAATTTGGATCAGTATTTCCAAAGGAATGTCAATTAGTATCCAGTATTTTATAATGTTAGAATTGTCGAAGTCTTTCATGGCTGGAATCACTGGGTTGTTGTAGGTTTTTCCGGGCTATATGGCCATGTTCTAGAGGCATTTTCTCCTGACGTTTCGCCTGCACCTATGGCAAGCATCCTCACTACCTCACTACCTCTGAGGATGCTTGCCATAGATGCAGGCAAAACGTCAGGAGAAAATGCCTCTAGAACATGGCCATATAGCCCGGAAAAACCTACAACAAGCCAATGTTAGAATTAATATAATTTTATATTTGATTGTTGGTCTGAGGCGTTTTGTTCTGCTGTTTGTGTGATTTTACATCATTTCTGACATGTTAAACCTAAAGTGAGTCTCTTACTGAGTTTTCTTGGCAGAATTCGTTCAGGCGGAGTTGCGTTTTGATTTCCTCTGAGGCTGAGAGAGTGTAATTGTGGCTGATGGAGATTCGAACCCTGGACTCCAGAGTCATAGTCCACCATTCAAACTACTATATCATACATAGAATCATAGAATCATAGAGTTGGAAGAGACCTTGTGGGCCATCCATTCCAACCCCCTGCCAAGAAGCAGGAAAATTGCATTCAAAGCACTCACAACAGATGGCCATCCAGGCTCCCTTCATTTTACTATTGGTATTATTTTTAACATGTTTTCCTATGAGCAGGCTTGGGACAATCTGTTCTGAAAGGCAGCACAAGAATCTTAAAGAAGATATAAATAAATTATCCAGTCTCTGTCTGAAGGAGTGCCTCCAATAGCCGAGACAGGTGGTAATTCCTTGTGTCCAGAAAGAATGCAAGCATTAGTCGCGCATATTTCTCAGTTCCCGACATTAGTGTTCAGGATAAAGAGGAAGAAGCTAAATCGCTCCTTCCTCACTGGCTAAGTTTGTATTGTAAGTTTCTTGGAGAAGGGACTTTTTTCTTATGCTGTTTTGCACAGCCGTGCTATGTAAAAGTGGTGGTCCATAGATAAGTTCTTGTCCCTGGCAGGCTTCCAAGGAAGCAACATATGCTAATATTGCTGCACTTGTGGGTTGTCTAAATAGGACCAAAAATAGAAATGTTTTTTTCTTGTTGTGAGTGGCCAGTCTCCACTAATTAAGCTGAAAATATCTAATAATTCTACAAGTTGAATACATTGTTGTAGCAGTATGACATCTACTCTGAGTCCCCTTCTGGGTGAGAAGGGCGGCAGATGAATGTCATAAATGAATAAATAGATAAGACAAGAAGAAAAAACTATTATTTCTAGAAAATTTACTAAAGAGGCAGGTTAAAAATAGTACTTTATCTGTGACATGTGATCTCTCATCGTTTCTTTGAGTAAGGGCATTTGACAAGTTAACTAAAGGCATTTTGTAGGAAAAAGATATATCTTGAAAGTATATGTTTTGTTTTTAAATATATTTGATAATTTTATTATCCTTACTAATCAATATGTACACCAACCAGAGCCCCCAGTGGTGCAGTGGGTTGAACCCTTGTGCTGGCACGACTGAAGACCGTCAGATCAGAAGTTCGAATCTAGGGAGAGTGCAGATGAGTTCCCTCTGTCAGCTCCAGCTCCCCATGCAGGGATATGAGAGAAGCCTCCCACAAGGATGTTAAAACATCAAAACATCCGGGTGTCCCCTGAGCAACGTCCTTGCAGACAGCCAATTCTCTCATGCCAGAAGGAAGTCACTCCTGACATGAAAAAAAATATGTACATCCACTTTTTCAGATACAGTATAGAGAGAGTTGTATTAAAGCCTTGGGTTGTTGAGTATATTTATGGAGTTGTGGGAGTGGAATGTAATAGGATCCAAATCATGTCCTTAAATTTTCAAAGAGCTGGGTGTGGTGATACAGGTCTTCCAGATATTTACAGTGGTTGGTTGCTATTGATGTGTGAAAGTAATAAATCTGTTTCCCAAAACTCTCTCAGAGAAGGTTCCTTTTATTGCATGTGTAGTAGTCAGGACTCTTGTATTAATATGTATAAAGTACCATGAAGCCTCTGTCTTTGTTCATAGTTATGCTAATGATATAAAATTTGTGGATATAATTAAGTTTCTCCTTTTAATCTTCCTTTGTAATTTCCTTGTTCATAGACTGTGACCTCTAAACTTTATTAGGAAGGTTGGCACGTTCTGCAACTAATTTTTGAGTCTTGCCATTTCTAATGTGAGGTTTGTGTTCCCAGAGTAGATGCTTTCAAATAAGCTTTATATCCCAAGTCCTTAATATCACTCCGTACTGTATCAGACATGGTGTGTTTTTCCCAATGAAGTTCACACTGAAATAAAAATAAATTGGTCTCAAAGGTGCCGTTACATTCCCTTTTTCCTTCCAGTCCCCACTCTTTTTATACTACAAAACTGGAGAGACCATGCCCAAAGGAAGAACACCATACCATGGCGAGCCCCTTGAGGTTGGGAGGGCTCCCTCTCCCCAAAATGGAAGGGGAAGGTGCCTCCACTATTCAAACTATGAGCTGTCAGTACATCTAAGTGTATTTGTGAGGCTGTCAGAGTCCTGCTGGACACAAAACCATGCCAGAAGGAAATGATTTGAAATTGGGGAACACTTCCAAAAAGAAAGCATTTTACAATAAGAACTGGAGTGCACTATCTGCATTGTAGGGAGGACTATAAAGACCAGGTTTCTGGGCTGGGAGCCAAGAAGGAAAAGCTGCTGTCATAGTATGCCTGCAGGGGAAACACATGCCAAATCCAGCATGGAGGGGCCAGGATGTCTGAGCTCTTGGGTGTTTTTTTGGGTCTGAGCAGCAGCCTTCCTTGTATCAGTGACACCTGCCTGGGCCTCAGCTTCTTGGAGCGAATGAATCAGTCCTGTGGAATTCAGGAAACGCGTTTGTCCAGCAGCTCGTAAGAGGTGAATGTTCCTGCTTCTTCCTGCGATGCTTCAACCTCTTCCCTTTGGCATCTGAGCCAGCAGTTTAGTTTCTGGCTCAGCTGCCAAGTTTTGGTGCCACCCTCTCCTAGGTTGCTCCTCCGCTCCCCACAGCTCTAATTGATGGGTGGAAACTTGCTCTGGGGGTTTGAGAGTGAGGCGCCAACTGAAGCTTGGACTGGCGTGGGCACAGCGAAACAAACAAAATATTTCAACAGCCAGCTGTCCCGCAAGAAAAACAAGCATTTGCAGTTTTTTGGGACCAGGAAAGTCAAATCCAACAGGGTTAGTAGGAAACACATTCCCTCTCTAAACTGAGTGTTCTCACATACTTCACAGTGTTTTACAAGTTCCTTTTCACCATTTCCTAACTCAAGTCAATGGTTTGTACGTAAGTATATCATAGGTATCCAATAATGTGGTATTGGTTTTCCAGAGTGGTGGAACAGTCATGAAACTTTTTCTGCTTTTCACAATTACCCTTTTAATGAATGGCTGGGTGCTTGAGAAAACGGCAGGAAAAATTGTTGTGTATTGTATAACATTATTTTATTCCACACTCTCTGTTGTCCTTATTCCTGGGATCAAACACTAGACTTGGCTACCAGCCTGCAACTCTACCCTTTCTACTATTGTAGCATGTAATCTTTTGAAGAGTGAATGCTCAGTTAATCTTCAAACATCTTACAAATGGCAGCAAGCTCAGTTGGTGGGAACGAGAGAGGGGGGCTTCTCCGTGATCATTCCCCGTCCCTGGAACTCCCTCTCTAAAGAAATAAAAACAGCCCCATCCTCTCGTTTTAGAAACTACTGAAAACTCACGCACTTTAGCGTATGGAGAGAAGTAGAACATTTTAACCCATAGGTACTCTGGCTAACCCACTTGTATTTAATGGCTTCTACAATACATCTTAAAGTAGCCATTTTAAAGTAATTGTATCATAATTGTTTTTAGGGTATACGTTGTAATGTTTTACTCACGTTTTAGTTTACTGTCTTATCAGATGGTTTTTTTTTATTATTCTCATCTTGTTGCTTAATTCTTTGTTGTAAGTTGACTTATTTCTGTGCATTATCTTGTATTATTTTGATGTGTTTGTATTAATTTGAGGCACTGAATGTTTGCCTTTTGTTTTGAGTCTGTAAACCGCCCTGAGTTTTATAAAGTTTTTATTGCTATGGAATAGAACAAGTAACACAAACAGAATGAAATATTTTGTGTGTCTTTGACATCTAGAGATCCACATGTACCTGACACCCACAGTTTCATCCCACGTTTTGAGTACAGGCTTCAGGATTAGTGTGCTATATTGGGCAGTGGCATGTCAAGAGCAATATAGTTTGAGAATGCATTGGGATTGTAGCAAGACAGTACTCTTGCCTCACTTAGTTACTGGAGGAACATTTGTCTTATGAAGTGAGTCAGAAGACTTCCAACAACAAAGTAACGCCGTACTCTTTAAAAAAGCACCATGTCTTCACATTTAACATCACCATTTTCAGTTTATACTGTACAATGTATCTATGTAATTTATAACTGAAGTCAGTTGGTTTGGGCATGCCTACTCTGCATAGAAACACGTTGAAAGCTTAATCTCATGCTTCCCTTGCTGACAGGGGAGAGTAAACTCTGTTCTAAAGCAGGAAGGGACTTGACAGGATGGCAGAAATGTCAATCCATCATTTTGCCATCACAAAAAGCATTCCTGGTACAGTTTTATCCTTCCTTCCCATGACTGGATTAAGCAAAATCGTAGAAGATTTTCCATTGTCATCACCATTCTCCACCCTTTCTCAAAAAAGGGAAGAATGAGCTGGCCACTTCTTCAGAGAGAGAGAGAGAGAGGAGAGAGAGAGAGAGAGAGGAGAGAGAGAGAGGAGAGGAGAGGAGGGAGAGAGAGGGAGGAGAGAGGGGGAGAAAGGGAAGGGGAGAGGGAGGAAGAGGGAGAGGGAGGGAGGGGGGGAGGGGAGGGAGGGAGGGAGGAGAGGGGAGGGAGAGGGGGGGAGAGAGGGGGGAGGGGGGGGAGGGGGGGAGGGGGAGGGGGGGAGGGGGGAGGGGTGGGGGGAGGGGGGGGGAGGGGGGGAGAGGAGAGGGGAGAGAGAGAGAGAGAGGGGAGGAGGAGAGAGAGAGGAGGAAGAGGAGGAGAGAAGGAGGAGGAGAACGAGGAGGAGGAGGAGGAGGAGGAGGAGAAGGAGGAGGAGAAGGAGGAGGAGGAGGAGGAGGAGGAGGAGGAGGAGGAGGAGGAGGAGGAGGAGGAGGAGGAGAAGGAGGAGGAGGAGGAGGAGAAGGAGGAGGAGAAGGAGGAGAAGAAGAGAAGAAGAAGAAGAAGAAGAAGAAGAAGAAGAAGAAGAAGAAGAAGAGGGTGCCCAACTTCCCTCACATTTTGAAATGTGCACAGTATCAATACTTGTAATATTGGTTTCGGCCCAACCATTGACAACCATTGATTTTAGATTAAGTGCTATCTGTTGGGAATGACCATTATAACCTAGGTGTTATGGTTTACAATTGGAAGAAAAAGCAACAGCCTTGGAGCCAAAAATGTCAGGCAGATACTTTATTCTAGCTATTGCCAGGTAGAGCTTCCACTGTAGAGCTCTCCACTCTGGCACAACCTTCAAATCCAGAACTTCGGCACCAAGCAGCAACAGAGTGCAGGAAAAAGTAGTGCCCACAGAGGCAAGACTCAGCTCAGGTAATGTTTTCACAGCCTTTTGAGTGGCTGTGCTGGCTTGGCTTTCAAGTTTGTTTGTTCGTTTGTTTATTGTTTCAGAAGCCAGTGAGGCTGATGTTGATGCTTCATTTTCTTGTGCTTTCTGGAGCCAAACACAGAAGGCTCTCTATCAGTCACAATGTACAGCATACACAACCATGTTCGAGTTTCAAAACTTTGCACACCTTGAAAACAAGCCAGATGAATGAAAAACAAATCCTTCAGGACAGATTTCAGTTGGTTTGCCGTCAACCTTCTCTTTCCTGCACAACAAAATTAAAGAGACAAAACCAACAAGAACCCAGTAATTGTCAGCACAATACTCTTATTAGTTTTCTCTGTCAGATCTTATCAGGAGTAGTTGTAGCTCCCAGTCATGGTAATTCACATTCCCCAATAATAAGCCTTTTATCTCGATAGGCAGAGCCAATGTGGACACAAAACAGGACATGACAAGAAAGCATCCTGCCCTCCAGGACACCTGTGACAGGCCAACAACAGTCCATCTGGACAAATAGAAAATATTTTTTTTTAAAAAAACACTTTTATATCTTGATCTTCTCTACCTTCATAGAGAGACTCAGACCGGCTATACCAGATGTAATGCTAGGACTCCATTCCATCAATGACTACAGTCCACACTCTCCTATACATTATTACAGGAAGAGGCTTCTGAACCTGACTAGCAAGACTCTTTACTGTTTTCTCTATCAAATCCTGTGGTCCATGTTGCAGCATATTGCCTTTGCCACCCAGAATGCAGGGCCTCTCTCTCACATAGTCTTCAGATCTTTGAGGACTCAACTCTCTCAATCCAAGGTGATTCTGAGTTGATGCCTCTGGGCTCAGCCTGATATTGCCGGAATTCACTCAGCTGCCTTTCCAGAGCCTGATTCCGGTGGTACATCTCCATATAGCTGGCCTGAATCTCTCGCTGATAGCGCAGAACTTTCTCTTTCTCCTCACGCCAGGTTTTTCGCTCTTGCTCAAAGTCTGCCACTTGTAGCTGGGCCTGGCGCCTCTCCCGTAGCAGTTCTGCCCATAGCCACTCAGTGCCCTCTGCATTCTCCCCCTGCTTTTCCCGACATTTAGAGTCATCTGTTTCACAACCCAAGAAGTCCTGGCATGGCTGCATAGGGGAGTCCCTGGGTGGAAGAGGGGAGCCATGCTCTGAGACAGATTGGAGAGAGTCCCCCAGTTGTGCCAGTTGTGAGTCCTTGGCGTGCAATTCTGTTCGGGCTTCTCGCAACTGTGTTTTCAAACTGAAAATTTCACTCAGCTTCTGGGCCATTTCCTCCTGAGCATCTCGGAACTGCTGCTTAAGCAATGAAATCTCTGCAGTCTTCTGACAGACCTGTCAAAACAACATATTAGGATAAGGGCAAAGATCAGACTTGACACACAGAAATAGTGAGCCACTGGGGCAAGTGCAATACAGCAGCAGCAGTCAGTCAGTCAGTCAGCAGAAAAAGTTACAATATTCCCACAACAACGCCAGGGGGAATGGGAGGTGACTAGAAATTGAATTGTGAACATACTGCAAAAGATTTACAATAGGGAACTGGATCCACAAGATGGGCAAGTCATAATCCAGAGTGGGCAACCTTAAGCCCTGTAGCCAAATCCATCCTTCTGGATGTCTTCCAATGGTCATACCACCTTGTCCACAATAGTACTGTTTGGTGGTTTCTCAGAATGTGTACTGCTTTCCCCACTGTTTTCCCTATTCTAAAAGGTTGAAATGCTTCTCCCAAGGCTCAGTTGCTGGCAGGTGACAGCTTTAAGCTATAATACACTTCTATTTTTGGTTCTACCCTTTTGTCCTTGGCCCCATCTGCCACTGGAATGCAGCTTGCCATGAATGTTTCTGAAATTAAATTTGGCTTTTAGTCTAAAAAGATCCTCTGTGTCCAGCCATAGTCAGTAGCAGTAGTAAGGCTGCTGGTTACACTTTGAGGGTTTTATCAAGTCCACAAACATATCACAAAGTCTAGCCCCAATGGTCCAAAATCAATGCCACAGCACTGCATTTTCATCCCATGCCCTTGTTCCTTAGCTACAATTTGCATTATCCCATTCCCTTGTCTTTTTTTTTTTTTACAGTTTGACCATATCTTATGATAGTTGTCAACATAGGTTATTGGGAGTTGTTCTGAGTTTTAAATTGTTGTTTTATATGCTATATGTTTTACTTTATTGTATTGTACTGTGTGTTTATTTTAAGCTCTGTTTTAGGCGTTTTGTGTCATATGTAAGCCGCCCCAAGTCCCTTTGGGGAGATGGAGGTGGGGTACAAGAATAAAGTAGTAGCAGTAATAATAGTAGTTGTTATCATTACCACCACCATCATAATCAACATCAGACATTTCAGTGTGCTTGGCAGCCTGCATTCTGACAAGATAGCATATAGAGCAGTAGAACCTTGTGTGAAGTTAGATGCAACCACAATCCACCATCAGTGAAAGGATGCAATAGGGCACTACATATGCTTTCTCCGCTCACCTCCCATTTGGTCTCCTCCAACTTGGGACTCAGGCGTTCTGCCTGCTTCTGCTGTAGCCTCAGCTCCTCACACTGGCTCTGAAGAAGATCCAGCTCCTCTTGCAGCCGCTTCTTCTCCTGATGTGCTTTGTAGAGCTGTAGCTGAAGAGCCCGCTGGCTGCGTTGAGCCTGTTGCATGACCTGCTGCAGTTTGGCCAGGTACATCTGCTTCAGGTCTTCCAGCTCATCCATCCACAAACGCTGTTTGTCCTCAAACATCTGTCAAGAAAAGAAAGGATTATGGAGGGGACTCCTTCCAGTCCTAGAAATGAGAGGCAAGAGTCAACTGGCAAATCAACAAGCTTTCTCTATGAGAGAGATTTCTCCCCCAAACCATGAAACTCAGTCCCTCTCTGAACAGCACCAAATATCCTCCAAATGCCTCTTTAAAATAGCTGCTGCAATCTTGAACTGATAGGTATAGATATGAGACATAGCTATATACTGGAAAGGACCTCTCCAGTCCTTTTAAACTCACATTTTGCAACTCAAACCCAGTCATTTCCTGGTTGATGGAAAGCGGCAACAGTAGACAAGCATCCAGCTGTTTTCCTATTACTGAATGTGAAACGCCAGGCATTGCAGGGACCTCAAAGGTCCTTTGAAAGTCCCTGAAGATGCTCTATATCCAGCTACAGAAGAATAACTGGATACTTGTCTGCTGCTCCCTTTAGTCTCCACCAACTAGGGATAACCAGGTTTAAGGTGGCTGCTTATGAGAATAGGTGAGATCATGTAGTAGAATCCTAACCTCTGCAACAGCCAATATATGTGTGTATGTTTATGTATACATAACAGGATGCCCCCCCAACAAATATTTATTATTACATCACAACCATGGCTCAATGTTAATGTTAAAATGTCCCCCAAAGGCTGCAGCATTGCCCCTGTTACCCCCCTTTACAAACAAGATATTACATGTGATGTTATTACTTGTTACGTCCAAACTGTTTTCTGCACACAGTCAATTCTCCAGAGGGAGTCTTTCAGCATCACAACTTTCAAAATAGCTGATTTCAGTAAGAAAAGTACCACCCCTCCTATACATCACCTCTTATACATCTGCCTCCCGATGACACATTAACTACCACAATGAAACTCAGGGGTGTGACACACCAGCTCCTACATAAATTCATTCCTTTGTCTATTATGAATTAGATATTTAACGTGGAATGTATAAGGACATAGGATGTTGCATTGAGGAGAGATCAGTGGCAGGAGTAAATACGTGTTTGGAAATGAGAGCTTCACATGAGAGCTTCACAAAGTAGCAGTGAAGGGTTACCAGCATATCTACCCAAATATATCAATTTTAATAATTTGTGCCTTATTTAAACCATGAAGGAAAGCATGGAACAAGGCAACCCACGCTTTATCCTGTATAAAACCTTCACTGCTTGGAGGTGTGTGACCAATTCTTATTTGCCGTAGGCATTCAGGAAAGTGGCTATTAGCAAGCCTGGAGAAGCGTGACGTTACAGAGAACAACATGGGGGAGAGAAGAGTCAAAAAGAATTTCAAGAGAAAACAGAAGTCAAAATGGGAAAACAGAGAGCAGTTTGCTATAGCCACGGGACCAAATAATATACCTCATAGAGAAAATCCACCCACCTGTGTGAAGGGGTCATCATTCTCACTCAGGTTCCTCTTAAGCTGGCGGAGCTCCATGCCCTTCTCACTCAGCCGGTCCTCAAGTTGCTTTACCACCCCTTCCAAGGAGTAAGTGGGCTCATATGGTGGGGGTGGCTCCCCAGAGCTCTGCAACCGGCTCAGGCTCTTGCAAGAGAGTGGTGCTTTCTCTACAGCTAAGGGATCCCGTGGACTCCGAGAGGCCCGGTCTAATGAACCACCAATGTGATTGATGTGACCTATAGAAGCACTGAGCTGGTTTGGAGCAGGTTTGAAGCGGGGGTTGTAAGTAGGAAAGCTTTGGATGGAGTTGGTGCCCTCGTCCAGGCTGATGGTATGCAGCAGGTGGTTGCGCAGAGGACCACACTGCGAGGAGCTGCCGGTGCTGCTCTGTGTCAAGATGGTGTGGAGACTTCCATTGCTCTTTGAGAGCTTCTGCCCTTTGGCTGATGACAGTCCCTGCATGGATAGCATGCTCTTCCCAGACACTACCTTGAAAGCCGAGGGCCTGATCCGACACTAGAAGGAACATAACCTCCATTAGCAATTATATCAAGTAATAATGCTAGCTGACATGGTGAAGCAGAACATGAATGGTCAGCATGTTCTTACTATACCTTGGATAGGAGGACTCTCATACAATGAATTATCCCACTACTCACTCCTCTGCTTCCATCACACTCCTAACTGCTGAAATGACATAGACCCTTCAAGAGAAAGTGTTTCTTTAAAAAAAACAGCCACATTCTGTTTTATTTTTATATGCAGGCTTTCTCCTGAAATGGGACCCGAAATGTCTGGGAAACAGGACATGTCCTGATCAGGAAAACTGGACACTTTCTGGTCAAGCTGCTGATGAAGTCAGGGCAAAATATTCTTTGAAAATTAGTTGCCTTCAAAGAACCTAGACCTAAGCTAAAATTCTTAGAAAGCATCTCTCCTGTCATGGAACAATATTCCAGATCATCAGACATTATACATATTGAGAGGGGTACCTTTCAGATCTAAAGCAGTCAGTTAGATGCTGAAGATGGCCCAGATTGCATTGCTTCTTGTTTGTCTAGATTGACATGAATGCTTCTGAGCTAAATAGTGGCCCTTCAGCCCTCCCACCACTGAGGACCAAATCATCTCAGAGCCCTCCCTATTAGCAAAAAGGCCCTTAATTTTTTAACTCTTCCAGTGTTGGAAAGACAGAAGAACAGCTCTTCATCTCAGTAGCATTCGACAATTGTATTTGACTTGGACTGTAGTCTAATTCAGGCAAGTCCTCAAGAAATAGTAGAAGTCACTTATACTGACAATACTTGAAAGTTCTGTGCACTAGCCAACCCACCCGCATCAGACTTTTCAGTACTGTCACAGAGAAATATTCTAGGATTCTCTGTGGTGAGGTAAGAGTCTCTCTCCCTTAAACACTAGAGAGGACTGAGTGGCAGCAGGCTGGAAGTGGTGATTCACACATGTAGCTGATGACCCAAGGAGCATTTCCTAGGCCAGAAGCCGCATGTTAGGTACCCTATCTGAACTAGCTAGTATTGTGATTATATGTGAAACAGGCCGTAAGCTTGGGCATGGCCCAATGATCCCTACTCTCAGACACTAGGAACTGATCCAGTTGTTCCATCCATTGTAGGCCAATGGAGAATTGCCTTCTGTTCACAGGTTCTCGCTGTGGCCACTACATCCTCCTATTGCCTTTTTCTAACATACTTCCAGGATGCCACAATGCACAGAAACACGTTCGCATTCCAAAATGCTGGATTGTCTCTAAAGTTATAGGCCAATGTGAGAATGCATCATAAATCCATGTGCAGGGGAAGGCCGTTTTCCACCCTAAAATCCACCTCACCCCAGGTGCACCATTCTCTCTCATCAAGATCAAATCAGTCACTTCAATGAGTTGTTGTAGGATTTTTTGTGTTATATGGCCATGTTCTAGAGGCATTATCTCCTAACGTTTCGCCTGCATCTATGGCAAGCATCCTCAGAGGTAAGTGAGGTCTGTTGGAACTAGGAAAATGGGTTTATATATCGGTATATACCCTGGTCATTCCACAGATATATAAATCCATTTTCCTAGTTCCAACAGGCCTCACTACCTCTGAGGATGCTTGCCACAGATGCAGGCGAAATGTCAGGAGAGAATGCCTCTAGAACATGGTCATATAGCCCGAAAAAACCTACAACAACCCAGTGATTCCGGCCATGAAAGCCTTCGACAATATATAGTCACTTCAATGTTATTGATAAAAAGTATATTTCATCCTTTTCAAACAAATAAACAAGGTTTGTAGGGAATGTGAGTTTTGGTTTAAAGGTGAATTCCACACCTTTGAGTTAAATTATCCATATTTAGCAAAACAATTTTCCCCATTAGTTTCCTCTCCAGACAAATAGGTGGATGTAGCCCATGGATTACAAATTAAATGATGACTGGTGGGAAATGGTAATGGGGGGAAATGCATTGACCTGATACCAAGAAGCCTAATCTCCCAGTCTTCTTCTGACTACTTTCAGCCAAGGAACCCGCTTCTTCTCAGTGCTGCCACACCTCCTCACCTTGTCAAAGCGTCCACGTTCTGGCAAGGAACTCTTGGAAAAATCTTGCCCCCGTTGATTGTCTCGGAAGTACCGCTCTGGGGACTGGTTCTCCCGGTCGCTCTCATAGTCCCGTTTAAAGCCACCGCCTGATGACTGGTGCTTCTTTTCCGACCGAGCATCCCTTTTGCCCCCGTGCAAGTAGCCAAAGACTTCCCTCTGGGACATTCCTTTACGAAGCAACCCATCAGGCTGACGCATCCCGCGCAGACCTCCGGGTGCAGATGTCGAGAAATCCTGCTTTTCGACAAGGCTCCCCACGCTGCCCATGTTGCAATCTGTGTCGGGCTCCGAATTCAGAGAGTAAGGATCAAAGAGACAATGGCTGAGGTCACAGGTCATATGAGAGGCCTGGGCTGTTGCCATGGAGATTCAAAGACAAGCAGAATTCCAGCGCTGCCAAAAAAAAGTCACATGCATACAAAAGTTATTTATAGGTTTACTCCCACCTGTCCCAGAACAGAAAGGGGGCAGGGATTAGGTAAAATCCTTCCTGAATTATTTCTGGCACTGAAAGGATATTTGCTTACTTCCTAGAATACCCATGCTAGAAAACAAGCTTTCCTCTGTACTGTTGAAGGTTTCATGGCCAGAATCACTGGGTTGTTGTAGGTTTTTCAGGCTATATGGCCATGTTCAAGAAGCATTCTCTCCTGACGTTTCACCTGCATCCATGGCAGGCATCCTCATAGGTTGTGAGGACCTCATAACCTCTGAGGATACCTGCCATAGATGCAGGCAAAACATCAGGAGAGAATGCTTCTAGAACATGGCCATATAGCCAAAAAAACCTACAACAACCCAAGTTTTCCTCCATTGCCTTGATAGCTAAAATTACCCACAAGCAGCACTGATGTTTGCAAAACCCTGCATGTGGTCTCTCTTAGCCTCTTGCTTCACTCACCTGGCCGGACCAGAGTTCAAGTGGTGAAGATGTTTCACCAGGAAGAAGAAATGCCAAGCAGATCCACCCAACCCGGCTTCCTGTACAGGCCTAAGCTGCTCCTTTCTCCCCATGACAGGCTAACACCCACATCAAGTTCCTCCCTTTTCCTCAGGCAAGAAGGTGGGAGGCCAACATTAACTTCTGGCAAGTGTCCAAGGAACCGCTCTAAGACTGGCATTACTTGTGAAGCCTTCAGTTCTTTTCTAATTAAGACTAGTCCAAGTATTTTCCTCGTCTGTAGGGTCAAACCAGCTCTTTGGGCTGGATTAGTTGCAGTGGCAGTCTCCACTCTCCCCAGGAGCACCGAGTGGGTGACAATTACTTCACCAGTTGAACTGACCTGCTGGGGTCAGAGTCATTCCTATATGAATATACATAAGGAGGGGCCCTCCTCTGTATCCCAGCCCTGGAGGTGATAGACTGTGCCAGGATGTGGAACAGCTTGGGAGGAGGTTTAATTTACACTAAAACTGGCTTCACTACAGCACCAAGTTAAAACATGGATTAATTTCAATTGGTTTGTATCTGGATACGTAACTAGTCTGTTTTAATTGTTTAATGTGCTTTAATGATTGTTTACATTATTCCATTTAAAATTTTCAAGTTGTTCTTAATTGTTTTAAGGTTTTATCACTGTGCCCACTTAGGATCTTGTGATAAAACGTGGAATATAAATTCAATATCTGACCAATTACTTGGATGAGAGAATAGAAGACATGCATAGCAAATGTGCAGATCACACCAAATTGGTATGGATAACCAATACCCCAGAGAACAGAATCAGAATCCAAGATCACCATAACAGATTAGAGAGCTGGGTAAAACCAACAAAATGAATTCCACGTATTATCGAAGGTTTTCGTAGCTGGAATCACTGGGTTGTTGTAGGTTTTTCGGGCTATATGGCCTTGTTCCAGAAGCATTATCTCCTGATGTTTCACCTGCATCTATGAGAGGCATTCTCGGAGGTTCTGAGGTCTGTTAGAAACTAGGCAAGTGAGGTATCTTTGGAATGTCCAGGGTGGGAGAAAGAACCCTTATTTGTTTGAGGCAAGTGTGAATATTACAATTGGTTATCTTAGGTAAAGGTAAAGGTTTTCCCCGACATTAAGTCTTATGTGTCCTACTCTGGGGGATGGGGCTCATCTCCATTTCTTAGCCAAAGAGCCGGTGTCGTCCTTAGACACCTCCAAGGTCATGTGGCCGGCTTGACTGCATGGAGTGCCGTTACCTTCCTGCCAGTGGGGTACCTATTGATCTAGCAAAGCAAACAATGCACAAATATCTATAGTAACATAGAAACAAGAATGTATGTATGTGTATTTTATAAGACTCTCAAGAAAATAATATAAATCAAGGTAATATGTTCTCTAATGGAGTAAATTGTCTAGACTTTATATCATTTATAGCATTTAACAGTAATGTTATCAGCACATTATAAGTAAATGTAGGTTATCTTATCAACATAGAGCAATGAATAGTAGACTAGAGATAATAAAGTCCATCCTTTCCTGGAGTCAGATTTCAGTGCAGGAATTCAACAGTCTCTGTCTTTATCCTCAAAAGAATTCTTCTTTTAGCAACACAGTCTTTAAGGAGTACTTCTTATGCAGCAGAGTCTTCCTTAGGTAACACAATTTCACAATTTCTACAAGGTCTCCCGGTATGTTCTCCTTGTTTCGAAAAATTATCTTCTTCAGGATGTTATCACATATATATAATGCACTAAATAAAGGAGTAAAAATAACATACACAATAGATACATGAAACTCCCCAATTCACATTTCTAGTGAAACATTCTATAATAACAATAAAGAAACATGCTACTCTACTTACACTCTCTTTACACTCTCTTCAATAGTACAGGCTCTGTTCTGGAGGAGTTCTATAACGAGCAATGAGTCATACCTAGGCTACCTCTTAAGTAGAACTACATTTCACAAGAAACAAGTGTATTCAATTTTATCATTTAGTCCTTGTGGAACCAGTGTTTGTAGTTTAAAGATTCAAAAAGATTCTCTTTGTAGAAGGAGTTTTTTTACATCTGCATTAGGTCTGGGTAATATTTTTTCTAAAGCGCAAAATTTAAAGCTATGGTGTGTATGAGCTTTTTCATTGAAATGTACATATAGTGAAGAGTCAGTGGACCCATTCCTTATGCGTGAACGATGTTCATTTATCCTGGTTTTAAGGGGTCTAGTAGTCATTCCAACATATAAATTGGATAAAATTGAATACACTTGTTTCTTGTGAAATGTAGTTCTACTTAAGAGGTAGCCCAGGTATGACTCATTGCTCATTATAGAACTCCTCCAGAAAACAGAGCCTGTACTATTGAAGAGAGTGTAAAGAGAGTGTAAGTAGAGTAGCATGTTTCTTTACTGTTATTATAGAATGTTTCACTAGAAATGTGAATTGGGGAGTTTCATGTATCTATTGTGTATGTTATTTTTACTCCTTTATTTAGTGCATTATATATATGTGATAACATCCTGAAGAAGATAATTTTTCGAAACAAGGAGAACATACCGGGAGACCTTGTAGAAATTGTGTTACCTAAGGAAGACTCTGCTGCATAAGAAGTACTCCTTAAAGACTGTGTTGCTAAAAGAAGAATTCTTTTGAGGATAAAGACAGAGACTGTTGAATTCCTTCACTGAAATCCGACTCCAGGAAAGGATGGACTTTATTATCTTTAGTCTACTGTTCATTTTTTATGTTGATAAGATACCTACATTTACTTATAATGTGCTGATAACATTACTGTTAAATGCTATAAATGCTATAAAGTCTAGACAATTTACTCCATTAGAGAACATATTATCTTGATTTATATTATTTTCTTGAGAGTCTTATAAAATACACATACATACATTCTTGTTTCTACCTATTGATCTACTCACATTTGAATGTTTTTGAACTGCTGGGTTGGCAGAAGCTGGGGCCTGCCATAGATGTAGATGAAAAGTCAGGAGAGAATGCTTCTAGAACATGGCCATATAGTCCAAAAACCCACTACAACTCAAAATGAATTCCACCAGGAAGAAATGTAAGGTACTACAATTCGGCAGAAAAAAATGAAATGCACTAATATAGCATGGGTGACACCTGAATTAAAAACAGCACATGTAAAAGGGTTCTTGGAGTCTTAGTAGACACAAGCTGAACATGAGTCAACAGCAGTCTAGAAAACCAATGCAATTCTAGGCTCCTTCATTAGGAATATAGTGTCAAGATCAAGGGAGCTATTAGCTTCACTCTATTCTGCTTTGGTAAGACCTCACCTGGAATCCTGTGTCCAAATCTGGACACCACAATTCAAGAATGATATTGATAAGCTAGAACAACCAAAGGATGACCAAAATTATTAAAAGTTCGAAAGGCAAGTCCTATGGGGAACTGTCTAGGGCAGTATTTCTCAAACTGTGCTCATCCAGGTGTTTTGGACTTCAGCTCCCAGAAATCCCAATCAGATTACCAGTTGTTAGAAATTGTGGGATCTGAAGTCCAAAACATTTTATTTATTTATTTATTTATTCCTATATTTTGAAATATAAACATCTGGAGGAGTACAGTTTGAGAACCACTGGTCTAGGGAGCTGGGTATGTTTAGATTGAATAAAGAAAGGCTGAAAACCATGATTTAAATATTGAAAAGATGCCAAGGAGGGGTTTTTCTGCTGTTCTAGAGACTAGGACATGGATAAAAACATTCAAACTGAAAAGATTCCGCCTAAACATTACGAAGAACTTTCTGACATGAAGAGCTCTTCAACAATAGAATATGCTGTCTGGGAATTTGGTAGAGTCTCCTTATCTGGAAGTTTTAAAACAGGGGCTAGATGGCCATCTGTTGGGAATGTTTTGATTGTGTGTTCCTGCATGGCAGAATGAGGTTGGATTAGAATGCCCTTGGGCTCTCTTCCAACTTTATGATTATATGACCTAAATATTTTAGGAAATAAATATTTTAATAGATACATGCAACATGAGTTAATCTGAATATAGGAAGGCAGTTAAGCCACGAGAGGCTGTGAGTTACTATCATGTTCAAAGGGAGGAGCATCAGTAGGAAAGCTTTAATCTAATTTAATTATTTACATTTGAAGTTAAGAAATTTAACTCTTACATTTATGTTTAATTGCCATGTAAATGAAACGCCTACACTTACCCGAATGAAGTTAGAAAATGCCAGCCAGAATTTTACTCAATTCCACCTTCCCTTGTCCCCATCTTTAATTTATAGAAGCAGAACCAGCTGTGTGAATTTTGAAAGTCATTCTCATCTACCTCACCTAAAACTCCTCACTTTCTTTCTGTTTCACTTACAATCCCATGTTCTCAATCTTCCCTTTTCTACTGTTTATCAATTCCCCTGTGGAACCCAACAAAAATCCCAGGATAAGAGTGTTGTGAGAGCCATAGTGATATAGTGGTTTGGTTTGAGTGTTGAACTACGACTCTGGAAACCAGGATCTGAATGAAACCCAAGCCATGAAACCCACTGGATGACCTTGGGCAAGTCTCACTCAATCAGCCAAAACCAAATACCTTCTGAACAAATCTTAACAAGAAAAACCCTGTGATAGGTAGTATTGTACTGATCCATGTATATATATAGATGTATATAGATGTGTTTCATTGTTGTTTATGAATTTGTGTGTGTGTGTGTGTGTGTGTGAAAAAAAAACCCCTGCGATAGATTCATCTTACATTGGAAACTACTTGAAGGCATACAACAACAAAATTAAGTTTCCTGTGACAGACAAGACATCTATATGCATTTTCAGGTGTATGGAAAGAGCACCTAAATACAAAGAAGATCACCACACTTCTAAGGTGCCTTTACTATTTGTTGGTTTAAAAAATTTTCATCTTGGAATTAACTGTCATACTTTTATCACAAACTAAAGTACAGAAAGATTGATCTAATTCTTTACAGAATTATCTAACTCTTTACAGCACAAGTGAAATATGCTAGCTTTGTAGCATTGTTTTTATAATATTAATTTCTTAATTAACAATATAGTTCTGGGATTAAGGTAATACTAAAAGTCCAATGTCAGTCAATCAGGTTAATAAAGAAGTTTTATTAATTTATTAATTTCCTGTTATACTGTATTTTGTAACTTAAATTATAATGCTTTTGATTAGCTCTTACAACTGGGAACACCTCCATATGACATTACACATATTGGGTTATATTGTGTTTGGCCCATCATACTGATCTATATCTAACAGTTTGTTTTGTGAGCTTAAAAGGTCAAGCACACTGTAGCAAACTGGGTATAACAAGAGCCCCTGCCCATGTGAGGTTGATAGTGATGATGCATCTGCATTTTTCACTATGCAAGAAAAAAGTCCCTTTATTCTTGCTACAGAGTCTAACAATCA